TAAGTTTTAGGTCATTCTGAAGGGCCCGAAGGGCAAGATTGATCCTAGCTTCATTTGAAGATCGTGGCATTATGGGTGGTTGAGAAATATCTAATTGAATAGTGATGGTGTAGGTTGAGGGATTTTTGGGACACTCGCTTGTGTGGGACACTCGCTTGTGATGTACGTTATGTCCGAGAAGAGCTACTTACATAATATCCACATCCCAGCCATCAGCAGATCGGACCACCTTAGTCACATGGTCTCAACATGAGGGGGCTGGTTTTCATGCAGGCCAAAGGCAAAACGCCCGTCGTATGCACTAAAACACAACGTTGGTTGGTACATGGCGCATTTGCTCCCCCATCTGAAATCAATGAGCCCAATCAGCAGTAGACTTTCAAGCCCAAAGCACATTTTCAAGCTTGTCCTCTCACTTCATGTGCATTTGTTGGTTTTAGAATGAGGGATTTATGTGTGCATGCCTGAATATATGTTGGCTTGCACCATATTTTTGTTACTTAGGTGTCCCGCATAAAGACATGGCGGGAGTTCTCTTCTCTCATCTGCGTGAACAAAGTATCTTCATAGCCTGCCACTGGTGTAGCCGTTATAGGCAGTGAGGTTGATCTGATACTTTGTCAAGGGGATTACTAAAGTGTATCCTTTCAACTGAAAACGTAATATGTTCGCGGACCTCTATGTCATCCATAACAGACCAGGTCAGTGTATAATGAAAGTAGCTAATATAATAAGATAATACTACAAGAGGTGTTTAACTCTAATAGCGAAGCTTATAATCCTTTTACTACATTCCCTCGATTGACGCCTAATTGTAATGTAGCATAGAATTTAGTATTTTACTCCTTCTTTTATCCTTTCCGACAAAAACCCCTCATATACGCTGTTCCAAATAGCCCAATAACAATAAGCTACTTTTTCTTCAAATTCAGGATGCTGAACTCGTCAAAAGCGCAAACCAAGAGAACAGGCCTAAAACAAATCAGTGGAACAGACCTTAAACGATTCGTTGTACATTCAGCACTATTAAGCTTAATTGATCCAGTTAGAGGGGAACCAACAAGAAGCTCACTTGACGAGAACCCCAATGGCGACGTCTTGGGTGGGCAGCAACTAAGACAAAAATTTCTCGACTCATTTGCCCTCATCTGCTCTACGTCGAGTTCAGGTGCTGAATCAGCCTCTGCTGTCTGTTTGGAATGGCACGCATCTGCTCCAGCAATCTTACGTGTGGCCCGCAACCATGGCCTGACGCCGGGTGATATGAGAGGGCTTGAAAATGTATTAGAGATACTTCAAACAGTTGCTAGAAAGGGTAAATTCCTTATTCATTATTCCAAGTCAAACGTGTTTTGCTAAGGTGGTGAGCTATAGAAAAGTCGTCGCCACAAGCCGAATCCGAGATCCTTTACTTGGTAGTCGAACTAACCAGAGATCGAATATTGTCGATAGCTGAGAGAACCCAGAAGCGCGGAATTATAGAGTGTCTACGGCAGGCGTCTTCTGAGCTTGTTAAAGATCAGGCGAGGCCAGAAATATTGGCCGAACCTGGATTCAAGCCCTGGCTCGACAGTTGCCCTTTCACAGCCTCATCTCTCGACCGACCCTGGAATCCTCTCACTATTGCTTTGCTAGTCAACTGGGCGTCACAAGCTAGGTGGACTTATTCTACGCAATTCAAGGTCTTGTTTGGAATTACACAATCGCAAAAGCCAGATTGGATGAACAACCTGTACAAAATAGCCCGCTATCGATCGGCCATCAAGTCCATGGTAAAATTAGCTGTAAAGCAACCCGATATCTTTGCGCAAATTCAGATTCGGGAGTTGAAAGCCCCGAGCCAGAGCCCTTTCTCTCTCAAGAACGATAGAGGTGCATTACAGACAGCTGTTAAGAGACTCATCAAAGAAAATTCAAGAGAAACAATGCAGCAATTGGAAAAACATTTGGATAGCCATGATGTCGAAGCGGTTTTGCGCAAGGCATGTCGCTTGAGCCTGACGCTCCACGCTGAAATGCAACTGGTCGTGTTTTACGAAGAAAACCCTGAATCTGCACCACGAATGCGGTTTATTGGGACAAGCAAGAAGGCATGTTTTCTCTGCTACAAGTATCTATTACAACATCCACTAGGACTCCAGGTTTCGGCTTGTCACCAGAAGATATACCCGTCGTGGATGCCACCGCCGTATTATCCAATCAGCGGAAAATTCAAAAATGATCCATTTATAAAACTCGACAGAGATATTGAACAATTGACGAGAAAAGAGCTAAAGACAGCGCTGAATGCTGCCCGGCGGCCAAAGAATTATGATTCGACTGCTGGCCCTTCATTGACCTTGACAGCAACCGTTTCAACAGAGGTGGAAGCACGTTAGACGACAGAAGTGCAGTATTCTATTGACAGAAATAGCATTCAAGGGTGGTTGGAATGCAAGTACAGCTCATAGTCGTTTGAGGTAAGCCTGCGGTATGCAGTGCAGAGAGCAGATTTGGAGGGTAGACCTGGATTAAGTACAAACCACAGCACCAGTATAATTACACGAAGGTACTCAATATTCATGCCTGTCCGTCTAAATGCATGTTGCAATTTATACCGTATGCATACACATCGTAGTACCGCTACCAGGATAGTTCTGCACATTGACTGTAATCCGAGATAGAATTACGATAATAAACTGGTGTTCGTCAAAGTTATTTCGGTATCTCATCGAGATCATCAACTGACAAGTCCAGAACGTGCCAATGCAGTCATCATATCGTAGGACCAATAAGAGCAGAGATGCTGCAATGTCTTGATACCCAATTCTGCAGGAGGCCGGGCACTTTGTCAGTACATAATCCTAACGTGAGATAAAAAATCTTGGATCGATCAGTTCTTCCTCGAGATATTTAAACCTGATTAACATCAGCCATTCTGATTATTCTTTCTAATCTTGAATTTGTCTTTCACAACAGCATTAGAGCCAGTGAAAACCGGCACAAAATGGATGTGGGAGACCACCGTGATCTTCTCGACCTCATTGATAGGCTCCGGTCGCAGGGCGTCAGCCACTATATAGACCTGCCCGAGATAATTGTTTGTGGAGACCAGTCTGCCGGAAAGAGTTCTGTTCTCGAGGCAATTTCTGGCAGGACGTTCCCCATCAAGGATGGGCTTTGCACCCGTTTCGCCACTGAGCTAATTCTTCGTCGAAGCCAGGAGGAGGGTATCAAAGTGTCCATCATCCCAGGCGAGACGAGAGTCGGGGATGACAAAGAGCGTCTCGAAAGATGGCAACCAAGAGCAAGGGTCAAAGAGGACGGCTTGAAAGCCGTAACGGACGAGGCCAAGCAGGCCATGGCGACCGATTCAAGCAGTACAGGAGATTTCTTCCAAGACACCCTCCGTATTGAACTCACAGGGCCGGAAATGCCACACCTTACCATGGTAGACCTTCCAGGTCTCTTCAGGCGTGGAAGTACGGAACAATCCGCTGATGATGTTAGCATGGTCCGCGGAATGGTAGAGAAATATATGGCGCGGCCACGAAGTATCATCCTCGCTGTCGTGTCAGCCAAAAACGATTACGTTCTGCAAGAGGTGACTTCGATGGCGAATAGGGCCGATCCAAAGGGCCGACGCACCATGGGTCTTATCACAAAGCCTGATACTTTGGATGTCGGTTCTAGTACTGAGACACACTATGTTCGTCTTGCTCAGAACCTTGAGTCAGAGCTTCATCTCGGCTGGCATACCCTTCGAAACCGAAGTTTTGAAGAACAATGTGTTTCCTCAGCCCAACGCGATGAAACGGAGAAGTCCTTCTTTTCTCAGGGCCTGTGGAACTGCGTTGACCCCTCAGACTGTGGAGTGGGGGCCTTGAGAGAAAAGCTCAGCAAAGTTTTGAGGGACCAGATTCTTTCCGAACTTCCTCATCTTGTGAGTGACGTGGAGGATGGCCTTCGGGACTGCTCTGATAGGTTGGAACGACTCGGTCCGCCGCGTAATACCCCCCAGGAGCAGTTAGGCTACCTGGTACGGGTGAGTGACGAGTACACATCCCTAATGATGCAGGCAGTCGAGGGAACATATACACACCAGCTTTTCGGAGGCCGGCGGGAGGATAGGACATTCTATACAAGACTGAGAGCCGTAGTGCAGAACCATCTCGTCGAATTTGCAAGGAACATGAGATCAAACGGCCAGAATCGTCAGATCGTCGATTCTGATTGCGAGGAAGAGAGTGATGTCGAAGTCTCTACTTCGATTAAGATCCTCCGATCAGATTATGTCAAAGATGTTGCGAAAAGCCTGAAGTATAGCAAGGGACGCGAGCTCCCAGGCCTTTTTAACCCGCTTATTGTCAGCGACCTTTTCGTTGAGCAATGCGAACCGTGGAAGGGTATCGTTATGACACTTGCCACCGACATCCTGGAAGCAGCAGTATTTACGACTCGGCAAATAATTGAAAAGATAACTGCAAGCGACATCACCGAAAACATTCTTGAACTCGTCGACAAAAAGATTCAAGAATTGCATCTTGGAATGGTCAATCAGATTCATGCGTTGCTTCCATCGGCGGCACAGCACCCCATTACATACAATCCACAGCTAACAGAAAATGTACGGAAGATTAAGCAAGCTCGGCAAAATCGCTTAGTTAAGGCTGTAGTTGCGAAGATATTTGGACCATATCGTTTCGCAAAACCAGACAGTACGGTTAGCATAAATCCAATCCAGCTCGTGGACCTGGTGCAAGAGGTAGATGATTCAGATATGGATCAGTATGGAAGCTCATTAGCTGTGGATTATATGCAGGCATACTACAAGGTACGTTACATCATGCAGCTGCAAAATATCGACAGTACTGATAGATCTACTCTGTTCGCAGGTTGCGGTTGAGCGATTCATCGATGGTGTAAGTATCTTGGCAGTTGAAAACTGCCTTATCAGCAAGCTTCCGACTCTTCTTAAATCACATGATGTTGTGAAAATGACCAGTGTAGAGATATCCTTCCTTGTGGAGGAATCCCGAGACACCTCTCTTGAAAGAGAGCGCCTTAAAAAGAAACGCGGGATTCTTGCAGATGGGCTCCAGACGTTGAGGAGTCTGCAAAAACGCAGCAATTTCATTGAATTCCAGACACAGGATGACGTGACATCACAATATTCAGGTCAAGCGTCGGACGTAAGAACGAGCGCCACTGTTAGTGTGGAGGCAACTACTTGGTCAGTCATCGAAGAACCTGGAGATATATGGGGTAAGGTGTATAAGGGCTAGGTAGTTTAGTCAATAATTAGGTGCTTAAACACGAACTCAGCCTTACTCGCTAAAAATGTATTATATCTCCCTCATATGTATCTCTTTCCTTTAAATGGCCATTTCCAGACGCAGGGGGTCCTGCATTGTAGTATTTTATCCCGATTGACCTTTCTGTCGAAATTACAATGAGGCAATGCTTCAAACCGATAAAGACATAACTTTAGTGGGTCCATATGCCCGGCCTCCGGCATGTTGAGCATTTCTATTTTATACACGAGATGCTCTCCCTTCATTCCCGCTCTCCGTAAGTGTTTTACAGTAGTCTTCTTCAAGCTAAAGAGTAACGTGAAGGCTTCCGAGCTCTTATACAATCACATAGAATATCTACCAGTTGCTGATGGAGTGGGTACATCTATTCACCTGGTAAGAACAGACACTGGCTTTTCCTTGACTAGTTCTAACCGCATAGTTGAACTTGGAAGAGGGATGTCTTTTCAAGCCGACCAAGGACTTCAATACGGTGCGCAAAATCCGCCTTTGAGCGGTGACCATGAACCATCGCGAGATCAAGCGCAGTGGAATAGTGCGCAGGACCAAAGTTCCATCGGGCTCGGACCAGATGCATACGCCTACGGCCCGCCTGAGTATGCAAACCCCTACAGAGGCGACAACACGATTGACCCAAGATTGTTGATGCAACCATCTGCGCCGGAATATCAACCAAGTCTTCCACTTACACCATCCCATGTAGCATGAGCAAATGGTGATTTGCACTCGGACTATCAGGGGCTCATGAGCCCTGATAGACTCCCTACGCAAACGGTGTATGATTCTTCAGGTGATTTGACCTCTGCGCACGGCAATGCCACCATCGATCAATTCAGTCCCTTCTCTCTTGATACACAGAATTCCTTCACAGACGATTCTCCGACCAACTTCGTAAGACAGCCGCGACTCACTTGTAATTGGAAAGGATGCAAACATAAAGCTGCCACTCAAGAGGAACATGAGTCAGTAGCCACCTCCATACCATAATCGTTAACAAGGGTCGTGGTTAGTTGAATGAGACTTGCGCTGATCCGCTAACTTTTTCTGTTCTCAGTCAGCACATGCACCGACACAGAACTTGTCCAAAGGACGACTGCACTTGGGAAAGCGCAAGCGAGGAAAAAGAAAAGCAGCGCCATGTATGGACAAGACATAAACGATGGGCAAAGCAGACTAACTATCCGTCTATAAGTGGGATGTGCTGCGAGTGCGATAAGATGTTCACGAGAAAGGATAATTTGAAGCGTCATGTAGATAAATATCACAAAGGCTAGGAAAAAGAGGGATTGCCACCTGCTATATAGTTTCAAGAAGCTTTACAAGTGAATCCGACCTACCGCGCTTTGTAAATCTGATCAACGAAAGAAGAAGTCTGGTATTTCAAGACCTAGCAGTTTGGAGTCGGTCCTTATTCAAGACCTTTTCTCTGAATGCACTTCATCTATATCAGTCTGATGACCTTCTTGGACAACAACATAGGCGGCGAGGCATTCGAAGGCCAACCAGCGTACACGGATAAAAGGTGTATAATCTCATAAAGATAATCGAGACAGGGGTCAACGGACGGACGAAAGGCGTGTAATGTAGTAAATTACAAGCCGTCCTTCGTACAGTAAGGCTTAAGCTCGGTGTCTCACTACAATCTTGCTGTTCGAGGAAGTGTTTTTTATCAAGGGTGTAAGGCACGTTACGGGGGAACAGATTTGCGATCCCATGATGGTTGGATGTTCTGGGTAGGAACTGGTATGCACCTTTAAGTATAATGCAAAGATGCTTAGGAAAGTGCCTAAATGTACAATTAATTCCCCAACGGGCCATAGTATTATGTACCGCTCACTCTATTTGATGGCTGATCTCGCTAACCTGAGGCATAGATCTTGTGTTGACCCCGCATTTGCTAATGATGCCATAACTTGAACTCAGCCATCTCGATCTACGTTCAACAACCAACACGGCAACTTGGCTGATCTTCAATGCAGAACTGTGTTTAGACATCCAACACGACAACTCAACTTCCTTGATTCAACCCACCAATCGTTTCCACATTTGGGACTCCGACTTCAACAACCAACATAATAACCTCTTTGATCTAGACTCGACGCTGCGCTTTGACAGTCACCTCGGAGATTCCCTGATTCAACCTCTCAGCTCCATTTTACTTTTGGTACTACGCTTCGACAAACAGCATTGGACTGCGGCTTTTAAAAAAGGGACAACAAGTAAGAGTCTAGGCAAGACCCAAGAGTGAAAAGAACATATTTCTATGTAGATATATTCAGCTGGTTCCGCTCTTCGACAGTTCCCTCTACTCCAGCATGACATCCAGAAACCTCAACAAGACCTGGCGTGATATTGTCTTTGAACAGTACGAAGCCGACTACGCAGCTGATGTCCCCTTTCCAATCCGCTACTTAATCTACGGCGACCAGTGGAAAACAGATATCCTTATCGAGATCCCCACTAAGATTAAAGTGCCTGTCTTCCGTCAAGCTCTCCTCCACGCCGCTAGTTCTAGACGCCTTGAAAACGACCCGGCGTATGAAGACGATCTAATCAAGGTCCGAGCACGTGTTCCACCTTCTGCCCAAAGCAACAGCGATGCTCACCCGCAAGATCACTCTGCTGCTGGTGGCAACAGCGGCTAATGCTTGGAAGTTTACTATTTATGGTGACGGCTACTGCGAGTTGACTCCGTCGGGTGACGTTCGGAGAGATGGTAATACAAATACTTGCTCCATTCCTACATCCTAATGATACTTCCAACGGTATGATGACTAATGCCCTCTCGCCCGCCCAGGCTGTACCAGTCTTCTTAATCCTCATAGAGGGTTCTGGCTTGAAGAAGTGGGTAATTACCAAATTGAGCTGTATGCTAACGAGGACGATTGAAATGATGGCGTACCGCAGCAGTTCTAAGACGAGACCAATCAGGGCATCTGCACTGGTCCTCAGTTTTAATGGGATTACTATACTGTAGTCGGTTGTTAGAAAATCATATTATACTAGCATTATGTAACTAAAGGCATAAGCTATACATTAGGTAGTTTTAAATTGGGTTTAGCCTCATCTACAATGCCTATTTGTCGATGTGAATTGACCCCTTCTTAGACTGATTTAATATCCTTGAGAGTGCCAGCCTAAACAGCATCTTTAAGATCTGCTGGGCCACTGCTGTACTGCCTAACTCGACCAGATGAACATTGCCGAGGATAAAACCCTGAGCTCTGTGGACTGTCACAATAATAACAGCTTTCCCAGAGTGATCTCTTCCAAATCACCTTTTGCCAAAACGTCATCGATCTAACGTGCAGTATTACTTGTCACACCAGTGTCTGCTGGATCTCCAATAGACCCTCCTGCAACGCCTCAGGTGGCTCACCAATGCCGAAACCCGTAATGTATCCCACGATGCTGGCTGCGAGTCTTCGTTTGGCGTTCTCGGTGTTGCCAGATATCCAGATTTAAAATTACTAAGTTTTAGTAAGAAATGCGCTATTAGTCAGGACTTCTATTACAGACCTATATGTTACAGGAATATAGAGGTGAACCTCGAAATAGTTACATGTAGCCTCTCAACGAGATATGTGGAATGGGGGACGCAGCAGTACGAATGTAGCTTAGATGAGACACTATTCACTATGTAATGAATTACGAAAGTATCTAGAAATGTATATTTTTGGAAAATAAATAATACTATCATAGGTCCTTTCTTTCATTCTTCTCTCCCACCTTGATTACCCTAAATCTGCTGAACATGTGGTGCTGGACCATTATCAATATGAGGCGGAGAATTGTCGGGACGCTTGGTCTGACGGCCCCAAAAATACCAGACTCCTAGGATACCGAACGCGACAATCGCAAGACCTCCAAGTACTCCTCCTACTATTGTGCCCACCTTGGGTCCTGGATTGGGGTCATGCGTTGGTTGTGTAATTGTTCTGCTTATAGAAGGTGAGGCTAGGTCGTCTGAGATGTCAGTATCTGTGGGTTTGGTTGTAGATGCGTCGTCAGCGGTTGATGTTCCGTCGTCGGTAAATGTAACGATATCAGTAGGGCTTCGTAAAGGAGTCCCATCAACAACAGTAATAGTGCTGAAATCTCGCTCCTCAACGTCTCGTATAGTATAGACCCGGTATGATGTAGATAAAGACATACAACCCCAAATACTGATACTGTTACCAAGATGGTACAAGACACATGAAGGTGCAAAACTTAAAGTGCTAGTAATATACTTATTAGCAGAGGTAAGGACAACAGAGGTGTTTATCTCACCAGCCGCCATTATATCTATTGGATAAACATTCTCGATCACACTCGCCCAGGTCGTTTAAAGCTGTGTAGTCGTAGCAGGTTGTATGTAGGCTCTGGGCTCCACAAAAAGCAACATTAAGTTCACCGGATTCCCATGAACAGCGGCGGCCATATGGACAAACCATGGCAGGGTCACCTCGGTTGTTGAAGGCGCAGGTGGCATCCGGTGCTGTAGTGATGGTGAGGGTCCCCAGTATTGGGTTACTGTCGACCTGTCTTTGTCGAAGTTTGTTGTCTATAGCCAGTGATTCATCGTGATGAAAATCACCGGCAATAGTAACCGTGGCATGCTGAACAAGTTCTCGACCTGGGAGCGTATTAGACATGTCTTTACTGGGATCAAAGGTGCGCATGGGTAACGTAGATGTGGGTAATAGGAACTGGATAATTATTTTAAGCTGGTCAACAAAGGAGCCAAGATATAGAGTAAAACAGGGATTATGAACTTAATTGAGTAGTATATTTAACATGGTTATGTTCACACCTGTTTATGTTTCTTGGGAGTGTCTCCACTTGAGAATGACTTTATTACAGACCCGAGTATGTACATGGCGGCGTTATGTTTTAGAAATGGCCTTCTGCAAAGTTAGCATGTGATTTAAACCGTATAGCACAATTGATTCATCGACCTCTCAACTATGATTTCATTATAGGTCATGCCAAGCCAGTGGCACTTGGTGAGACAGTCTGTAGGCGTTCACTCTGGATTCCAGTTGTTGAATGGCCTTCCTCTCAATGTCGTATTCCGCTTCTAAATGAGCCCATCGTGGTAGGCGCAAACACGCTAGTAGATAATCATTGCTGGGTTTAATGACACTCCGTGTTCATAGATCTACGTCTAAAGTACTGTAAATATCCAATGTCAAAGGATGTGAAGGGCCAGGATATCATTCAGCTCCGTAGCAATTCGGACTTACTAAATCCTCATGAGGCTTTTTGGACTGCTTTGAAGAATTGAACCAACTGCCATGGATCTTACCTTCAAGTTCTTGGCCCGCAAGTAACTGGAGTAGTAATGTAATAAACTCTTAATAAGTTTTGCATACCAACCTGTCACTTGAGTCACATGAGCCAATATGAATTAAGCCAGCCTTAGATGAAATCGGCGGCGCCACAATGGTTAGACAAAGAGGTCTAGACCTCTCTCAATCCCTATCCAGTAGGGTTAGTATGCAATAAGCATAATATACTTCCTCATTAGCAATATATCATTCTGTTCAACCGAGAAACGCCATATGCGCAACGGTCAGCTCCAAATGCCTCGTGGCACTTGAGAGCTGTCGATTTTCTTAACTACTGAGGATCGAATACAGTGCGTAAAGTATTAGCGGAAAGCTGATGTGACCCCCCCTGCGCCCCGGGTTGATTCCCAGGCATCAGTTGTTTCGTAAAACCATTTGATGCCGTGTAGATGATGGTACTCATTTACTTAAGTGGGAGGACCTAGCCCCGTCAGCGGCTTTCAATTAAATCCAGTCTCAATATTTCTCCGGTTCCTTCAAGACTCTATGCTGATAGGAACAATGCTTCTGGCAATGTGGCTCAATAGCCAGAACTAGCATTCCTATAAAAACCCGGAACCATCTATGCTTGTTACTGGTGGTAAAATGGGCTGAACTTTAATGGCTAAAATGTATTTCTCCAATTGCAATGCTTGCCATACTGCACGTGATCCGGTTTGGACTTATCAGAGGCAACAGTGGTGTCCTTGCCGTAAAAGTACCAGATGCGATCGCGAGAAGGAGCCGCGTCGGCATTGTACGACACATTTGATGTCGGCGTTGCAAGCCGATCAGTAGGACATATAACCTTGTATATTCACCTACTAATAAAGTAACAAGGTGGCTTGCCCAGCGTTTGTTGAGCTTGGCATTTCCGAGGAGCTTGGCACTGAGGCATAAGTTGTTTTCAGCTCCGACATTGTGGGAAAACATAGTTCAAGCCATACATTAACTCAATAGCTTGTAGTTAACTTACCATGTCGCCTGTCGGATCCTTGCTAAATTCAAAGCACAGGCGTGGCTTTGAATTATTCGGTGTTAGGTCGCGTAGGGGTCCATCGTAACAGTACATACTAGTAGATGTACGTGGCGGTTGTCATGAGGTCGACACTCTCTAGAGGATCTCCGAGGCCGAAACCTGCGTTACACGAGAATATTATTTTGGTCCATTGTTAATGGTCGCCTTTCCATCTAATCAGTGCCCATGTCCAAGCCAAAGCGCAGTAATCAGCTGGTGGAAAGGCGAGGTGACTCGAGTAGTGATCGTGGCTGAGAATCTAGAAGAACTACTGTGTCGCATTTTGGGTACCGAGCACAGGACGAGTGGTTTGCTACACTTCGACACTCAGCAGGGTCCCGTTAGTCAACGGAAAGATTAGCTCTTAAGGCCCCGTTAATGATCGGTACTGTACCTCTTAGTTTGAAAGTCCGTCTAGTGGTCAATTATGGCTAAGATATGCTGGTCCAAGCGGTCTCTCAGGCCATAAGCGTAACAATGTAGATTTGCCTGAAACACCGTATCATTATGATCAACGTATGGGACGCCACATGCATCATCAAGGGTCAGCGCCGCACGGAAAGCTACAAGCATTCATTTCAACAAAATCCTTAGCCTGACACGTGTCTTAGGCGTCCCTTGTCACTAATATCACCTGACTCATTTTGTCTATTTTATGAAGTTTATCTCAAGTCAAAAGGTCCATGTTGTTATATAGCAATTCGTTGCCTAGGTAGTTATACTATTTTCTTGTATTGGGTAATAGATTCTTGAGCTATTGGTGTATTCCACTATTGTATTCTTTCGGCGTAGTTCCCTAGATTGACAATGCCTTATAGCATAGATGATAATATTTGCATGCCGACTATGTATTTTTAGAGAACATAATCAACCAATGATAAACTCCAAATATAAATTGTACACCTGTATTGAATTATGCCTATCTGGATTCTTACGCAAGGTTATCGCGGAAGCTTTGGAGGAACAGGAGGTAGGGCCCGTGACACTGGGGTGAATGATCTCCCCGCTTGGTTCCTTGAAACAGAAAGATGAGAGGTACTTTGTTGAAAAGTCATATTAGAATCTTGCGAGAAAGAGGATAGACCATTATTTTGGTATGGAGGCCGTGTTCCAGGAGAGTCATTCTCCCACCATTGCTCCGTTGCTTGGGATTGTGCTTGGAAAGATGGATCAAGGGGAGCTGGTCGAAACGAATCATGTAGTGTGCTAGGGGGGCGTCTAGCAGCCTGAATATCGGCTGAGTTGAGAAATTTCTGTCGGCTATACGACATGTCCTGATTCCATCCTCGAGCAAGCTGGGAATTACTCGTCTCAGATGTTGAAGTCCCTGAGCTCTGGGGAGTAGAATTTTCGGCAGTATTAGAAGCTTTGTATGGCGGAGGGGCTTGAGAATAGGAGGCCGGGTTGGGCGAAGTATTAATGTCTTCGAAAGTAGAATCAGGTCCCAAGTCTCGTTCTCCTGGGGTTGATTGTGTTCTGGCTATCAGAGGTGTTAGATAGAATGGAAAGTAGGGAAATAATACGAAATCACTCGCCTGTTTTCCGACCCATTATATTACCCAGAATAGCAATATTGTCAGTGGCTATAGACTTCTTTCGTGATAATTTGACCTTCTCGTATTCTGCTGGATCTGGAACTGGAACTTGCATGGGATCTGGAGCCTGGAGGGCAATCTGCCGCAGGAAAGATATTTCATTCAGCACGACGCGATGATGGCTGCTGACGACAGGAATCTGAGTAGAGAAATCTGTCGAGTCAAGGAAAATCCACCGCGACCGGCGATTGAAAGATATCCTCCCCTGGTTTGCCTCTGGCCGGCATTTTTCTACAATCTTGCATACCTCGGCAAGCCCTTGATATGCAGCCGTGATAATAGTGTTGACGCGATCGAGCTCTATTGGCTTGCGCTCCAAGATATCCAGATATTCATCGCGTAGACTGACAAGATGCTGAAGATCCCGATCACATGTGCGGACCAGCTCAAGGCTCCGGCGGACTTCATCCTTGACTTGACCACTTTCGATGGCGAGGGTGATTAGTTGATACGTAATTCGAAGTCCTCCAGCTACGGCTCCCACAACTGGAAGAAATTCTGCCATAACAGGACGCGGTGTATACGTGTGGGAATCGTGTTGAGGTAAGCAAGTGCTGTGCACGTTGCGCACGAGCGATGAATTTGTTTCTTGTTCCGGAAAAACATCAACGTGCCTTGTAGGCATCGAAATACTGTCAGAAATTGATGAAGAAGAAATGGGGGTGTCATACTGGCTCGAGAAAGAACAATCAGCTACTTGCAACTTACTGCTTCTCATTTTGCCTCCGTTGTACTACGGGTGGCTTTTAGGGCTGATTGATTCAACTTCGTGTCGATCGGACGATATGCAACTACGCCTGAGGTTGTCGTGGCGTCGCGTGTCTTTAGTGCCATTGACATGGACGATAAAGTTGGCTATTAGCCGCTATTTGGCGGAGTAGGGCTGTTCAGCTATGACTGCGTAAATTAACGGAGAGCGTTGAATACGACTAATCATCAATTACAATAACATGATTTCGAACCCATTACATGGTAAGTAGACGTGGTTCCATAACCAGCTGGGGTGACGAGAGCCGACGTCCATCCCGATGGCTTAATTTCTCCAAACCAACACAAATAACAGCAGCCCTTTTTAAAGCCACATCCTTGTAAATGAACCCCCAATCGCTAGTGTGTGAGAAAAATGCATAGCCCAATTTAGCTGCCTCGATGATCATAGCATGCATGTGATGGCACTGTTGCTGAATGCTGTCTTCATCAGGCGCAACAAAATGGTGCAGGAAAGCATTCAACTCTTTGGCCAGGTCTTGAGCCTGGTGCCTCACTGCGCTCTCAGACACCTCGAGAGGTGTTCTTTCACTGGGGTTAGGATGTAATAGCAGAGCGGACAGGGTCCGCCATCTTGTCAAAACAATAGACATTACTGCGTGGAGGAAGAGGTGTTAGCAGTCAAGTGAAGAAGGGTGCATAAATATCGTCATGAGTCTTACCATTAAAGTCTTCTCGGGATTTATCAACTGGACGCATAGACCGAAGAAAGCCAACCGCAGGCTCTGGAAGCAGTGATACGGGTGTGCGGGAGTTGCAGTCAATGCTGCGGAAGAGGACATGAGAGATAACATGCTGAAGCGCCAGTCGACGAGTTGCAGGATGCAAGCACCACTCAGCAACAGTCTCGGGTTCGAAGCCTGAAAACCCTTTACTGATTCCGTGACCTGTGAGCTCCTGAGCCAGAACCGATACGCTGATAGTGATCGGTTCATCGTGGTAATAGTTCTCGACGTGTTGCTCAATGATGACATCCAGCCGCTTTATCATGCTGATAAGTTCTTTGTCTGGCGTCGCCTGCAATATGAAGTTTTCTAGTTTGAATCTATTTTCTGACGAGCGCATGGCTCCTGAGCTGCCGTAATCTGGATCCTTGGGGATGTGGATATCACGTAAGCTCCTGGGATGCCTCGTGCGGCTCTTTCTGAAATACCGAAGAAAGTATACGCCGCCGATTCCAAGGAGCAGACCGGCAAAGAAGCAGCCGATGGCGACGCCAGCAACAGCACCAGCCTGAAGTCCGTCATCATCACTACTGGAAGCTGTCGGAATGTTCGAGGTAGCGGAGGCAGGGTCGGCATTCTGTATAGTGTCCAAAGAAGTCCTTGTAGTGGCAGTAGTAATGGAGGCATTAGTAGAGATAGTGTCGATGGGATTTTCAGCATTGTGAGTTGCGTTTTCGCCATCAACCTGTGGAGCCATCGCGACAAAAGATGAATTTCTCAGTCTCGAGCAAGTGAGGAGAACATGTAGGAAGCCTTCTTTAGAAAAGAAAATAACAAGGATCTTATAGAAGGACCACGGCGCACACCGTTAAGGTGTGCCGGAACTCGCACCGTGGTTCTTCATGTAATTTCTGTGTCTTGGTGAAACAAGTGAAAAATCAGCCGGAAAACTCCATGTCAATAGCACTAGAACTGAGTCTATCGCCGTGGCTTTAACACTGCCCGGGCGAATCACGCAACTTATTGCGGCGCCGCCCCGGGATGTTCTAGACCCTACACAAGCCAATTTTAGCCAAAGGGGGGGCCTTCTATTCAACCCAATATTCCCGCTTAATAAGAAGCCTTGCTTAACTTTCTGACGCATTCTCTATCCATTCTCAAGTGACTGGCAAGTTAGAGTTTCTGTGAAATTGTAACTGGACACTTCAATTACTCCAGACACCTTCCCACCAAAATCGGTTGATTTTACGATCTGATCTCTCCTTGACATACATTAACGTCTATCGAATTCTTTATTATTTGGGCAACATTACTGGACGGCTACTCTTGTTATTCTAGGATGACTCAAAGGCCAGATGTCACGGTAGCCATCGATTTTGGCACGACATTTACGGGTAAGGACCTGAAGTTTTTGTAACTCCATAGATACATTGCAGGTGGCTGATAGGTTGAAAGGTGTTGGGTTTCTATTCTCTACTGGCACAATCGACATATTGAATAACTGGCCAGGAAACAACCAGCAAAGTGAGCAAAAGGTTCCAACGCGTCTGATCTACAACCATGACAACACCGTTTCCTCCTGGGGGTTCCAATGCGATGTTCTCGATGTCCAGGTCTCGCCTGGAAAGAGAGACTATCGATTTTTTAAACTATTCCTTGATCAGGACACTTGCGACGAGGCAAGACGAGGAGGCGTCACGCATGGTCTAACGAGCACCAAAGAAGCCGCAAGATGTGGTACCGACTACCTTAGACAGATCTATCGCCATATAAAAAGCACTTACGAAGAAAGCACTGGAGTACGAAACTGGGCGAACTTGACCGTCAAATTTCTTTTTAGTGTCCCTACAACTTGGAGAGGCATGAAAGTGATCAATGCGTTTAAAAAAATGACACTTGATGCTGGATTCGGTACTGAAGGGCCAGGGCACTCTTCAAATATTGACTTGACGGAGGCCGAAGCCGCTGCTGTTGACACTCTCAAAGGCGGTGTGGTTGAATTCGGAACTGGAGACATATTCCTGACTGTTGATGCTGGTGGAGGTACAACTGACCTTTCGCTAGTTCGTGTTACATCTGTCGACAACAGGATTGTACAAATATCTCAGATCGCCGAGGTCAACGGTGTCGCCACAGGGTCAATTCTCATTGACTACGATTTCCATGGTCTGGTGGAACAGCGTTTATCCTCCAACCCGAGCGAACTGGATGGTATTCCAGATATCCCAGTGATGATGATGACGAGCGAGCGTTTCAAGATTATTAAGCATCACTTTGGGGAAACCACATTCAATTCACCAGTCTATAAAATCCCGGTGCCTGGCTTGGCGTATAATTTCAGCCATGCAGGGCTGAGAATTGAAAACGGTCGCATGACCTTCGATAGGTTTGTTTCAATACATACTTTGACCACATGATATGATGATTGATCAAACTATAGGGAAGAGATACAAGGCCTTTTCGATCCTCATGTCGACAAAATTATAGATAAGATCAAGGAACAACTAGACTGGATGATAGAGAACCAACCCGGTGAGCAAGTGGTAAGGGAAGTCTATTGACAATGATCTGGCCTCAATCTAATGAAAATCATAGACACGCATGATTCTTTCCGGGGGACTGGGGAGCTCTGCATATGTGCAGCAGCGCCTTAGGGAACATCTCAATGATTTTAGCCATCCTGCCGCTCAGAACTGTCGGGTCATCCGTAGTCGATTCCCTCAAACCACTGTGGTCAGAGGCCTGCTTGAAGACCACAAGCAGCGAATGGAAACAGTAAACAAGCCGGTTATGGCCACTTACATCGCTCGGGCGAGCTACGGTGTAGTGATTCGCGAGATCTACGACCCTGCGCGTCACTTTAATGAGCAGATCGAGTATGATGAACACAATCCTCGCGACAGATGGGCTATCAACCAGATCCAGTGGGTCATTCGCAAAGTATGTACAGAGATATGCTCCCCAGTTCATCATATATACTGACTGGGGCGATAGGGAGATTCGGTGGACCCAAATGAACCATTAATAAAACAGTTTGCGATACGTTTGCAGCCTGGTCAGACAACAAGATCATGGGACTCTCAGATTGTTGTTTCTAGGAATGAGATTGATTTCCTCCCTCGAAGCTTACGACAAGGTATGTTCCTATAAGCATTTCCTTTTAATTCAGCAAACCATGTCTCCGTGCATCTTGGTCAAAATTCTGGCTAACTAGAGCTTTCGCTTTTACCGTTAACAGCTGGTGTCAAGAGGTTGTGTCTTGTGAAAAGTAACCTTACGGGTGTTCAAGAACACGAGCTTGTGCTTCAAGAAAAGCGTGGCTTCTGCTGTTTCAGTCAAGGCTACAAGTACTACAGCTGCGTGTTTGATATTCATGTAATTGTAGCTTCGGCTGATATACGTTTTGAGTTGTGGTTCCGGGGTCAAAAGTTCTCTAGAAACCATGACCCAATTAAAGTTGAGTGGAATTAATAGAGATTTGATTAACAGATTGAGGGAATATAATCTAGATATCTCAATATCCTAAACCTTTTTTACTAAGCGATACTCGACGCCTGATTGCTAGCTCTGCCCAAAAAGGTGGTCCATAGGGAAATTTTCCATCATCAAAGTTCATGTTCAAAAGCATCATACGCCGATACATACACAATAATTAATTCTATACTAAGCTGTTGGGGTCGAAGTGTGCAGGGTAATATGTTGAACGAGTACAAACTAATAAATAGAGGAGTAGGCAATAATTAGACTTGTCGGCTTATTTATTACTCTTGGTTCCATCACTATCTTCAATGGTCAGGCTACCAATATTGGTCTATAGCTCAAGTCGCAAGGGCCAAAGATCATCCTCAATAAGGTTCGAGATCCGTTTTCAACTTTCAGCCACGGGGGCAAATGGAAATTTGGAGGTTCTAGGGGAAAATGGTTCAAGTTTATTCGGAGGTTCTCTAGCTTTTGGATTTATGCTGGATTTCCCATTACCCTGTTATTTACCTTCACTGTTGGTATGCTACGGAACGTTCAGGATGCATGGAATACTGCAAGATAGATATTTGCTGTTTATTTCATAGTTGGAGGGGTATTGTGCTAACAGTATATGAAGTGACTCTGTTAGGTCGACTAGATACTAAGCCGGCCGAACCTCAATGTTAATCATATATGACGTCCCCGAACCTCCAGAGCATTTACTTGAAAAATCATATCCAGGCTGAACCAGCATCAATCGTGAAACACATGTCCAGAATTCCGCAATCTGGTTCGATCCCCACAAACACTGAAGTCCCAAAGGGTATTCAGTAGCCGGGACAATCTTGCAAACCAGAGGGCTCTCACCATTTGATGCTTTTGACATGACACGCGCAACGCCATACGGGCTTGTACTATAGTAATTGTAGTAGGCTGTCTTTCCCGCAGAACTTTCAGGCCCGTTGTCGGCGACGAGCTCTCCTGTATGCGTATTCAGGATGGATCGTTGGTCAGAGCTAACATCGGTGGTAAAGTCGATAAGATAGTTTCCTGTGGAGCCTGGCTGTGCCCGTAGATTGATGAAACCAACGCCTCCGATAGGGGCAAGGCTGGGGTCACCGCTATCGTGTGCGATAAGATAGACTGTCTGAACTGGATCGATTTCCTTGGTTGTAGTGCTGGTCTGGTAGACAGTTTGGGTAGCAACAAAATTGTCTTCTGTAGCAGTTTCGACGATGCGGGTGACATGCTCAGTGGTGTACGTTTGGAGGACTGTCTCCGTCTTGACTGTCTTGGTAGCATAGGCAGTTTCGATAGTTGTCTTGATCGTTGATCGTCGGGGAATCATAATGAGATGCTTGACGGAAACGATGGTCGCTCGAGGAAGGGTAACGACCTTGCTGGTGACACCAACGCGGGAACAAGCTGATGAGTATTTTGCCGAGTCGGTGCACCCCTTGCTGGCATAGGAAGGGATAGCAGGAACGTTGGCAGCTCGCTTAAATGGCGGGGAGACATCTTGAGCTGTAGTTGTAATTATCTTTGTAGTCTGCTGGGTTATGATCTTTGTACGATCATTGACTTGAGTTGTAGTCGCATCGACAACGACAGTTTGGATGACTGATTTGGTGGTGGTGGCGGTAGCGAATTTTGTGTTGGTTCCCGTGACGGATTTTCTGACTGTCGGGATGCTTGTCGTTGTCACGGTCCTATAAACAATTCTGTTGATTGTTAACCAGAATCTTTTACTTGTATCAGGGTCCTTACGCCTTCTTTGGCGTCACAGTGGTATATAGGAACGCCTTGCAGTCAGATACGTAGACTTTGCTGCTGACTCCAGTAACGGATGCCAGACAAGAGTCAGAGGGGACAGCGATACCCTCGACGCCAGCCAGCAGCATGCCCAATGGCACGAAATAGTTGAAAGGTCTCATATCTTGGCTGGGCAAAAAGTGACAGAAATTTAAAGGGCTACATTAGAGTAGGGGCAAAGTAAGTATTAAATACTATGGCTTTTGGCGGAATTGCCGGTCACTTGCACTAGTAATTGTTCCAGACTTTTTCTCTATTGATTTCATATCGCCCTCCTGACTTTCATATGGGGAAATCACTTCAATCGGTTAAAATCCCAGGGTCTAGATCATATACGCCGAAGCTGTTGTTGTTTCATTTGGAACTATTGAAATAGCCTCGGCGCTGTTTAAAGCTGGGACCCGTGCTGATTGGTGCATCGAGACAATAGTTCTTGATACCCTGTACAGCTTCGTGTCTAGTTGCGAAATCGATTTATTGCCATTCTGTTTGTGAATTTCTTACAATTGTAGTCATCATCAAAATCGCCGCTTTAATTTTTCATCGTCTACACTGTTCAGAGGAAGCTTTATCTAATGTTACCTTCAAAATGAGTCACCTTGTGATGTGTCAACCAAGAATAAATACCGAAACACTGAAAGACCATAACGTGTCGATGGTTGTGGATTATGGTATGTCACGGTCTTAGTGATAAACCCCTGTTTGCGCTACGTATTTATGTCACACGATATACTGATTCTATTGCAACTGCTGGTGATATCAAGAAATTCCAGCGATCTTATAGGATATCTGGTCCAACCAAAGAACTTTCAAGGCCAGGTGCGTGACTAGGCCAAGACTCGCTCGCAAATTTATCCAACATCTCCTTCGGGTTTGCAAACCCCTCGCAAATGGCATTATTGCTCGGCGGTGGAGGTGAGGATGTGTCTGCCAACAAACTAGCATCTTCAACATGGGGTCCGGGCCTTATCCCATGCGACCATCCAAAAATATTATCTTTGTCCCAAACTGCCTTGATCCTTTGCAACTCCCCTGCATTTTCACCATAGTATGCTCTCTCATAGGTGTTTCCGTCTAAGTTTTCGTCTGGAAAGTTGATGTACACGCCCAGTTTGCTCATGGAATACTCTCTCAGCTTCGCGTTGAAAGTACCGAGAAACTCTCGCATATCTTTCTCCAACCACTTGTCCTTCCACTCAATCATGACGTAAGTGTGATATACACATTCACGCCACGGGTAAGCGGAATAGGCAGATTCCTCCTTGCTTGACGCGCCCCCGGAATGGATCCAAGAAACTCTAATAGAGCCCTCTTCACCCTTGAACTGCTTCTTGAAAGCCACGAGCCTCTCTTGAAGGATACCGATGATCTCGAAGAGTTTTCCCTTGGTGTCATTGGTGAACTTGGTAAACGAAAACGACGTGCAGACCTTGAAAGCGGCATTTGAAGGCAAGGACCTCTGTGTCTCTTCCGACCATTGAGCAACAAGAGTCTCGTGAAGAAATCGGGTCGAGGGCTCTTGTAGAGTTCGATCTTTGAGATGCTGCTGTAGTGACTTGCATTCTTTCGGGCCTTTGACACAGGCTTGTAGACGTTCATTTACCTCTTTGTCAAAAGCTTTCTCTAGCCCGTTGTAGTAGGCTAGAAATCGCACTGCCGGAACCTCTCGGCTGTCTTTCAGGTCCATCAACCAACTGGTGTCGATGGTCATCTCGTTTGACCAATCAGCAAGGTAGAACTCTGCCATGGTTTCGGTAAAGTGTGACTGGGACTCTAGGTCACCGAATGGTGACCAGGTATAAACCCCAGCAACTACAACATCTTGCTTCAACTTCTGAACATCCATCTTCAGCTGGGTTACGACTCCATAGTTGTTTCCCCCAGCGCCGCAAAGGGCCCAGAAGAGCTTCTTGTTCTCGATTTCCTTGTCATCACGAGATACTTGGATCACGCGATCGGGAGTGACGATGCGAGCTCCCATGAGCGTGTCACTTCCTAAACCGAAGCTTCGGGTGAACGGTCCTAAGCCTCCACCCAAAGTGAAGCCGCTAACTCCGACGCTAGGGCAACGTCCGCCGTTAATCACATAACCATTGTGGTGTTCGTTGATCAGCTCGTGATAAGCATGAGCCCACAGGGCTCCTGCATCCATAGTAATAGTCATGTTGTCCATGTCAAGGTCCACCCGTTTCATGTTGACCAAGTCAATAGAGATACCATCTTGTATAGACGAGAACCCAGCGTATGAGTGACCGCCATTCTTAACTCGCATAGTCAAGTTCTTTTTCTTGGCTCGCTCAACGACGACGCGAACATGGTATTCATGCTCGGGTTGGACGACGCAAGCTGGTCTGTCAAAGCGATAGAGAAGATTCGAGTTCGCGACAGACTTTTCGTACTCAAGTTCTCCGGCGGTGTATACGGGGATCTTTCTGCCTTTGAAGTAACCCACTTGTGCCATACAGCGTTCAAATAGGGTGGCCTCAGGCTCTTGCTGGTTCTTTCTTTCAGACTTCATGGCTGATGATGGCACTTTGAAATGAAGGAATTTACTAAGGTGGTTGGTTGATAAAGATAGAAGGTGTATCACAATGGCCAGAAACTTAGTTTTGACATGAAGACGTCTGACTTTGGAGCTTTTATCACCTTTCATGGGTCTTGTCAGTGTGACTAACCCTGGCTCTTTAATGAGGTGTGGAGAGATAACTCATCACATATTTCATGGTCTATCACATTTCTCACAGTCAATGTCTCAAATTTCGTTGAACACGTCTGGAGGTCAGCTTTCAGCTGTTCTTGCAGTTGTTGTCTCTATTCCGGCTTCAGCCAGCCTTAGCTTGGAAGAATGGTCGGTGTAAAGTGTGCACACCACCAACGACTATCGCCATGATTTAACCAGCCAATCGCTATAAAGCAAGTCTCCTTGTGCGCATCTCGGCCAGCCTGGTCTTGACTGTTTCAATAAACCCTGGCGTTACGCTCGCTAGCAGAAGATAGCAGCCACGTTATACAGAGCGACCCGGAAAGGCATGTGGAGTAAGAGGCATCCTTACCGGAAGATGACGGGAAATAAGACTTAGGACGCGAGGTCAAATACTTATCCATCTTAAAAGTCACTTTTAATAGCCCTCTAACTATTATAAAGTATGCCAACTAATAGAAGAAACTTTGATTGTTAATTTACTATATAATATGTCTAGTATATAATTGTAATTCATATTAATGTACTCTATTTAAGATCGATAAGTGGGAGGATCATGTCCGAAGTCTTGTACCCTGCCTACCCTGTGTGGCATTGAGCCAGTCTAAGATGTGTAACTGGGGCTGGCTGAGGGGTGGCGTAACCGGTGAGTTTCCAGCCAGCCACGATAGATACTAAGACCAAGAACGCACTTCTAGAGACAATCACAAGGCATACCGTAATGGCGACCCATGCAGGGCTTAAGCTTGCATCCTAGCTACCACCTATGCTAATCAATAAAAATTCAGGAATAACTGGAATGTCTGTTTAGTCAGTAGATGTAAGGGATATACTACTGACCGATTTGTGTTTTCAGCTTTCAGCTATAAGCCACTTCCATCGTGGGGTTTCGCACTAGTGCCAGTCTGAAAAGAATCGATAGCCTAATGTTAGAGATCAGTTGTCCTTCGCCTTTGAACAGAGAAGGGTCTTTTGACGGAAAATTAAGCAGAGAACAAGATCATTGCATACAACATCCCCATGATAAGTAAAGGGTATCTATTTTAGTCAATTTATGGCTGGGAGTGCTGGCGGTGACAAGGCGCAGACTTTAAATGCGCAACATTAGACAGCGTCACAAAGGGTAGTTTTTGAAAAAACACGAGTCAAACCACCGGGGAGAATTAATATCAACATATTTGAATATGGCAAGAAATTTAACCAAGGAGAATTGGAACTTCAATGTGATCCTGAACATTGTGTTAACTTTTTCAGATATTGATAGCGTTTACTGTTGAGCATCAAGAGTATCACGTGTACGCTCACGTGCTCACACCTTATCGTCTGCAGTCCTTCACCTTCGGATGTCATATGAACACCAATATTATTCACAGCCTCTTATCATTCATTTTGTATTCATTTACGGAAGAACATGGTCCATCCAGTTATCAGCCTGCCCATCTCATAACGCGGAGGCAATGATCAGCAAATTGTTTCAGGTGATGGAGCAGAACCCACAATGCCATGAAATTGGCACAAGCTTTCGCTTGCGGAACGAAAAAGGCCGTTCCCGTTCGGGGAGAAAAGCTTGTTTCCTAATCTCTTGTTAATCTTGGCAAGAAAATTTGACATTATGTGAGATTCCGTAGTTTATGGGTGCTCTTCCAGGGAATCCCTAAGTGGTTTGCGTCTTTGGAAGTTATTGAATTTGAACATCGTATCAATACACTATGAATTATGACAGCTCAATAAACGCTGATAAGGTACAGTACTAGCCATTGGCGGCGTAGACAACCTGGATGATACCAGTAATCGACTGAATCAATCCAAACAAAACAGTTAGAAATACAGCAGTAATCAATGCCCACCTTGTCCACCACAGACTCAGGTCGCGATCATCATACCAAATCCTTTTGATACCCATGTTGGGCTGGTTCTTGGAGGCTTCAAGCACCCATGCAAGTCGCTGATTCCACACTGGATAGGCTGTGTAGAGGCGAGAGACTGTTGGATTGTTTGGGCTTGGTAAAGATCTTTGCCAGTTTTCAATTTTCCCATGTTTATACTTAAACCATGAAATATAGTCAATGTATCCATAGCCATGAGGGGGCTTAGGGAAGAACAAGTGTGATGTTGCCAGTGTTTCGTCTATAAATTCTTCTGTGAAAAATTTAGAAGTCCTTCAAACTGTTAGCACTATCAATACGGCAATGTGACAAACTGTCCATAAACCCACAATTCCTGCGCACCCTTGACATGCTTAAGAGCTCCGATATTGCTGAAAAGATATAACGTGTTATCTCGGACTGTAAGATGGTCCGTAATATAATGGGTCCAATCAATTCTCAACCCTGCCTTTCTCTCCAGATCTATGGCGTTGAACCATGACGGAAATCCATCTATCGGGTTCCAGTATCCTAGAGATGGTGATGTCTGTATCGTATCAACAACCGACTTCAGACTCTCATTATCAGATATGTACAGCATATACGAGTGATCATTGCTGGACAAATTGGATTGTTTGACTTTGATCATGAGTAATACCCTGATGACAAACATGATGGCAGGGGAAATGGATTCCTCTGGTATGCCTGTCCCTTGTAGTTGGTCTGCCACAATTTGACGTAGCTCGGCCAGATTACTAGAGTAATTCTGTAAGATGGCGTCTCGTATGATCAGGACATGGTCGAATTCCAGGCTAGGTAGACCGGTGCGTTTGGTATCTAACAATGCTCTGACTTCGTCCCTTAGCAGCTGAAAATAAGCGGAAAACGCCTCAATATGTGCATCAATGGGGCTGTGCCACATCTTTTCAACAAAAATCTTCTTTTCCTTGTCATGGTTTTTAGATGGATGATCAAGAAAGACGCCAATATCAAAATTGTCAGACATTGTGAATGGCTGCAGTAGTAGAATTCCTTGAGAAGTCTGGAAATAGTATATTCCATTGAGAGTGGCCGTTGCTGTCTTTTCAAAGATGATGTCAATTGCTTGATAATTGGGGGCTGAAATCGACAGCCTCATTTTCAACCTAAGCGGCATTGTGGTTGGATAAGAACTTGCATGAAGGGAGGGGTAAATAAATGCGAGGGGTCAGATCAGCTTGGCATTTTAAAGGATCGCTGATAAGAAGTCAGACGGTTCTACTCGAAACATCTAGGAGTTCTGTTATCTTTTTCTCTAGTGACTTGAGAACTTGAATAATATCAGTGCTGGATCATTTGCAGTCAATAAATACCATGACGTCGATCTTCACTTCGGTAAATTGGAAAGGGCATTTTGGCAAATCTACATCTCCTTACTCCCTCTATAGATACAAAGAGTGCCCTACCCCCAAGGATTACATTGGACAACACAGAATCCAAGCTTTCGAGCTTAGCTACGATCGACATTCAAAAACAACTAGCTTGCAACACGATCAGAAAAATCGAGATGGCATAGCCGTGGAATTCTGCAATACTGGTCAGCTGCCTCAAGGGCCGAAAGTTGATACAACAATCGGCTGGTACTTTGGTCAAGAAGACTTGTCCAATTTTGACTGGGGCAATCTCCAACCGGGGACAGAGACTGAGGTCGAACGGAAATTGGAGAAGAAAGGGAAGTTCAGATGGATAAGAGAAAATGAAGGTCACCTCTACGGCATTAATCGACTATGGGTCATACGAGGATATTTCATCGGGCCTAATGAGAATAACGCTCCGCCGTGCATAACGGTTCTATGCGCCCATGAAGACGTAGCTCGGTTCTTGGTTGACCGTATTCACGACAAACTACACCTTCACGAAGGCTGGGGCGCGACGAGGCTACCTGGAGTCAAGGTGCTAAGACTGGCGTCTGATCTTGGAAGCAATGATAAACCTGACAAACCTGATCAATACTCTGTTGATGGAGAAGCTCAGAAGGATCAGATAAGGATTGAGATTGGATCCCCAGACAAACACTCTATGCCAACCATGTCGAACGAGGATCTCTCTTCCTGGGCACAGAGTCGTCATCGGTGCGGCGTTCAAGTTGAAATCGTCAGAGACTCAGAAGTCATTGCGAAGGCAACCGTTGGCGGCCTCATCGTAGTTGGGGGCGAAGTGTATGGCTTGACAGTCGGTCATCTTTTCTCTCCATCAGCATCACATGATGGAGGAGAACTGCAGAGTCTGTCCTTTGAGACGATATCCACTATGAATGCATGGTAGGAAGGGCAAGCTTGCGGCATGGAGCTTGACTGGGCGCTTGTTAAAATCCTAGGCCTCCATGAAAAAGATGTTGAGATTTGGGAGGATGTTAACCTAGCCCAGACGGTGAGCGGTGAATTTCGTCCTGTCCTTATCGCCTTGGAGGAACCAGCTCCATCCACCCACGTGGTACTAGCCACTCCCGGATCGACGCATTGTCTCCGTGGTGTCTTTGTTGGCCCTGGTGCTATTGTTAACATCCCAGCATCACCGACCCCCTATGCCACATGGGTCTGCAGGATGGAGCTACCATGGCTAGTACAGCCAGGAGATAGTGGATCATGGCTTCTCGATGCTGACAGCGGCATGCTTCTTGGAATATTAGTGGCAGGCTGCCCTGAATTACAAGAAGCATACATCATTCCTGCTCACGAAATCATCGACGACATAAAGCGACATTACTCAAATGACCCACATTTATCTATCAATCTTCCGAATTGCCATCCTCTCCCAAAAACCAAACAGATTGACCTCCATAGGTACATTAATGAATACGGATCTATCGTCAAGAGTTTTGAGAATATTGACTCGCTGCAAAAGCTAGAGGAACTTGACAGTCGCATAACGAAGTGGATTGAGAATGCCGAAGCTTTTCGAGATATTCCTCCATCATTGTATAATTTGCGAAGTCGAAGTTCACGATGGCAACCTACTCTATCAGTCCTACAATATGAGACCTTGGAAAGTAAAGAATGGCTTGACTCTAAAAACTCAAGTTTCGATAGCTTTGAGGGCCCGCTCAAAACCGCCATTCAGCAGTCTCCGTTACGATGTTGCAACTTTATGAACGAAATGTTTGCGGTTCAGAAAAAGTCAACACAGACGACTTTGTTACGACGTTTATGGCGATGTTTGATGTTAGGTCTCAGCACTTATTTGCGCAACGACGAGGACATACCCGAGGCCACTAAATCTGTGTACGACCTCATGATGAAAGCAGAGGTTGGTTTGATGTTGCATAAGACATCCGCAGACTATTCCGGGCCTCGATCTCCTTGGGAAATGAATTTGATTGAAAAGAGACAAAGCGGCGTCTTTCCGTGGTATAACCATGGTTCTGCACACAGATTTCCAGAATCTTATCTAAATATTAGACGCCATTGGTACCCCGTGAAACGAGACTACTTGTCACGGGGCAAGGCTATGCGAAGAGCTAAATGGGTCCCATGGGACAGATATACTGCTACGGAAGTTCTTGGCAGATTACGCAAAGATCTCGAGGAGCAGATTGTTGTCCAACGGAAGGGTGTTGAAATAAGTTTACCAGAGACGGAGACGTTAGGTAAGTTTGAGTTTGTTTGAATATCCCATGAGAAATCTATCTGACGCGTGGATGACAGATTCGCTCTTCTTGTCTCAGAACACTGACAGTAACATGGTGCTCTTTGCCGTCAAGTTAATGGACAAAGATGGCAAGTTCTCCGTTATTTTACCACCACCCTCTATCGGTCCATGTACATACACCCAGTATGGGATACCTGGACATCGCTATCCGAAGTATTTCGCGAGCAATAACGCAATTACGTACTCCCCTTGGAGGCTTCCATTCATTCTCACAAAGAAAAGCGTTCATGATAAGGAAAACCTTAAATTGTTGCTGTCAACGCAGCTCAACATCAACGTCAGCGATTTCAAACGACATCAAAAACTAAATCTTTTACAAAATCACTCTAGATTCTATCTCAAGGAATACAACCAATACGTCGATGTTGTTATCTATGAGGGTCATATCGAGGATCAGGATTTTACTATGGAGCATGGTCCGACTGGTTGGATGATGCCAGCGGTGAATGAGGAATCAGCAAAAAAACACTTGTCGCCTCCTTTTTCTGCTATTCTTGATTTCCACGATGATGATATGGAATGTTGACTATCACTGCACATTTATAGTACCAATTTTAATATTCCTCATATTTCTATGAAGATAGCTTATTCTTCTCCAAAACATAAATTATAGCCTCCCCCCTATAGTTTGTATCACTGTTAAATTTAGTAAAAAGTTAAATATATTGACATGAAGTTTCCTGGCAGGATCACTTTCTTGTGAGGATGTCCTTTCTTCTTGCGCCTTATTCTCGTCAATGTGAGATATATTTATTGATACCATTTATTGAGATATTGAACTATGAGGGGTGGACCAACCCTGCAAGTAAAGGTCTTGAGTGTATTGTATATGCTTAGTCTTCAATTGGAAGCTCGCAAATATATAAATAATTATCAGCTACTTAGGTACCAAACATTATTATACATGTACTCGTAGTCTCTGTCATCGTTTTACTAACACTGATATCTCTTCCTAGGTACGTACTTTTACTATTGAACTTACATAACTTTGAAGATCCCTGATGAGTCACTACTATGTAAAAACATGCTCTTATCCTCCTCCCAATCTTCCTCCCAATCCTGCCCCAGAGCCTCCTCCCACCCCTTAATAAAATCCTTCCACATGAAACGAAACGAGCTCTCATGATCACATCAACTTTAACCTTTAGGAACAATTCAACCTCTCAAGATCCGCCAATCAAACCCTCGCAATTTGAAACTCTCAACCCCATGGGCCGTCATGCCGTTGGCGCGCTTCTATTTACAGGGATCATCTCAAACAAGCCCAGACCTTGTCCTTCTCCACTAGCCATGAGAGTTGCTTCTTTCAACCACAGAATCAAGAAACGGAAAAAAATCATGATGTTCGACCCTGGTATGACATACCTTGTCGGTAATTCTCCCGGAGGTATACGTATGACGACCAAATGTGGTTAACGCACCGGGATATTAAAGGTCTCCTGCATATGAGCCTCCATTTCGGTACTTGCTTATCACCTCATAGACTAGGATAGCAGAAACATATATATCACATACCACACCCATCATGGTGAGCCTCTTCAAGTCATCGCTACCTTTGATCTTCATTCCCACCGCAAGTACGGTGTTTTTCTTCTTTCTACCGCTCGCGGTATATTCCATTCATTAAACGACCCTGGTGGTCTTCACATTCTCTATAAACACATTCTTTAACCGATCAAAATGCGTTTCACTCTTTCTTCCGCTGCAGCCCTTTTGGGTCTTGTTGCATCTTCCACCGCCCAGCGAACCACCGCATACACCGACCCCAAGACAGGCATCGACTTTCAGCGCCTGGTCAACCATGACTTTAGCGTCGGTATCGCTGTCCCCGAGACCCTGGGCACAGACCTGATCGCCCAGCTTGTCGTCCCCGTTGCGAAAGAAGGATGGGGAGGTATCTCTTTCCGAGGCGGTATGGTTAACGGTCTTCTCTTCGTCGCTTGGCCCAACGGTGAAGACATCGTTACCAGCTTCCGTTTGGCTGGCTCGTACGCTAACCCTGACACGTACACCAACACTACTGTCAAGGCGACGCCTATTCCTGAGGGTACTTTTGTCAACAGTACTCATTTCTCGTACACCTTCCTCTGTGAGGGATGTGTCGTGGAAAAGGTTACTAGCCTTACTGGAGAGTCACCCGTTGTTGGATACGCTTACTCTACCATTGCTGTCGACGCTCCTGCTGAGCCCGAGAGTGCCCTCTCTTACCACGGTGCTGGCTTCGGTCAGGGTGGTCTTGACATCAAGGCTGCTGCATCTGCCAAGTTTGCTGAGTGGGCTGAGATGGCCAAGGAGACTACTCCTACACCTCCTGGTGGCGGTGGTGGTGGAAACGGTACCACCCCTGTTCCTGACACCCCTCCTACCACTTCCAACGTCACCTACGATGTGATTGTCGTCGGTGGTGGCCCAGCTGGTATCATCGCCGCTGAGCGTCTCGCCGAGACAGGAGTCAGTGTTCTTCTCATCGAGCGTGGCCCTGCCAACACTGTCGCCCTCGGAAACACACAGCAAGCCCTCCCCTGGAACAACAGCCTTACTCCCTACGACGTCCCCGCTCTTGGAAGCAGCATGGGTAGCATGTCTGGCACCAAGTTCTGCAGTGACACCGCTTCCACTGCCGGATGTCTCCTCGGAGGTTCCAGCTCCATCAACGGTCTCAACTTTATTCACCCTCCTGAGCGCGACTTCCAGCGCTGGCCTGCAGGCTGGAGCTGGGCTGATATGTCGGCTGCCGCTGAGCGTCTATACGAGCGTAACCCTGGAACAACCCTTCCTTCTGACGATGGAGAGTACTACGATGACATGACATTCCGTGTCCTCGAGGGTTACCTCAGTGCCAAGGGCTGGAAGGAGGTTGATTCTATTGAGCAGCCAAACGAGAAGCACGAGGTTTACTCTCGCTGCTCTTGGTCTATCAAGGATAACATGCGCGCTGGTCCTGCCCGTACTTACATGCCCTTTGCCAAGGCCCTTCCCAACTTTACCCTCAAGCTTGAGACTAAGGTTATCCAGCCCATTCGATCCGGCAGCATGATCACTGGTGTTCTCACCCAAGCTGCCGATGGTAGCAAACAGATCATCAATGTCAAGGCCGGTGGTAAGGTCGTTCTCGCTGCTGGTGCCATGTCTACTCCCCGTCTTCTCTGGAACGCTGGTATCGGCAAGTCTGATGCTCTTGCCCTCGTCAAGGAGGGCGCTTCTCGAACTGGCGTTACTCTGCCTCCTGCTTCTGACTTTATTGATCTCCCCGTTGGTCACCACCTCCAGGATCACGCTCAGGTCATGCTCCAGTTCAAGACCAAGAGCAACTTTACCGCGTACAAGTTCAACGACATTGCTACCAAGCCCGTCCCCTCCGATTTGGACCTGTACATGCAAGGTTCCGGTCCCATCACCCAGGCTGCTCAGCGCATGCACTTGTGGACTTCTGCCGAGGGCGCTGACGGTCGCGTTCGCTACCTTCAAGGCACAGCTAGTGCCATGGCCGATGGTATCATCACTGTCCGCACATTCTTGACCCACGGCACTTCCACCGTCGGAGAGCTTGGTATCGCTGCTGGAGGAAACACTCTCCTCAAGACAAAGCCCTGGTTGATCGACCAAGAGGATCGAAAGGCCATGGGTGACTTTGTCCAATACTGGTTGGACCTCGTCAGCGCAAGCAACTCTACCCTCTCTTACATCACCCCCGGTGCCACCGTTGATGACATCCTCGCAACCAAGATGATCAGCGGTGATCACTGGATGGGCAGCGCCAAGATGGGTGTTGACGACGGTCGTAAGTCCAACGGAAGCAGCGTCGTGGACCTCAACACCAAGGTCTACGGTACCGATAACCTCTTTGTTGTCGACGCAAGTCTGCACCCTGATCTCCCAACAGGAAACACCCAGTCCATCATTATGATTGCTGCTGAGCACGCTGCTGAGAAGATTGCTGCTCTCAAGGTTGTCGGTGGAGGTAGCAACTCTACCATTCCCGAGCCTATTTCTTCTGCTCCCACACCTGTCCCCACCCCTTCAACAGGTACCAAGTGCAAGCGGGCTATTCGTCGTGCTGCTCGTAGGTCCATTGACTTTCGACGACGATCAGCTTACTGAGTTTAATCTCTTTGCTGAGATTTGGAGATGAATATTTCTTGTGTATATTGTAACCAGATAAGAATCTTTGGTAGCTGTAAATAAAATAGCAACATTGTCAACCAATTGTCAAATCAGTCGTTCCTTTATGATGTAAATGATGACGTTTCAGTAAGCTGTCGTGGTAGGAACGGGGGAGTGGATCCTTCCTTCTGTAAAGGCCCTGTAACGATAACTTCCGTGGCGAGTCTTACCAAAAATCAACGCCCCTCTTACATCTTACTGCGACTTTATCAGAATCAAAATACCCCAATTTTGACCCCAATTCGCCAGTTTTATTGGTCAGTTTACCTCGGTTTCGTGTTCGCCATACTCGGGATCGGGCGGATTTAACTCTCCGTCAGCATCGTCGTCCAGTATTTTACTGCAGCTCATCTTCAATCATCGACATTCTCGGAACGAGTGCGAACTACCACAAACTGATACCTCACAATGGACGAGACAGAACATAGGAGGAACACTCGCTTCGGGTACAAAAAGTCCCGAAACGGATGCATCCGATGTAAACAGCGCCGAGTCAAGGCATGTCAATAAACAATCCATCATGTTACACACGTCCGACTAACTATTCTATAGTGCGATGAAGAAGTCCCGTGTACAGCTTGTATCAGACACAAAGTCCGCTGTAGTCTCGAGCTGTCTGAGGCAGAGCAACGGAGCCTTGCGCCCCCACGCTCCAGTCCTGCGTCTCAGTTATCGCCGGGCTCTTTGTTATTCCAACCTCTTGACGAAGCCGACTGCTGGGTATCAACCGCTCAGCTGATGCTCCACTACACCACTGTCACATACAAGACCATGTTCTTTTCCGAAAATGCCGTCGCCACATTTCAACGAATCATGCCGCAAGAGGCTCTCGCATATCCATTCTTCCTCCGTCAAATATTAGCTTTTTCCGGCTATCACCTCGCCCATCTTCACCCCGAAAAGAAACAATTCTATCTTTTGCAAGCATCAAAGCACGTCAACTCTTCATTACGCGGTATCAGAGAAGCACTCTCTGAGGAAGTCACCTCCAAAAACTGCCACGCTTTATACGGCAGCACCACATTCGTCGTGGTGAACAAATTTGCTGCATTTCCCAACTGCGACGACTTTCGTAGTCACGAATGTTCATTGCCAGTTCAGAGTCTTATGGAGATTTTCTCTCTTGTTAACGGCATGGAAGCCGTGTTGAAGTGCCCAGGCGCTGCGGATCTCCCCAACGGTCCTTTGAAAGAACTTTTCTGCGAAACGGAACAAATCCATGCGATAAGCCCTCTTCTAAGTGGTCTATCTGAACGTTTACCCGAGCTTGCCCGCAGGATATCAACCGATTTTATGGAAGATAGGTGCCGTGATACTTTGATATCAGCCGTGCAATCCATCACGAGTTGCGTGAACGATTCACTTGGAGAGCTCAACAAAGCGTCACCTCCAGAGTTGAGGATTATTTTCTGGTGGCCTATGACTGTGTCGCGAGATTTTTTGGACCTAGCATTGTCTGGAAATGCGTTGGCTCTTGTGATACTGGCCTATTATGATATTTTGCTGCACTGGGGTGAGTCGCAGTATTGGTTCTTTGAGAATTGGGCCGAGCTTCTTATTACTGCCATTGCGGACAAGGTTAAGGGGTCGTCGTGGGAGGATTTGTTGAGCTGGCCTATTGAAGTAATCCTGCATGAACAGAACATGATAGATCGAGAGATCAGACAGTAGACTCCACTGCATTGCAAACATTGATGCGGTCATCTCCGTGAACATTTCCGTACCCCACCGCTTCGGCGAAAGAGCCAAGCGACGATCTTCACTAGGATTATTAGTGATATTCGCAGACTTCATCAATTATATACCATGTTCTTTTCTCATGCTTATTTCTGAGTCCGGTAGCATTCGGGAGTTAGCGTGAGACAAGTGTAACATTCAATCTGACGGCTTCCGAGACATGTCATCAGACCTATCATTACCTGTAAGCGGTACCTGTCGCTCTGAATGTCATCATTCGTGTTCGGACTACTTATTCGGACAAGATAAAGCTCAGATTATGAGGTTACAGTTGCATTGAGCCGGTACACAAACATAGACCCGGTCCGATCTGTGTATTTATGCGTCTCCCTGATGACAGCTTACTGGCTAAAAATTAGTGTCTGCTTACGCCCAGACTAGATCAGACGCCATGGAACATCGGGAAATGAGCATCAATTACTTCCTTCGGACTCTTGGGAAATGAAGATCAGCTGACTGTACTACAAAGGATTCAAGACCCTGAAAAAAGTATTTATTCAAGTCCGTCCATCGCCTCTTGATTTTCTGGGTGACACACATTCATTCAATCTGTCCAACTCAATCAATCACCATGTCGTCAACAACTGAAAAAGAGAAATCGGCTCCACGCCCTCCTCCCCTCTTGTGTCTTGGTGCTGCTCGTACAGGCACAGCATCTCTCATGGAAGCCCTTCGAATTCTAGGCCTCGAAAACGTACACCACGGCTGGGAAGTCTCTGAACGCGAAGATCAGCAATGGCAATGGCGCATTTTCGACCGTGCGGCTGACGCCACGTATTCCAACCTCCCTACATACAACGGCAAGGGCTTCTCACGCGCAGAATGGGATGAGGTATTCGGAGGTTACGAAGCTGTATCAGATGTAGCTTCTTTCTTTGCAGAGTCTTTAATCCCAGCCTATCCCGACGCAAAAGTCATTCTCGTCGAACGCGACATTGAGAAATGGTACAAGAGCGTTCTAATGATTTTCGAACCCGCTCAAAACCCACGTTACAGAAAGCTTGGTGAGACAGTTGGGAAATTAGCTGGTTATGACAATGCGAAAGCTAGTTTCAAGATGCATCAGGGTTGGACAAAGGCACCGACTCCAGAGACTACAGTTGAACATTTGAAGGAAGCGTATGTTCGACATAACAAGTACATCAGAGAGAATGTACCTGCGGATCAACTTTTGGATTTTCAGCTTTCACAAGGTTGGGAGCCTTTGTGTCAGTTTTTGGGAAAGCCTGTTCCTGATGTGCCATTTCCGCATGCTAATGATACGGCGGCGTATAAGGCTAGGGGTAAGAAGTTGACTAGGAAGATGATGGGTAGGGCTGCGAGGAACTTTTTCTTTCCTTGTTTTAAGAAGACGTTTTGAGTAGCTGGAGCATGAGTGGATGCAGAGATTAGATGCTGTACATACTTTTATGTACTGTGGTATACTCAGAAAAGGCGGCAGATATATAACGAACAATGGCACATTAATACCTGGATAACTTATTCAGTCTTTGATATCTTTCTGCTGGTTGTATTACTCTTTTAAGTAAAGGCTGCTCGTTGTGTGGCCCATTAAGGATAGCGTGTGTGCTTGATTGAACCTCACCACCAATAATTCATGGGGCGGTTCTGGATCAAAACTACTACCGATTGGCAAATAAGCGAACAGGTAAACCTCTAGACTTATTTTCGGAAGAAAATGATTTTTTATCCAGAGTTTTACCTTGGTTTAACATTTGAGAGAACAAGATTGGATGAAAGTGAAGGCAATGAGCTCCCGGGATACGGCCCGAAACTCCGGGAGCGGAGCACAACCACCATCAGGTCGATCAAGGATAACCTATATCATTACGGTCCCAATCACTCTGAGATCTCAGAATTTCTGTCCAACTTCCCTTTTTTTATCTCATGCTACTTCTGATTTTGTCAATATATATTTGAACAATTAACAAAAATGGCTGCACCTAAAGATTACAACTGGCAGCAGGTAAAGCCTGGAGTATGGCAACGTCCTATCGATGAGATTGAACAGTTCTACTCATCATTGGTTGTTCTCTATGAAGGAAGCGGCCGTATGTTCTTTGGAATCACCGGACACATCTCACTGTCCATCCAAAGCCCCAAAGATGTATCGTCAGAAGATGCTGAACGCCATGTTGACGAAGCTTTACGCAAAGCATGGCTCGCGTTAAGATATGATCACCCTACACTTGCATCCCAAGCAACTCAAGACCCTGAGACGGGAGAATGGGTCAAAACATACAAACATCTCGATGGAAATGCTGACAAGAATGATTGGGTTGACAAGACTCTTGTTCACATCTCCAATGGTCAGACTGGAAACGAATGGGCAAACTCGGATCCTCCAGCCCCGAAAGTCCCTACAATATTTGTTCTTCATCGCCCCAACGAAGAAAAGGATGGCTCCCAAATTATCCGTCGAGATCTCGTCTTGCGCTCTCCGCATGACATCCTCGACGGCATCGGAACGCTTATGCTACTCAACAACTTTATCGCTCTGGCCGCAGACGCTTACGAAAAGGGAGATACCTACAATCCCCCAGCTCTGGACGGAAGTGAGGCTTCAAACTTGAGTCCTTCCTATCGCATCGCCGCCAATATTCCAGACAAACTGCCAGAGGCTCAGATGATTAGACTGGATGCAATGGCCGTTCAAAAAGCCGCAGTAGCTTCTGATCCCAGCGTTGAAGTCCTTGCACTTCCTTTTCGAAAAGGAGAAGTTGTACCAGGTCGTCATCAACGCGTTTCACTCTCGTTTACTGAGAAAGAAACTCAACAGCTGTTAGCTGCTTGCAAGAACGTCAAAGCAACCCCAACACACGCCTTCCATGCAGCTGCGGCTATCGTCGTACGCGATCTCCAACATAAGCCGGCTGAGACAAAGAAAGTTCGGTATATCAACTACATCTTACGAAACGAGCGACCAAATTGCTCTGATCCATATAACTCTATGAAGCATCCAGCTGCTGTTTATCATTCTGTGTCTGGTCAGAGTCTTGTGGTAGACATGGATCTTCACCCATCAAACCACCAGCCTGACACCAACGAGTTTCACAAAGTCTTGGACACTATAAAAGACTTTTATCTCACCGTCAAACAAGACAAAGACTTCTATATCCTCGCACCAACAATGTTCTCCCAGGCCACTCCAGAGATACTTTCGTCTCCCCGTCCACTCCCCATTCCACCTCCCAAAGCTCACCCATCAGTATCCATCTCGAGCATGGGACGTGTGGAGGGTATGATAGCACCCGAGACAAAGGCCTTCAGTGCTCGAGATCCGTGGGTAACTGGGGAAGAACTTGGGAATGGACTGGGGTTGTTTTTGGGTACGTTTCGTGGCGAGCTGTGTTTGAGTGCTGCGTATAATGATGCGTGGCATACGGAGGGGGATGTTAGGGCGTATTTAGAGCGTTGTAAAGATGTGGTTTTCCTTGGGCTTGGATTGAAGGCGTGGGCAAATCGTGCAGGAATAGTACATTCGTTTCGAGGGGCAGATGTGACTATTCAGACAGTTCTCTGTGGAATGTAAATGCATTTGTCAGTCATGTCTTGCCACGGATACAGACGGCTCTTGATAGATATGTTGCCGATAAGGTTCAAGTCAAGTCAGATAGCCTATCATCCCCAGATATCTAGCGTTTAGATTAGAAACTCTCTCATTATGTAAACCTCACCGATGCAGACACTAGTAACTGACACCCAAACAAGTCGATATGAAGTTGATAAGTAACGATATGGGGAAGGTGAACAAGGCTCACTAACTGTGCCGCAAAGCAGCAAATAAGTCCCTGAACCAACACACCGGGAACTTCTGTGGCAACAATATTCACAAGATCAAAGTCTCGTTCCAGAATTAGTTAGAGAATTCGATCGGTTTATCAAGGCCCAAATTGACAAACCGCCACAGCCCGCACCTTCACCCAACAGACATGCACAAACATCGATATGTAGTGATCATCAGTAACGTTTGTGCAAGGAGGGGCGAACAACCAAAAGGCGAGGTCGCCGAAACTGTGTGTTGCCCCAAAGTGGAAGCTCCCTAGCCCACCCCTAGGAACCTTTGACAGGCTGGGGTAAACTAGGATCATACAGCATGCAGTATCCACTTTGTGGTAACCAAACCATATTGGGAAGCTTTTTGGATGAAAGCTGAAAGAGATATGGGGTTTTGGGTTTGATAGGGGCGAGGGTTGGGAGTGGGCGGAATTGGGTTATCATCCGTTTGGCTGACTAGGTTGTATTGGCACGTGAATGAGTTCTGTGCGAGAAAGGGAAGTTGATTGATTACACGATGGTTCATTTGGTCACTTTGATATGGCCAACAATGTTAATGTGTTGGTTGGAAGTGATGAAGTGGCAATGTTGGGATGTCGCTGTCGACCAGTTGGTTAACACCAAGAGCCAATGTTGAGAGTGTCATTACCTATACTGCACTATGCAAGAGTCTGAAGTTCAAAATAATTCTAGTAGACCAATAAACACATTTACTCGTATCACTCATTCGCATACGTCTCGTCTACCGTAAAAAGGCATATCGTGTAAATCTCACGATCTCACCACAGCACACGATACCAAGACCAATCACATAAGCTTAGTAAACCTTTACGCATCCGTGTTCTAATCTCGAGATGATCTACGTACCATTTATCAGACAACAGGGATGTCAATCCTTGGTGGGCTTTTTCCAAAATAGATGTATTTATCGCGTGGCAAACAAGCCACACCCTTTTGTCACGACTGCGACATTGTAAATCGCATCTCTTGGTTTCGCTTGGCTCCATCGCCGAGATATCCAAGGTCGTGGTAGATAAAACGCTGATCTTACCAGAATTAGATAATTCTCGGATGAAGGCGAGTTTCCAGAATTTATCGAACATGATCTACAGATGGGTAAATAAAATGCAGGATTTATCTTTGCATGCAACAATGACAATCATGGTTACAAATGTGACCACCATAGGGTAGGAAATGGATACCTTTTCGCCTTTCCAACAGCTGAAAGATAGCATCAAGATCATGACAGACCGATAAATGTCAAAAAATAAACTTGTTCCCAAAATGGCTCGTCGTCATGTTAAAGGCGTTATAACGTTCGGCGAAAACAGGTATAGCGGTTGACAAAAGTCCGTCTTGTGGCCGTTTTCAGGCCATTTGATTCTTACAAAAAGTACCTGAGCTAAGAATTAGGGAGCGGAGGAGCATGGGTAGGGCGTAAATGTGCCTTGGCAGCCCTGACCTCGGCACTCCATAGCGGAATGTGAGCCCTGCCAAGGGGTTGACAGATTGCGGGGGAGGCGAGATGGTTTGTCAATGCATTTATGGGATATAAATAAATAATTGATTAATTCATAGTATATTAGAAAATAATACAAGATGCTGTGACATCGGTGTCATGTTCAATTGTACTAACTCATCTCAATGTACAGTGAGATGATGATATCCTCATCTTATCTAAACGAAATCCTATGACTCTATTCCGCTGTCGGAACCAACAAGAGCCCCACAGACTTCTCAATTGGAGAGAGAACAGCGTCTAACAAAAAGGCCCTTTCATTTTCTCCAACAGTCACAGTTGTCCAGCCACTAAGGCAAAGGTCCCCGCAGAATGGATGCCAAGCGTAACAAAGGTTCCCCGAGACGATAGCGGACAAAGACACTGTTTTAGGTTTAGTTCCGATAAAATGATAGGGGAGGTACTTTGATGCCCTGTTGGTAGTCATCAGTAATGGGGATTAACATGATACTCCGGAGGCGTTATCGGACTTGATAATAAATCAGGAGAGATTAATTCTAGATTTTGGAGTATCAGATGTTTGGATGAGGGAAATATGTTGGCTTCTCTTGGCGGATGGATACTGAAGAGACTTGGAGATGTACATGTACTTAAGTCGTCACCAATGTAACACAATTAATGTGCATCAAAGTAACCATCAAGATAACCATAAACCATGCCCTGTTTAACCATAGCATTAAATCAGTGGCGTATTTCACTCTGCCCGTTTCCTCGGTGCCACCCGTCTTCCGTCTCTCTATCTGTGACTTTCCCTGTCCTCTATCTGGGGGTGGAGCCACTCACCCTCCATTTATCCCTCCCAATCATTGCCTCTAATCCCTGTTCATCCTAACAAAAGTTCAACGTTGATACTCCCCATTCGGGCAGCTCCAATTTGTCTCACAACTCCAATTGGTCAAACACCCGCAGATAAGGTCGCCAATCTAGTGTCTAGACCGTTGGTCAAGTCTGTTACTTTTAGAGGAACGTTTGTATCTCTCTTTCTTTTCTGGGAAACATACCGAAACCATAGACCGGGGGCGCACAATGATCATCAGTTCAAGTGTCGCATGGGCAAAGGGACCTTGTGCTTTGACTAAATCGGGACGCATTGTCAAAAGTGCCACAGCGCAACAACTTCAGCTCGCCACGACTGTTGTGATAGATAAATATCCCATCATGCCGCCCACTTGAATCTCAATCTTGTCTCTCTCCTACCCAGCCAACCGGTGACCTCAAGATTCAAGTATTGAACTGAATCCGATAACCGCAAACATGGTCGCCGAAACTGTCGTCCCCGAGCGTCTGCCCGCAGAGTCTTTCCAGCCTGGCTACGATGAGAAGGAGCCTCACAACATCGACATGGACCTCAAGTCCGAGGCTGATAGTGAGGATGAGCGCATCACAGACTTGTTCTCCAGCTTCCCTCCCGCCAAGGGCGTCGAGCACGAGCCTAACCCATTGACTGCCCGTGCTGTCATTGTCGGTATCGTTCTCGGCTCTCTCGTCAACGCCTCCAACGTCTACCTTGGTATGTCATCTCATCCAATCACCAGTGACGCCTCTCACTAACACCTCTCAGGTCTCAAGACTGGTTTCACTTTCCCTGCTACCATGTTCGGCGCCATCTTCGGTTACGGTTTCATCCTCATGCTCACAAAGTCTCTCCCCAACGTCCCCCTCCTCGGAGGCAAGTTCGGTCCCCAGGAGAACTCCATCGTCCAGGCCGCTGCTACCGGTGCCGGTGGTATGTCCGGTGTTTTCGTCGCCGGTCTCCCCGCTATGTACCGTCTCGACCTCCTCTCCGACGACCCCAAGAAGGATTTCGGCCGCATTCTCACAATCACTCTCGTCTGCGCCTTCTTCGGTCTCTTCGCTGCTGTTCCTCTCCGACGATTCTTCATCATCAATGTCGCTCGTGAGCTGAACCTCGTCTTCCCTACTCCCACCGCCACCGCCATGACCATCCGCTCCATGCACGCTGTGGGCTCTGGTGCCAACGATGCTATCCGCAAGATCAAGTCTCTTGGTATTGCTTTCATCATTGCCCTGCTCATCATCTGTGTTGGTCAGTACGCCGATGGTATCCTCCACAACTGGCATATCTTTACCTGGTTCTACGCCTGGTCTGGATTCAAGGCCACTGGTCTCCTCGAGCCTGAGAACTGGGGTTGGTACATCCAGCTCACTCCCGCCTTCTTCGGTTCCGGTATCCTCGTCGGTCTCAACGCTGCCATCTCTTGGTGGGGTGGTACCGTCGTCGCCTGGGGTCTCATTGGTCCTCTTCTGGTTCACTACGGCGAGTGCATCGGTATTGAGGTCGGTGAGGGCAAGTGGGAAGGTCTCACTCGATTCAGCGTCATGACCGGCGTCGACCACCCTGACTACGTTCCCTCTCCGCGATACTGGATGCTCTGGCCCGGTGTCATGGTCCTCATGGTCTACTCCCTCATCGAGTTCTTCCTCCACGGAAAGGTTGTCGTCGATGGTTTCAAGTTTGCCTTGCGCGAGTCCGCCCGCTCCATCAACAACCGCCTCGTCGCCCGTGGCACTCACAACTCCTGGTTCGCTGGCCAAGCTGCCAAGGCTGATGCCGATGGTGGTGTTGAGGATTTCGCTTCTGCTCAGGAGCAGGTCCCAACATGGGTCTGGGTTTCTGGAACTCTCGCCGCTCTCATCCTCGCCATGATTGTCAGTGAGGTTCAGTTCCACATGAACGCTGGTCTCGCCCTCCTTGCCTGTATCCTCGGTGTCATCTTTGCTTTCATGTCTATCTACGGAGGTGCTGTCACTGACTGTGCTCCTCTCACCGCTTCTGCCAAGGCTTCTCAACTTGTCTACGGTGGTATCACCAAGGGCAACTTTGCCATCAAGGATGCTCAGCGAATCAACCTTATCGCTGGTAACATCGCCTCCGGTACTGCTGATGTCGCCAACTCCCTTGTCAGCGACTTCCGAGTTGGTTTCCTCCTCAAGACTCCTCCCAAGCTGCAGTTCTACGCCCAGGCCATGGGAACTGTCGTCTCTGTCTTCCTGGCTCCCGGTATCTTTGTTCTCTTCATGTCCGCCTACCCTTGTGTCTACAAGCCCAGCGACGACCCCGCTGATATCTGCCCCTTCGCTGCTCCTTCAGTCGCCGCTTGGCAAGCTGTTGCCACCGCTGTCACCATGCCCAGCATCCCCATCCCCAAGTCCTCTGCTTACTTCTCCATTGCCATGGGTATCCTCTGCGCTGTCCAGGCTATTGTCAAGCACTTCTGGCTCGTTGGCTCTCGCGAGAAGTACCGAGACTGGCTCCCCAACTGGATGTCCGTCGGTGTTGCCTGGGTTCTCGGCCCTGACTCTGGCTACGCCAACGCTATCCTCTTCGGTTCTATTACTGCATGGTGGTGGCGCAAGTACTTCAACAACCACTTTGAGATGTACGCGTTCGCAATCGCTGCAGGATTGATCGCTGGAGAAGGTTTCGGTGGTGTCATCAACGCTGCTCTCGAACTTGGAAAGGTTTCCGGTTCCTTCAAGGGAACTGAAATTGCCCTGCCCGGTGCTGAGTGGTAGATACGATAGATAACTGTTAGTTAATGTGTTATGAGCGTTTTGAAAGGCGGTGGTTGAGAATGATAGCGATAGCAATACCATGATTTAGTTCTACATCAGTCAGATCTAGCATCGTCATCTACATATACCCAATAGATCATTAATCTGATATTTATCCGTACATATGCCGATAACCGTCTTGTGAATGTAACCTTCTCCAGCGATCAATCCTGCAGCGATTGCGAACGCGTACGTCTCAAGGAGACATGTTTCTTGGATAAGTGGGATTTGCATGGGTCGATTCAAGGGCCCTTGCGAGAAGATCTAGTGAGTGAGACGATATATGCTTGCTCTGTAAAAGAAGCGCTGCGCTGATATGAGAATGCTGTCAAGTAAGTAACCCAGCTCTCTTTACTCCGTAGGTTGGTTATCACGGTCAACAGCTTGTACGGGAATAGCAGAAGTTGATATCTAATCTTTAGGATAGAGTATTACAATAAAAAACCTAAGAGTTTCCTCTAAAATAGCATAAACAGGCACATTCATTTCTTTTCTATGCTTTCAACAAACAAGTTGTATCCATGCCCTGATGCCACTGCTACCACACATATCTCGCCCTGTCTCAACCTGCCTAAGAGCATATTCTTGCTCCTAGGTAACATTGTCAATATCAGACGCCTCTTCTTCATCCTCTGTGTCCCAGGCAATGTTTTCCGTGACGTCTAGACTATCAGGTAGTCGTGTCTATCTGGTGCTTCACACCCATGCACGCTAGTTCCGCAAGTCTGAAATGTGGATGCAACGGTGGCCCGTACAAACCCTGCTAGCGCCACGACAAGAAACACCACCACAATAAACCACAAACACTACAATTCGCGATTTGACGATAACTTCAACTTCTGAATTGATAAATTTAAGATCTACACAGTTTTGGAGTGAGCAGTGAATCAGAGACTCCTAGCTCGATCATATGGAAGCGTATGGTCCAGCCCAGCTCAGCTATAAATTCCTCGATATCCTCCTCCTCAACTCTTCTTTTCATTCTTCCTCATCCAACTCAGCCCCTTCCTCGCAGCTGACTCTGGCTTCATCACTCCGAACGAACCGCACCACTCAAACTGTATCGTTTGAATGCCTGCATTCTGCGCTCGCTTGCAATCTTGACGACACCATTTCATCGGCTTAAGCGCTTCATTCGACTTGTTCAACCGTTCGACCGCCATCTCCCTGATACGTCCATTCATCAGCCTCTTGAAGACGATATCGACCGAGTTGCAACTCTGAGCTATAATTCCAAACGCGACCGCGTGCTCTCTGCTGCAAACCAGCACCCTGACTTGGACTGGCCAGAATGGTTCGACACAAACAACGATTACAGCTTCGTCTCACACCAGATCCCTGCAATTTCCAATATCAAAGCTGGCAAGTTGGCAAAGGAACACGAAAAGTTCGGTTATCCTGATGGCGTCCTTGTCAACTTTGTGTGCCCATATCGCCAAGAGCCCCAATGAAGTGTACAACCACATGCTGCGACTCATGACCTGGAAGAAGCTACTCTGGGTCACCGGGACACCCATCTTAAGCTCCTTGAGGGACTTGGTCTCACCATTGTCACTGATGTGTAATGCCTACGGTATCTAGATCGACATTAGCACGCGCTCTCTCGGCTAGTCGCCGGGATTGTATGTTGAGACGTACGATCCCTACGAAGAGATGAATCATTTCGACAAGGATAGGACACCGGGTATCTTCCACCCCGACTTCTTAACCAATTACCCGGACTGGGAACCACTCAGGGACATTTACGAAGCCTCTGATCGCAAGTGCAGATTATGGATTGCTAATCCAACCATTTTCAAGCACGCTGGGGGGACACTTGACTGGGGGACAACTGCTGGACATCTTATTGTGCGGCAAATCTACAAGGAGATGCAAGTCCATCGAACGATGAGAACGCGACAGCAACTTCCTGATGGCAGCATGCACTGCCCTGCAATCAACATGCAGTCGTCTACAATCGTGGTTGAGGAAACTCAACATGATGAGGGACAGCTTAGGGATGACGTCGAGTCAATTGGTCGCGCACACGCCCGCAAGCTCTACTTCAATCCAGCCAAGTCAGCGCTTCCCGACCTTGAGAGGATCGGTTCCTCGAATCGTATTGGTGAACTGCACCCAGAACATAAGCCAAGACTCAACTTTGGCGAGCACAGGAAGGGTGTCTTGACCGCATTCTACTACCGAAACTACAAGGTTCTCAATCCAGATGAGCCGATTCTTCACGGCAGCATCGACCAGTTTAAGGAGGCAATCAAGGCAATCAAGGATCCCAACTTGATGCGGACTACGGACGTTTTGAGGCGACACTGGAAACGGTTAGGGAGGCCGTCGAGGCGGATCCGGTGGTGCGGGACCGCCATGAGACAGGGCAAAGGGGAGTCAGCAGACGAGCTGACGAACAGGCGCTCAGTGAGGAGTTTGTTTTTGATAGCGACATAGAGGACGATGATGGCGTCGTCACTGAAGATGAGGAGTGTGGTAGTGATGATGGAACCGGGCCTTCCAAGCGCAAGGCTGAGGGTGATGCACGGGATGATAAGGTCAAGAAACAGGCCATTTAGATTGAGAGAATGCAAAGGACTCACGGTGGCACGCAGTTTTGGTAGGCATTTAAAACATAAGACCTAAAATTGACAAGCGAGTTATACCTTTTTAGGCCAGACTCTTAGGCTTTTTATTTATTTCTTCCTCCGGCAAGACCATGACTTTGATCTCATGCTGGAAGGTGTGTGATCCTGGTCCTCCTCATTCTCCTTGCTAGAGCGGAGATCGATCCGTCCCACTACTGTCAATAAGCAAATAAGTCTTAAGGCGTCTAACGACCATAGATCTCAAAGTTGTCAGTGGATAAAGTCGTTGTAGGTGTCTGAGTCCTTTGTCCTGGTGGCCGACTGTTGTAACTCAGCTAGTCTCGACGTACTTCAGACTGTCACAATTCGTCCCTCAGGGACGGCTTCATAGTCCTGGTGGTTAATGCCAAGCTGCGCGGCTGTCTTTCGCATCTCCTCGAGAACTCGCTCCCGTTTTCCACGCTCGACTCGCTGAGCGGCGGTGTGCTGATCCGGTTCGGTGTTCATTGTCCTTCACTTGGTCAAAAGACTAAGTATGCCATTCGGGAGGTTGGCTTCACTTCGGGAAAGCATGACGGCTCCAACGTAGTACATAACGCTTGGCGAACCGCTCCTCTGCCTCCTCTCCGAGCCCCTCCTGCGCCGCGGCCTCGACCCCGAGGACGATCGAGACCCATGGCCAGTTGCACTTGTACCCTGGTAAAAAACGACTTGTCGTCGGTGAAAGTCCAGACGGACGTCCGTGAATTGCAAATTTCAACTGCCATTAACCAACCTATAGCGGTATGTGTTTGCAAAGCCCTTGAATGATACAGACTGATCAAATCATGCAGTATTAAAGCCTACGAATCGAATCATCAAGGGCATCCCCTGCAGATCACTACAAGGCAAGTTCAACGACCAGCTCCCGACCGTCAATCGGCTCCCGTTCTACCAGGATCCTGCCTGGCAACGTAAGTCCGGCACCTGTGGAGAAACGTTCAGAAGAACGTAGGGCCACTTCAATCCCATGGTTCCGACTTTTACGGAAAAGTCGAGACTATCATTAGTTGCTTTACCCAACCAGCCCGGCACCTGATGTTAGAGAGCAAGTTCACCCTGCGCGATCTGCTTAGCCTGCCACCCATCATAGCCTCCTATCCGACCGGCAATTTCAAGGTTACGTTTATACAGACATCAAAGGCTTAGATCCAAGCGTCATTGGCGTATACGCCGGTCAATCTCAAACCTCACTTTGGGGACGGCAAAACGACCATGATACCAACGCGGATGACTTGTGAAACAAGAGTACGCATTACAACACTCGGCGCACCTCCGAAAGCTGCCGCCACATCGTGCCGATTGTCTTATTCGATCGCACCCAGACTCGATGCCTGATCTTTTCTATCTTGCAGAACAGACAGTGCTTCTGCTTCTCATTTACTATTCTAGCAACATGATGTCCGTTGACGAGGATATCGAGGAGGATTTTGGGATGCACACCTGAGGCTTAGGGCGGTGATGCTCAGAAGGATTTCTGTCAAAGCACTGTTGGACTCTGGCTGGCCGCTGTTCTCGCCTGCTGAATGCAACAGAGTCAGCCCCTTTAGCTTCACAATGCCGACATCAAAGCTTTCAACTTCAAATCAGCTTTGCCAGTCGGGCGTGGCTATCTATAAGCAGCTGGTACACTTCAACGAGAACAGCAATCAACGACCTTGCAGATCCGCAGAACAGACGAGACTCGAGCTATTTTCTATCCTCTCTATTGGAAAAGAAACGCGAGAGGCTCTTAGACTGCCCAAGAGAATGGAAGCTTTTCTTTGAAATCATGCACGATGGGAAATCCCACGACATCCCTTGGGTTCTGTGCCCAGCAGTTGGGCCGTACGAGAATTTTGAGTTACTGTCGTCCCTGGGTGTTCGTGTCGAGTACTGTGATCCCCTCCAGGAAACATGGTTCTCGATTCCACTGCAGTGCGTCCTTCTCGCTGACAGATGAAGTTAGTGGAAGCCGACGACACACAGGAGCCTTCGCCAATACAAGAATTGGACGATGCTTCTCTGGGTACTCCGAGGAATTACTTTTACGGACGGCTTGAACGGGTTTGAGAAGTCTCACGGTTGCGAAACAGGTGATTCAACTCAAGTTCAACCACCTAAAGCAGACTTGTAGTTGGGTCGAAAAGCCACGAAGATTCGGGCCCGTTCCTGCTCTAGCACTCTGGCTGGGCAATTGTGCCATGAGGGATCTATTCAGTGGTCATTATACTATTATTAGACCCTCAGCGCCGCCGGTCGATCACAACTTCTGGATCCTGAAGCACTACGATGAGCTCAAGAAGAAACGCCCGCGCCAGTGACACCTGCACCCAAAGCCGCCAACTTTTCCAGGTACCCAGATGACTCTTTTCGGCTCGTGCGCACCGGAACCGACTTGCCGATATCACACTCAACCACCCCAACTTTGACAATTCGATGAAGACCGTAAATAGTGGGTTTACCCAACCAGTACGACGGCGGCTTTACACTACACGACTTGCTAAGCCGACCACCTACCTGACCAGCAAATTCCAAGGTCTGCATCTATACTAACATCAAGGGCCATGATCCGGATGTCGTTGGGGTATATATTGGTCAATATCAAGTTTCAATATGGAAGTAACAGAACGGCCATGATGCCAATACCGATGACTTACGAAACAAGTGTCCCCACCTACTATGTAACAGAAAAAATAGCCTCCTAAGTCTTAGGGTATAAAAATGAGTAGCCTATGAACTATAGTCTAAGCGGTGTAAATTAACCTACTAATTTCGTCTCTTATGCTTCCAGCGGTTAATTTTTCTGATACCCTGAGGCCCGCTACAACGCTGCTCGAAGCACGCGGTGTCCAAAGGAAACGTCATGTTGTTATGAGCGTCCAAGGTTGTCTTTTCAGTACCCATATTAATTTGAAACAGAGTAACAACTACCGGAAGGCTAGCAGGGAGCAAAATTGGGTTACATCAAGAAAGTGGCGAGCCTGAAGATACTAAGGTCAATGCTCTGATACCAGTCCCACGGGGACCAAGAGTCACGTGTATCGCAACATCGTAACAACCTAAGGCTATCTTTAGTCTATTGCCTTACGATAGGTCCTAGGCGATAATGATACATGTAAGTAGGTAGTATTCGTGTTCACTTGGCGATCTTTACCTGACAACCTTGTAAGGAAATGCCGTGTTATGCAATAGAAAATGGGACGTTGTTACCTAGTACAAAAATACATTAGCCGAACCAACAGCAGCATCACAAGCCCGGTTTCTTGTACAAGCCTTAAACTTACCATATAAAGCTAGCAACCCGTCTTGTCCTCCCGCTAAGGTAGGCTAAGTCCTGGAAACACCTAAACCCGAGACGGGGAAAGATACCGTACATTTCCAGGAAATTGGCCGACACGACAATCAAGGCTAAGGCAGGCCATCAGCCTTGCCATGTTGATCGCTTCTGCCGATCGTCTAGACTTGATGACTGATAGAAAAGACCTTACTGGCGATTTGTTCGAGCCTCCGGAAAATTCCCATATACCTCTCAAACACGCTGTTGTCGCTTAGTTAATGACTTTCCTTGGCTTGATATCTGGAATGCTGACACTCTATGCTGAACCTGCAAATCGATAGTGGGAAAATGATCCTTTCTCTCCTTTGAAATCTGGTAGATCAAGTTGAATGGAATATTCGCTTGGTCGGAGGCTAACATCCGATTTGCAGTGTTCTGCTATGCCGTGTGCTGTAGTATCGACAAGGTAACATCGTGCATAGCAGCTGATGATTTTCCAGACGCTTAGACATCGACGATAGCCTTCCTTCTATCCATCATCCAGTCTAGATGATATCTAGAAGTGATTTACACATTCAATTTCGTGGAATGTCACCAGCAAGCCAATCTAACGCGGCTTTAACCCCTGGAAATGATTTACTGATTGCCAGTGTACAGATTCAGCTCGGGCCACGGTGCAACCGTCGAGGCCACATATCGCGTGCTCTTAAGTCTGGCTGATTACGGAGCTAAAGACCTTTAATCTACACCTGGACTCTTGAAGGCTGAACTGATTTCAGTAGTGCCATGTTAGTCGACAAGGTCTAAGCCTTACAGATCTCTGGTTCGTTAGTATCTCGCTTCATACGGAGTTCTTACTGGATATAGATAGGACTAGAGTGTCTCACTAAAGAAAAGAAAAGAAATAGGGGATGTGAAATTGCAACTAAAATATAAAGTAGTAGTTACCGATTTGTATGTGGCTTTTGCAGATCACCAGTAGTGGCCGGGTCCGTTCATTCTCGGATTCGATCCCCTTGTTCCGCAGCGACGCTAGTTCAAGTACCCATCCAACGGTACTTAATTGAAGAATTTACTAGAGAAGCCTAATGTATCAGTTGCCGTAGCGGGCCTGTCCTCAAGTACAATCTTCTCTCATGTTTCATAAAATGAGGCTCTCCAGATATCAAGCTGACAGGAAGACGATATGCAGTGACCTACAGACGATATACATCGCCTGTTGCTTTTTTCATGCAGAAAGGGGTAGCATGGGGCTGACTCAGGTACTATGGCAATAAGGTTTGAAGGTTCCAAGGGTTCAAGTGCGGCTACGTAAGGGTATGGCTCGAAAACTCCATCCGGATATTTGATAACCGGAAGTCATTAGATAATCTTGGAGACATTGGGTTGCACGCCAACATCTTCAGAAGAGCCCCTAAAGTAAAGTAAAACATCAAATCCCGGTATCTGGAAAATTCTAAGAGTATTTATTATTAACGATGACTCCCTCGGTTGTTGTTAGCTCAATATCACACGCGACAGTTTTTTCACCAAGCCTTACTTAGTATTGAGCCTCTTATACACCCAACACCGAATCAATACGAGTATACCGGCGCCATGGCAGAGATAAATCTCAAGCCTGTCATCATTGAGATGTGGATCGAGTATGCCATCGGTATAATCGTCCTCTTTCTCCGACTTTTCGCTCGACTACAAAGGATCAAATTTACAAAGTTTAGGACCTGGGCGCTGGATGATTGGTTCACTATTCCTGCCATTATTCTATGGACTGTATGATACAAAGTCTCGGGTCAATTGACAAACGTGGACTGACGCGCATTTAGTTTGAAGTCTCCATGTGCCAAATCATAACACAATTAGGCAGTATCACCGGCCTAACGAACGAAGTCGCATCGAAATTCACGCCTGAACAAGTCAAGAGCTTCGAGACGGGAAGTAAATGGTTGTTTGCGGCGTGGTATGTCTATGTAACTATGGTATGGACTCTCAAAGCCATGATGCTTTCACTTTTATACAGAGTCACGTAAGTCTTTTCCATTGGCGCATTCACGGCGCAAGAACTTACCATATCTCTACTTTAGCAAGTCACTTCCCGAGGAGCGTCTCGTTAAACGGGCCTCGATCTTCGTTGCTATTTGCTATCTAATCACCATTGGTGTTGTTTCAGGTCATTGCTGGCCTACCTATCAACTCTGGCAGGTTTATCCTGTTCCATCAGGTATGCGATACTATCACTACAAGCAGAGTCATGTCTAATTATTTGCTACAGCCGACTGTTCCCAAAACCGAGCCAAGTACTACGCCCTTGTTACGACCAACGTTGCGACCGATATTATCATAATGGCCCTGCCTATTCCTTTGCTATGGAAGCTACAAGTCAACCTAAGGAAGAAGCTGGTCTTTGGCTTAATATTCTGCGGTGGAATCTTTATTATTATTTGCACCCTTCTCCGTTGTATTATCTGTCTGAGCATGCCAGAGCGACTGGATCTTGGACTTAGTTGGTCCATCCGTGAGACAGTATGTTAATATCCATTACAATTCGAATCGAGCTAACAAGTCAACAGGTTGTCGGAATCATCGTCACAAACGTGTCATCGATCAAACCCCTCTTTACCGGTCGCAACTTCAGCACGAACGATAGCTCGAATCAAAAATCTAGCCATCTGGGTTTCTCGCATCCTGGCAATACACACAAGATGTCCCGGATGGAGAGACTACCTGATGGAAATGGAAGCACTACTGGAAGTCAAGAGTGTATAGTTCGGGGAAGTGGCAAGAACCAAACCACGATTGTCGCAGATGATAATAGTTCGGATCACAAGTCTGATCACAAGTACAGCGGACGGATCCACGTTACAACAGACTTTCACGTTGCATAGGCTTAGGAACTATTTGTTATACTTACTGGCAACCTTTGGCACTGGTGCCCTTTATCTTTTACTATGTTCATTATGATATTACCTACACCTTATAATAAACAAAAGAAATCATTTTTGTGTATGCCAAGTGATTGAATGAAAATAACTAGGTCTGTCGTGAAGTATGAGGAAATAATCTCCAATCTAGCCAGTCGTGGCGAGGCACTGGAACAAAAATAACATATATGGATCGACACTACATCGAAATACAGCAAAATGACACATCTTCGCAATACCTAGTCCAATTTAGACCTTTGTCGAGGTTTCAAACTTCCCTGGCACCGTTTCCATAACGTCTGAACCCGTCTCCTGAAAAGGTTGGCCTATTATAGCATCGAAATTCTAAAGTGATGTCAGGCCCTGATTAACGGCAAGCAGTATAATCGGAAAAGTAAACTTACCGGCCCTTGGAAGTCCTTTCCGCCAGTAAACCAGTACACTGCAAGCAACAAGTAAAAGCCACCTACTACCGGTGAAACATAGTCTGTCCCATATCAGTCACTGTCTTTGTCACTAACAGGAACAATACTTACTCATGGTATTGGCAGACACTGGGATTCCAGCAGGGAAGCAAAAGAACTAACCGATTAGCATCATAACAATCCAAGCATGTATGTTGAACTTACGATAGAAGTGACGATAACAAACGCAGCAGCAATACCATTGACAACGGCGCCAACTCTCAAACCCATCTTTGCTGGTGTTTTGTTTGTCTGGTAGTCCGCAAGCAGTCTTCTACCCCTGACAAGCAACGCAATAATAGGACAAGCATACGAAACGTTAAGGAAGATGGTACAAGACGCGATGTACGCACTGAAGGCCACGGTAGGACCCAAGTACAAAAGGCCAAAGAGTAGATTAAAGATATAGCAAAGCATGATTGTGCGGACCGGAACGTCGAGTTTGGGTTGGATGTGAGCAAAGAATCTGTGGCAGACAATACCCTTGTCACGAGCCATGGAGTACAACAGACGACTGGCACTGGTTATGCTTGCTGAGGTGCCGTTAATGAAGCAGACGCTTAGCATCAAAGCGAGGATTGTTGCGGCAGCGCGGGATTTGGTACTTTGAAGGAACATTTCTACTATGGGCATGCCAGTAGAACTTGCGAGGACTGTTGCTGGGTCGGTGAGGCAGAATAGGATGACTAGGATAAAGACAAATCCACTAAACGGTCAGTGACTGTTAGAGCCAACAGGTAAAGTGAAAGACTTACGTGACACCGCCAATGACAACAGCTAGTACCATAGCTCTTGGTGCATCTCTCGAAGGATTAGGCATCTCCTCTGTAAGATGCAATACAACATCAAACCCGATAAGTGAAAGGGCAGATTGCAACAAGCCAAGAATCCAAGCAACACCATTAGACCAACCAGTCTCGTTGTTGAAGTTTGTAAAGACTTGTTTGGCATCTGTCTTTTCAGACATGGATAGAAGAATGATACTGATGATGACGACAGACAGGATAGACCAATACACTACATCACATGTTAGATAAGTCCGTTTGTATCAAAGGCAGCACTCACAAGCACAGTCGTTCCAACGACCTAAGATTCTGTTTCCCCAGATATTACCGACCGTTCCGAAGGTGAGGATGGCGACGAAGAAGAGATATGTCTTCCAGGCTGTGGCTTCGTAGGCGTTGTTCGAGGCGACGACTGCGGCGGCGGATATCAACTGGGCTGTGGAGGTTAGCATGAACAACAACTATAAGAGAGGAACATACCAGCAAAAAAGGCCTGGGTGGTTACGACAGTTAACCAACCGGCGATATTAGTCCATCCAACAAAGAAACTCTGTTGTTTGTCAGTATCAAACAAAAATACGAAAGAGGGGGCATACCATAGATCGTTTCCATCGAGGCGTACACAAAGCGTACATGAAATGATACTGCCCACCTATTCCATTGTCAGTCAGATCCATTCTCATTTAGAATATCAGGTAGGTTTGCTTACCAGCAGTAGGCCACAAAGCTGCAAGTTCTCCCAAACTAGCAGCAAGAGCCAGATTGCAAAAGACACAAACCAAGAATCCATAAATGAACGAAACAGCACCACCAGAAGGAAGAATATACGCCATAACACCAGCGAGAGCAATCCAGGTACTGCGGGGTTAGTCAGTGCCACTGCTATCCAAAGAAATAACTAACTTGAGAATTGCAAACGCCATGGCAACCATGGTCAGCGTTGAAAGGCGCTGCTGCAGCACGCCTTCTTGCGTATGGGAAGTCATCTTGTTCGATTTTCGATATCTGTACTGCACTGAAACGCAAATTTCTGAGGAGAAAGGGGTTGATTCATATAGTCTCGTTCTAAAGTTCAGGTCACACGGGAGAGGAGGTGTTTAGTCTGTGTACAAGCGTCGCACAGCGATAAGCCAAGATTTCAGCACGACAATCGTCAACTTCACACATCACTCTTCCAATGACATATCTATCTCAAACTGCCGAGATACCGATACAATAACAAGACTCTATCTTGATAAGTCCAACTCTACCCCAGGTTTTCAGAAAGTATCCGCTAAATATACCGCAAACGGAAATATTTGGAGAAATTGAGATGACGCTGATTGGGTACCGAGATCTAGCGTCTTCAACACCAAAACTCAAGTGGCGAAAGAAGAACACGATAACAAGAGGCTCGTTATTCCTTGCTAGTGGATTGCGGGGGAAGCAATCTAGATGCTACATGGTCTGTTTTCTCTCGCGAAATTTCCTATTGCGGTAAGATCGAGGGGGTGATATCTGTTATCAAAGATCTTCATTTGAGGCTGAGGTTGACGATAGCTTGATTTCTCGTAAAATTCCCCTTCTGGGTAATTTCATTTTCGGATAGTCATTTGATTGGAGATATGATGGGATTGCTCGATGGAAATGGGGAGGCAAGATATGGAACCCGGACCGAGGATAAAATGAGTTGCCGTCCTTGCTAGATTCAATGAGTACTCTTTCTTCACATCGACTCTGGCTTGATTAATAGCTTTTCATTGCTGTCGACAGTTTGAGTCTGTTTGCGTTACTCTCTTTCCAATTCTCACTATCGATCGTACACAGAATGTCGTCAAAGGACGGCTACTCATGGACAGAGTCCCAAGGTCTCAAGTCCGGCGTTCCATGCATCGGCGCCATAAGTCCTCCTACGAATCTCAAAGACAACAACACAAAATACGATGTAATTGTTGTTGGAGCAGGATACTGCGGTTTGACTGCAGCTCGAGATGCAGCCATTGCAGGTACGTCTCATCATCCAGATTAATAGAGTGACTACTAACTCAGTACAGGCCTCAAAGTGTTACTCATTGAAGCCCGAGATCGCATCGGTGGCCGTTCCTGGTCATCAAACATAGAAGGCTACCCATACGAAATGGGCGGAACATGGGTATTCTGGGGTCAAGCTCACGTCTGGCGAGAAATCCAAAGATACAATATGCAGAGTGAACTTGAACTCTCATATGATTTCTCTCGAGGAATCAACAAATATCTTCTCGTCACACCTGAAGGAACTCAAAAGTTTACTCATGAGGAAGAGGTCAGTCACCAGTGCCAGCATATGACTGTGTTTAAGTTAACGAGAGTCTAGGACCAACTAATGCAAAGCGGTCTTCAAAAACTCGTCAACGTAGACGGTCAAGACGGGCGCGAAGCCATCGTCTTCCCTCACATAAGCAGACTCGACGCAGTAGCAGAAAAGTACGACCGCATGTCCATCGCAGATCGCATCGCCGAGATAAAGAACGACCTAACATACAACGAACGCATCTGTTTAGAAGCGTTCGTTCTTCTCTGCAGTGGCGGAACGCTCGAAACAACTAGTTTCTACGAATTCCTACACTGGTGGGCTATGAGCGGATACTCTTACCAAGGCTGTATAGAGTATCTCGTCAAGTACAAGTTCAAAGGTGGTCAATCAAGCTTTGCCATTAATTTCTTCAGAGAAGCCCTTGCAACTGGAAACTTGACGTACTCTTTCAACACGCCTGTCGCTTCTATTAAGAACAGTCCCGCTGGTGTTGAAGTTACATCTCGAAGTGGGCAGACGTTCCGAGCACACAAGATGATTAGTGCAATTCCTCTCAACGTTCTCAACGATGTTACGTTTGATCCGCCTTTGGCACAAGGCAAAAAGGCAGCTGCTGATATTGGACATGTCAACCAGTGTATCAAAGTCCACGCTGAAGTCTCGGATAAGGATCTACGATCTATGACGAGCATCAGCTATCCTCATAACAAATTGGCGTATGGTTTTGGTGATGGTACTACGCCAGCGGGAAATACACACATTGTTGCTTTTGGCGGACAGAACAATCATTTCCACCCTGAGGAAAACATTCAAACTACATTGGATGCTTTCCAAGGTTTTACTCCGATGAAGATCGAGCGTTTGGTAAGTTGAACATGACACTGAAGGGAAGGGCAGGGCTAACAGTGTTTAGGTCTTCCATAACTGGTCCAAAGACGAATTTGCAAAGGGCGCATGGTTCTTCTCACGACCTGGTCTTTTGACTGATCATCTTGGTGACATGAGAGCCAGTCAAGGAAACATCATATTTGCATGCTCTGACTGGGCTCTTGGATGGCGTAGTTTCATCGATGGCGCTATTGAAGAGGGAACACGTGCTGCCATGGTTCTTCGATCTACTTTGTCAGAGAGAAGCCATCTGTAATATCATTCAATATATTTCTGTACCAAAAGCTTAGTATTAGACAGTTAATTATCTACCTCTTAGAATATCGTTCGTATTATCATCCAATCATCTTTACATTTGAAGTCGAACTCGCCCCGTTATTATCTCCATCCAAGTGGCGGCGCAACATCTCTCTTGGGAAGTTGTACAGCGACCATCCTCGGCAATACCAAATTAGCTCTAGTTAATCTAGCGTAGTCACTACAACTCAAAATTTTGAATTGATGAAGCTGTCAAATCTTTAATCTTACACGATACCCTCACAACAACAACCAGCAAACATGGCAGCCACAACCAAGCCTCAAAAGGCTTCAGGTTATCTCTTCATCTACAACATCATCTTCGCCCTTGTTCGAATCGCTCTTCTCATCCGAACAACGTACTTATGGACACAACAAGGCAACGGTGCTGTCTGGGATGAACTCAACGTCACAGCGCGATGGACAGAGACTTTTACAGTTATGGAAGTTCTTCACGCGGTGGCTGGTCTTGTTCGTGCAGCACCAGCTACAACAGCGCTTCAAGTCGCGGGACGCAACACCATTATCTGGGCCATTACGAGAAACTACCCCGAAGTTGGTTTTAGAGAGGATGCGTATAGTTTTATGCTCATGGCGTGGAATGCAGCTGATGCGGTGCGATATTTGTATTTCACGCTTCAGACGGGAACGGGATCTGTGCCAGCTTCTTTGACATGGTTGAGGTATGCAAACAAATACTAAACAAAAGATCGAGACTAACAGATGTTTAGATACAACATGTTTATCGTGCTTTACCCTATTGGTATTCTTTCAGAGATGAAGCTTGTTTACGAGGTTATTGTACCTTCCCAAGCACGAAACCCAATGTATCAGTATTTGTTGTGGTTTGGATTGGCTATTTATGTTCCTGCTTTCTATATCCTTTTTGGACATATGTTGGCTCAGAGGGCAAAGTTGAACCGATCCATTTCCAAGAAGCAGATTTGAAATTATATTTCAACTTGAACTGCATGCTGATATAACAATACTTTATACAGGCCACGCTATTGCTGGGCTGTCAGATATATGGAGGCTAGAATCTTGTACTCAGGAAAGTTACCTTTCTATGCAGAAGCAGAATTTATATAATGTTAAATTCAAATTCAAGGCTCATCAAACATCAATTTTCTGAAGAATAATCCTGCAAAGCAATTCATGTTGACTGTTACAACCACTAACCCTTTACTCAATAGTCAGTTGACGGCATCGGGTCTCAGACGTGGAGTAATTGGGTTTCTTGGGCAAATTTAAGAAAAGTCAATTGCTTTCTCTGTCAACATTAGTTGAAGTATATCATGTCATGATTAGTTCGACGAGACGAATGTGAAACCTCGCCTTGGATTCAAACCCATATGTGGCGTTTATACTTTATCTAATGTAACTCTAAATTCAATGGGCATTGAACGGTGTATTCCAATGCATCGTCGATATCAGGTTATTCGTCTAAAGTGATAGAGAATCTTTAGATAGATGGTCGCCCCAGGGATTCACAACCTCGACAGCAGCCGCAAATGCTGTCGGTGAGCACACGATGCTAGACCGAAGGAGGTATTGTTGTCAGAGTCTAATTTGTCATGCTACATCGTCTTGCCGTAAGCATGTTCACCGTAGTTATCATGTTGAAGCGTTTGATGGACGTCGAAAGAGGTCATCTTGTCGCGTCGGAATGGTCAAACAGTCGAATATCTCAATCAATCTCGGATATTATCTGCATTTCGGAAATAACAAGAATTCGCTCTCATCGGTAGAGGCCAAAGATGATATGGCAGTTCGGATCCTAGTTGTGAAACCCGTTGCCATGGGTACTGTATCCGCGGTCTCGGAGTCTCTCCAGTGATATTGGCTGATCAAAAAGGAAGCGACACGTTGAATCGATAAGATATCTTTGGATCAAAGAATAAGAAATAATTGTACAAGTCGTCACGCGTATTGGGTGGCTCATTCGTTCACGTTGATCTGCGGCGGTAACTACGCGCGTATTTTTTTTTTTTGAGCAGGGTTTCGACGGGCGAGTACGACGGTGAGAAGCTCATCGCAATTAAATAGTGGCAGTGAAAGACGAAAGCTGGGCCGCAGTCGCGCTGTCTTTAGTAGGCGCTTGGAGATCAAGAGAGACACGACACGTGTATAAGCCAAGAAGAAGAGACTCGGTCTGTATATGTAAACATCAGTCACAGACTTACTCAGTAGTTAGGCGGTAACAAATGCCAAGCCAGACCCTTTATGCAGGAGTAGGTACACAGCCTACAAAGGACGCGCAATTGCCAAGACACAGCCTCTCAGTTAATCCCTGCAATAATTCACTGGTGGAGTTATGTCAAGACCCTTTGAAAGGCATTAATTACGGTATGAGTACGGAGTATTAATGCCAAAAGATTAATTATGCTTTTAGACAACTACTATTTGCCGACTCGTAAAACGGGATACCCTGTCTAGTAGTGAATCAACCTGAACTAACGGGATTAAGCTCTTCAGCTTCACTTAAACATTGCCTGACAGTCACTGTAAGTGCCAAGACTACGGTTAACTCGGCGTCTGCTCACGGGGTTTCCGCGTTATTACGCCAAGGTAACAGTCAAGGAGCCGCCAAGAAAAGAGACATTACAAGTACAGATCATCAAAAAGTCTTTTCCTCTCTTTTTTTTTTTTTACAGGTACCATTCACTGTCTGAGCCCCCTACCCCTGCCTTTTCTAAGGATTATTTCATTATATCTAACTTGTACTTCCCGTCTTTTTCTCTCCCCCCAAACTTGACCCCAACATTTACACACCTACCAAAATGTCTGCACCATACGATCCCAACCAAGGGTAAGCTACAGTCTTTCAATCAAAGGAATATTCGACTGACGATAATTAGTTACTACCCTCAGCAGGGTGGATATCCCCCTCAAGGCTACCCTCCTCCTGGCCAGGGCTACCCTCCCCCACAGCCTGTAAGTTTACCTGACAACACCAGTGTCAACATCACTAACAAATACCAGATGCAGTACCAGCAAGCGCCACCACCTCAAGAAGAAAAGAGCCACGGCTGCTTCTACACATGTATCGCCACACTCTGCTGTTGTTGGGTCTGCGGAGAGACCTGCGAGTGTTGTCTTGAATGCCTCGACTGCTGCTGTTAATCAATCACCTACCCAGCACTGCATTTCCCCCTCGTCAAAGCGCTTGCGCATAATAAAGAATGCATGATTTTTATTGCCTTTTTATCGTCACTACCCCCCGAATTCCATAGCTACTGGGTCTCTACCAGGTTCTTTTTGTAGCTCTCAATAACGGCCTAAACACAATACCACACACACATTTCATCAACCAAATAAGTCTCCCAATTAAATACCTGCGCATGTGTGAAGTTTGTTAGATCGAGCTTGACGGTTCTCCAACACGACAGCTTCGGCAGTTGGGGTTGACCAAACACTGAGCGTACCTAAACACGTATAAGTCATCCATCTCCAAAAGATTGTGGCAAAACATACTCTTCACTCTGTTTATCCTTGAATTTTGTACAATCGCAACCAGGAGGACATGTAACTGTTGGTTTTGCTGAAGAAGTGATTGCAGGCTGTCTACACGGTCTACAGCGAGAGCTGGTCAAGCACTGAAAGTATCTATAACAAACATCAGCCCGCCCCATGATGTGTCTCTAACAAACAAAAGTCAACTTACTCGGGACTTTGCTTGTCTTTTATTCCCGAGCAGTCACAATCTACCGGACAAATCACATTCGTTGTCGTGGGCGTGGGGTTGACCACGATGATCCTGACTAGGCCTGACGAAATGCTCTCGGTGTAAGTGCCAGGAGGCATTGTTCTGTAGTTTGTTGATGATGTGATCGGTATTCCGACATTATCACTGACAGGTTCAAAGTGTCTTGGTTGGATTGCGAGTTCCCTCTGGACCTCATCTAGTGGGTTCCTCATGTCATGTCGTGGGATGGCCTGGCCGACAGTACAGAGGAGGAGTACTGCGATGCCCTGTGAAGACAGCATGATGAGAATAGGTGTTTTCCTGTCAGGTATCAATAAATCTCGGGCGACAGTTATCCTGTTTCCCATACAACTAGTACAGGTCCTCAATCATGGAACCCAGTGGTCCGGCTCTGGGTTTATGTGGTCACCCTCCAGGCAACACCGACGGAGCTGTATCACCACTATTCACAAGTCTTGAGAAACACACGCAATCTTTGACATCATGCTTTTCATTTTTATTTCTTCAAAATGTGCTTTTTCAGCTGACACCGACCGGTCCCAAGATGAACAAAGTCGAAATGGTGGTGTTGTGTCCACGATAAGCAGCGCCATCAAGAGCGATTGAAGTCATAAGGCGACACTGGAGCCCAAACCCGGGAGCACGATTGGGATCATCCCACATCGGGCTTCAGGCAGGATGCTTCATCTCGTTTAACGCAGATCAAACCAGCACATCATCTCTCCTCCAGCCCCAGGCAAATGTCCGTACAACCTCGCCTCGCGGTCCTAATTTTTGTACAACACCGTTACCGTCACAGATCAACAATGCCACCTCATCGACTTCTCAAATCGAACACCAGAACCGATAACCAAGACATCTATTCTAGCGAAACATTATTCGCAACGCCTACTTAACACAATCCAAGATGCGATTGGCCTCTACATCAAAATGTCTCGGCCATGTCCAACAACATAATTCACCGACGGCAATCCCAAGCGAAACGAAACAAAACGCTTATCATCTATTCAGAAAAAACATCTCTATCTATCCCATTTACTTCTTTGTAACAGTTCTCTTCTCTCGTCTCCGAAGCACATAGTCCCACATCCTCTTAGCGCACCCATCAACGTCAAAACCACGACTCTCAAGATTCGAAAGCACAGCGTACAGAGCCACCCATATCACCACGCACACATCCCAGATATGTGTGAACCACCAAAAGACTTGGTTTCCAAGCGGACACGTGGCGTACTCGAATTTCCACTCCCAAGTTTCTTGGTCGAACCATAGACTCAACAAACCCGCATTTCCACCAAAGTCGCCCATCATGCTGCGTACCGTGATCTCGCGTCGGCCTGGAATACCTTCACTTCCTGGGATCTGCTGAGCCTTGGCGTCGGACCAGCTAGCGACTTGCCATGACCGCTGCGAAGGATCTGTTCCGTCTGTTTGGTTGATGTAGTGGTACGTGTCGCAACCTGCGTGGTCATGCCCGTTGAGCATCAGACCAGGACGACCATAGCCTTTGCCTGGGGCATTGCTCTTTGCGCTCATACCCCACATACCCTCCAAGAAACCCCTGGTGGCATCAACACTGAGCTGGTTCTGCTCCTTGAGACCTCCACCGTCGGCAGCAGTGTGAAAGTCAAAGAGCGGTGCATCAACACAAATACCCTCGGGCTTGTACATGGGAATGTGCGTGAGAATCAGTGTAAACTCTCCCCTGTACTGCACTGCACCTGAAGTCCCGATGACATCGTTGATGAAGCCGTACGTGGCATCCTGAAGAGGAAGAGACTTGGCCGGTGTATCGAGGTTCATATCGTTGACACCAATGATGCGCAGCTGAGGAATCACTTTCGTAGAATCGGGGTTCTCGTCAGAGTACAGAGTAGCTCTCGTCTCAGGATCCGTAATGGGCAGCTCAAAACGAAGCTCATAGTTGGTCTTTCCAAAAACTCGTTCAAAGCGCTCCAATCGCTCCTCTGTCAAGTCTCCAGCGTATCCAATATCATGGTTTCCTGCCACGTTGAGCATTCTCTTCTTCCAAGCCTTTTGTTCATCACTACCATCCAAAACTCCAGATACTGTGTAATTTTTACTTGGGTATTTCGCCAACTCGTCCGAAAGCCTCTCGGTTCCTTTAAACACACGGTTCCAGAACCGTCGGCCTCGCTTCTCAAACTCGTTGTCGTCGATCCATTGACTACCGACGAGGTCGCCGAGTACTGAAACATGGGTAGGGTTGGTCCACCAGTTTACTTGACGGTAAATATGCGCCAGGTAAAAGTCATTACCCCATAGATCGAACCGTTTGCGCTGCGACATGAGCCAGTAAGGAAGATCCTCCATGAAAACATCAACAATGTCATGAATAATCTGTCTAACTCGCTCACGGAAACACCAATGACTCGTCTGAAAAGTCACCTTTTTGTAGGCAGACTTGATATGTGGGAACGTGCCCAAGTAGTTTGTAATAATCGATGTATCGCCTTCTAACTGGGGATCGCCCAGCGCAAGCAGTCGAAAAGGCGCAAGCTTCGCATTATCGTCGGCGGTAGGCGTCGAAGGCCAGTGAAGCTTTTTTGTAAGAGAGTAAGCCTCGTGGCTATCGCGCGACTCGACAGGGAATGCGCATCCTTGGATGACGGGGAAGAGGTAGAGGTAGAGAGTGAAAGCTACCGAGAGCGGCACCAAAAGGCGCAGGCCATGGCGGAGAAAAGCCACGACGTTCATGTAGCCGACCTCATGCGCGAACCACTTGGGGTCTATTTTGTACAGAAATTGGCCAACGGGAGTGTTGACGAGAGCAGCGCAATAGTTGGTAAAAAGAAAGATGGTGGTGATACCCCTGGAATGTGTAACGACACGTGAAGACAAAAATGGCTTAGTCATGCAGAGACCCCTTTTTAGGGAGTAGGGGCAGCATCGTTTGAAGGAGGTATCATTGGTTTCAAAATTGGCAGTTATTGTCTTGCCAAGTCTTGTTTATTATCGCTTTTTAAATTAATTACAGAAGACATTGGACGTTGAGCGTTGTGTTGTTAATTGCAATGCCGTGATCCCTCCGTCGATTGATGCTACCCTGATTCGAGATCTACACTGCATCCTTGCTTGTCTGTAAAGTGTTCAATTGGGTATCTACTTTGACTCGCATTGTATCGAGATTTTTGAAGAGCATTTCGTTTGTTCGTACTTCGACGGTTCTGTTTTGACGTGTTCCCTCGTGGCGAGTTCGTCAAGGCATAGCCATGTAAAGTTGTAGGTAAGCACCAACATGCAACAGAAACCACCAGACGTGATCAGTCCATGATGGCAGATATAAACTTCACCTCCTCATTCCTCATAAATCTCTTCGTCCTCTTGCGGCCACTCCACCTCAAACTCGGGATCGTCCTTCTCATGCTTCGCCACAGCAAACACAAGCAAGCTATTATTCTTCAATCCCAATTTTGTAGGCGTGCTCTCTCCGTCCCCCGTCTTGAGCTTCACCCATCCCGACGAGAGATCATTCGGAATCTTCAATGCGCCGTACACAATAATCGAGTTCTCGTCGACATGAGTGTTCTTGGGAGGTGAGATGGACGTGGTAAGACCCTGGGGGTATCGCTCACTTATGACGCTGGTAAGTTCGGCGGTGACGTTGGAGAAGGGTGCGAGGGCGTCGATAAAGAGGTAGATGGTATGGATGCCATGCTTGAAGCGCACAGAAATGTGTGCGTCATCGAGATCAGTCTGAAGGTTTGTTAGTGGCGGTCAACAGGGCGGTTGGGATCTTACCATCTTGTCGATCTTTGGAGGTGTACGGTTTGGGAAAGACGTCAGAGCAAAGAGTCGTCTTCTCTTGTTCGATTCACGAGGGGCAAGCTGGAATTCAATTTGGTGGGGCTAATCGCGGCTTTGCCAGACACGACATCACGTGCCCGCGCGTAGAGTGATTCTTTGGGTGAGCAATTGAGTCTCCGTCAATTATATGAGCAGGCTTCATTAGCATATGCAAAAGCATGAAAGACTTCTTATCGGATCCGCAACCAAGCCAAGCCTGGTAGTGTTCGGATTTACGTTATCGTAACGAACCAGGTAAATATCTTGGTTGTTACAGACCGGGCATCAACACTGGATCCGAACAACAGGGTGCAGCATCGTTGATAGCGACCACACTATTGATACGTCACCTTTGTCAAGGATGGGATGACTCGATGACATCTGATAGTCAGGTACCAGGCTGACAGTAAGACCCAATCCAAAGACAAGCTCGATAGCATGTTTTCTAGAAGGGTTCATTCCTCAAACTCACCACTACCCTGAAGTAGACTTTCAGTGTTTGCTCAAGAATAAAAGCCGTGCATAAAACCGTACTAATGCACAAACGCACTGTCCATCATGACAAGACCATCAGTTCGTAGAAGCATCCATCAATTCAATTCATATTACCTACTTAAATCTATCACGACAAGAGAAAAAAAAGTCATCGGGCCTTTGCTGGTTGTCAGTCCAGTCCAGACTCAGCCCCTCTTTACTGCTTGGCTCAATTACCGACAACAAGCGCAAGCGAAGGCAACCTTTCTCTCCTCGCAAACAACACCAAGAAAAAAGAAAAAACCGCCAACACCGCCGGGATTGTAAACTCCGGGCCTTGTCGTTCTCCGCAATCACCGCCGAGCAGACAAAGATCCACAACTGAGAATCAGCTGTGCAGAAACAAGGCTAGGCACCGCAGAGCCTCACGTTAATTTTGGTCTTTTACGAGTGAGAAAAAAGACAGTCAATTGCACTACATCAAAGACATCATGGCTGCTGCTCCCCCGTCATCCCGGCCCGGTTTCACACCATCTGGCACCACCGCGATACCCTCACCACCATCCGACCTTGACTTGGCTTTCCCACAGGACGTCTTCCCCCGCCTATCTGTCGCGACACCCACGCGGCTGATGCTGGGCACAATCTCGTCAGCGCTCGTGGGATTCTCGCTCGGTGCGACGCAGGGTGGTCAGATGGCGCAGTTGCGGTTCCGGGCCGAGCACGCCCACAAGATGCCCGACACGACGACAGGGTGGTACTTTTACCACAAGAGCAAGAACTACCACGTCATGCAGGGCGGAATCCGTGAGGGCTTTCGCATGGGGTTCAAGACGGGGTTCTGGAGCTTCATGGCCTTGTCTCTTGAGAGCACGGTTGATCGTTATCGCGGGGCCAGCGACATGTTTTCCACCACGATAGCCACGCTTACAGTAGCTGGCGCGTTTTCTCTTTGGTGTAAGTTACGTTTTTCCCTTTATCTCAGTTGTCATTCGTTTCTACAGTCATACCTCGGCTGCATAAATTGACTAAGAGGATGGTAATTGCGCAAAAACCCCATACGGGGAATTCCCACACTAGGCATGGCACGCAGCCGAGATGGAAAGCGACGGGTAGATATTGCAAGCATGCATCCAAGATCAAGTCGACAAGTGGAACCCCGAATGAGAGATCAATGGGCTAACAAGCGCCGAACATCGGCGTGTGCAATCTAGATCGCCTGTCATTAACAACCGCCGCCCGGACCGCGCGATACGGGCTCATGTTTGGTCTCGCGTATGGTGGGATTCAAGACCTCGTTGGCTTAGCCCGAGGCAGACCGATCGGATATGTCGAGTTTCTACGACGTCGAGGATCAAAGGGTGTTACTGATGATGCTCATCCAGCATTGTGAGACATACTATCTTGTACAATCGCTGTAGATATTAATATCACGACTGGAAACAATAAATGCTTCATATCCGCATTGACCAAACAGGGGATGGGTTAGGCTCAGAGATCACCAGGAATAAAAATTAATTAGTGTCCTTTCGTTATCGGGGCAGTCCGAGTTTTTTTTTACTCTCTAGGTGGACGCCTCTCCCGTGAACCAGCCCCAGAGAGGGGAGAGCGGCTTTGCTCGGTCTTTTATGGAGACCATGATCGATAAGCAGAAAAGCTTCTAGCGAGATGGAACATTTTTCTTACGGATTGATTGGAAGTAGACTGTTCCAAGCCACTCGCTGCATGCAGAGATAGACGGGTTATGATATGGTAGCAGAGCCCCATTCGTCACGTCCATCTCGGCATATCAGGCTTATCTACCGATTGCAACGATAGACACGTTGACGTTGACTGACAGCATCAACGTTGTTGTTGTTCCTTGCGTAATGGTGACTTGAATTGACCAACCCTGGGTCAAATCGTCATAACAAAAGTCACAAGACCCTTTTTCATTGTCTCATCTTAAAAGCACAAACCATCTGTGACCCCCAAATGTCCGTCTCAAAACAGTCAAGAGAATGCTTGTGATGCATCTCCAAGGTTTCCCCACAATGCCCTGTGCTGTTGTTCACCAATTACATAACACGTAATTTGCTGGGATCGCGGCCTGTTGCGGCATCAAAAGAAACATTCACTGACCTTCTCTTCCCCAGCTTCCCTAATTTTTGTGCTGAGTTGGTCGCAACCAATCATGGTGTCGATCGCCATCTATGACACTCCCCCACGCCCCTCAACGGCTACATTCGGTTCTCATTTTTCTATGGTGATGCAAGACTAGCTTCATTTTTAGTTTGAGCGGTAGACCAGCAAAAACGGCCACGTGACGGCTGATAAGCTCCGTCGCCATCGTCAAGGATCTTGTCTGTCCCGGTAATCTGGGGCCTTTCTCTCTTTCGCCTTGTCTTTACTGCCCTGGTTTTGATGTCACGGGTCCGGGCTCGCTCGGCCTTTGCGGAGAAGAAACAAGGGGGTTCATTTAATGCGTAGCGTAAACATGACCATCAATCATGACTAGCAATGGCGAAAAAAAAGATTGTCTAGGTTTTGGAATGGGGAAGCTCACGATAGCGCCACCTCCATCACACGCCCCTGGGGAGTTTAGGTCAGTGCTAGACAGATCCAGGCACCGCAGTCAACCGACAGTTTAGTGTCACTGCCAGACAGATACAAATATATTAAGCTCTCTTCCACCCGTTGCTCTTTACCACTCAACCCAGATAGAATTAACTTATCTTCCATCACCGCACCGACCACTTTACGTCTCCTGTAAAATATACACTTGCCTGGATCCCTCCATACTGATCCAGTCTCACCTCTTCATCACCACCTAGGACCACCTTTCCAAAAACCACCACCACATCTCATATAATGAGCTCGGCCCTTCGGCGAGGGACTGCCCAGCCCCTTCGCTGGGCGACAGCATCTTCCGCCATCACCACCAACACTCTCCGACCATGCCTCGCTGCCCGCCGTCACATCCACTCTTCTGAGCGACGAACCAACACCATCGTCGAGCAGCGCCAGATCCGCGACCCTCTTCCTTCAGCCCCCAGCAAGGCTCCTCTCTCCGTCCTGCCTCTGATCATGATCCTGCGATCTCTGGCCACCATGACCGTCTCCTCCTCGCCTCTCCTCCTGCCTCCTTCTCTGCACGTCATGGGAATCCTGGCCAACACCTCCAACCCCATCCTCAACCCCGACAAGAACCCCCTTCTCCGATTCTTCCTCAAGAAGACTTTCTACGCTCAATTCTGCGCTGGCGAAAAGTCACCCGAGATTAAAAAGACCATCGACGGACTCAAGAACATTGGTTTCAATGGTGTTATTCTCAACTATGCCAAGGAGGTTGTTCTTACTAAGGACGAGGGCGCCGATCTCAAGAACGCCGCCATCGAGACCGAAGAGGCTATCCAGAACGAGATTCTCCCTTGGGCTCGAGGCACCCTCGAGACTGTCCGACTTGCTGAGCCCGGTGACTTTGTCGCCCTCAAGTTCACTGGTGCCGGCAGCATCGCTCTCCACCAGCTCAAGGAGCGTATGCCTCCTAGCCCCTCCATGTACAAGGCCATCGACTCTATCTGCCAGCTTGCCCACGAGCGAGGTGTCCGTCTTCTTTTCGACGCCGAGCAGGATATGCTCCAGGACGGTATCGATGATTGGACCCTCGAGTTCATCCGCAAGTACAACAAGGGTCTCGGTGAGGCTGTCGTCTTTGGTACTTACCAAGCCTACAAGAAGAAGTGTCCCGAGGTTCTCTCCGCCCACCTCAAGCTTGCTCAGGAAGAGGGTTTCGCTCTTGGTGTCAAGCTTGTCCGTGGTGCCTACCTTAACTCCGACCCCCGCGAGCTCTTCCACGACACCAAGGAGGACACCGACGTCTGCTTCGACTCTCTGTCTGCCAGTGTCCTCACCCGCGAGTGGAACGCTGACGTCAAGGGCTCCGGTGTCTACCCCGTTGCCAGCCTGGTCGTTGCCTCTCACAACGCCGAGTCCGTCCGCAAGAGCCGTGCCATTATGGAGGCCGGCCGCGCCAAGTCCGACATTGCTTTTGCTCAGCTTCAGGGCATGGCTGACGAGGTTAGTTGCGAACTCGTCGAGGCCAACCAGCTGGACAAGACCATGAACCTTCCTGCCTACAAGTACCTCGTCTGGGGAACTACCGGAGAGTGCATGAAGTACCTCCTCCGCCGCGCGCACGAGAACAAGGATGCCGTGCAGCGCACCAAGGGCAGCCGAGATGCTCTTTGGTTCGAGCTTGTCCGACGATGCAAGAGCGTCGTTGGCCTTGCTTAAAGAATGAACAAAAAATAAAATAAAGAAAAATGGGAACGGGAAAGAGAAAAGAGCTTTATATCATTCATGTCTTTTGGGGTTTCTTTTGTTTTGCATCATGGGTAGCGATTAGGAGTCCGGGGCGTCCAGCATCTCAATACCAGAGATAGATCATAGATGAAGAAATGACTTACAACAATTATCTGATTGACTTTTGTGAAGCATTTGAACTGTTTTTTGTGACTCAAACACCCCGTAAAGCCATGGCGCCTATGACAAGCGACTCCATCTCCTTCTGTTTGACCTTTTCATCCTGGATATCATCCAGCCACTTGAGTCCGTTCAACTTGTAGTACTTGCGTACTTTTGGTACATCAGTAGCGGTGGATATTTGCTCATCGGTGATTGAAACAGCCTCTCCCTCGACATTGGTCTTGAGATGATCCCAGATTTGGTCCTGACTCAAAGGCTCAGCACTCTCTCCAGGGAATGTGACCTTGACAACGACAAGGTCCTTGGTTGATGGGGAGATGCCATAACGACGGTAGGCATCAGCAATCTGGACACCAGTCAGTCTGGTAAAAGTAATGTAGCAAGGGTTATTACGTTATTAGAGGAGCTCATATTGCACACAATCTCGGAGTGAACGTTGGGCGTCCTCAAAGCGCCATTCACAGCCGTCGACGTAGCTTTAAAGACAGAAGACAACAATTGAAGCCTCGAAACAACCTGTTCAATAGAGAGACACCACCAGTCATCAGAATTGCCAGAGTCTAAATCGGGTGTCCCGATTGTGTCTGAGCGAAACTCACCACTGAGGCATCAATAAAGGCGTACTCAAACTCGGAGTTCCGGGTAAGAAGCTGCTGGTGCAGAAAGGCCGCATTCTTTACATCACGGAATAGGGCAACGTAGACCTTGTGCGATGCTGGTAGGTGTTCGAGAGTCACTGTTTCGAGAGCCATTTTACTGTCAAAGCCGAGAGAGCCGTTAGATCTGACTTAGCAAAGCGTGATGTTACTTGGCAGGAGAATGCAAAACAAAAGTTCTTTGCTCTGGTCGCTTACGAAATCTGCTGATTTTTCGTAACCTTATCGTAACGCGACGGTTGAGATGATGGTTTGGGTGAGGTTTTGCAAGTTTCTTGTTCTGATTCTTTGACAAGTTTAGTTTAGTGTGGAGGGGTAATTTTTGGTAGTAGTAATAAAGTTCCCCTCATTCGTCACATGTCGTTTTACTGTGTTCATACTGTATCCGATCTATAGAGGATCTCGAGACCTTTACTGCTGCACTCAGAATTGGATGTTAAAGTTATAACACGTCATCATAATGAGGAGAAGCCGTATTTGCATTATGATACGCCAGAAATTGAATGTCAGAGTCCTCATTTCCAAGGTGATGTATGCACTTTGAAGCCATCTTTGATCGCCCCGCCCGTCCGTTACTGTTACACACGTGTCCATCGCTTTTCATGTCCATCATCAACAAAGATCTACCCGTTGACAAGTGTTCTTTGTTGAAATACCGCCGATACTAGGCCGCGCCACAGCCATTAAGTGCCGTAGTGAGAATGAGAATGGTTGGCTGTCAACTTGCTCAGCTTGGCAGACTTGTGCAGGACAGGAAATAGTTTTACAGAATTAATAGAAACGAAAAACAACACGAAGGGCATCATGTTTGTTTAGGTATAGTTAGAGATTCTGGTAGGGTTGCATCATCTCATGTTACATGCAAATCATACGATACCATCTAAAGAGCTTCCTCTCTAGTAATAGGATTTCTTGGTATTCATTCTTTTGGCTCCGCTATCCAGCTGTGCTTGCGTGTAACGAATCGTCATGGTTGTCTGACGGGACTTCCGAGTGTCTCCTTCAGCCACAGCATCATGATGCTTCGTATGGCGCATGTACCTCGTGGCTTGGCCTTGTCTTGGTCAGAAATGGACCAAGGTCTAGACCATCATCACCAGTCTTTCGTAAGGCGATCCCCCTTGCGCTGTGCCGCCCAGGCTACAGTCCAGGGTCTTGCAAATCTCCAGGTAAACTTTGATGCCCGCCTACGGAGAATTCTCAATCTCACATCCTGGCTTGGTGCAGTTCTGTACCGTGGCTGGCGCCCTTTCCATCGTTATGTCTTCTAGAAGGCATTTCCGTTGAGTCTTCAACAGTTATCTCGATCGATTGAGATGAGGCTTCTTCCATTATTTGATCCAACATCTGTGCTTTTCGATTATACGGTCGTTCCGGAGAACAAAACTTCACGATAGACATATCTGCTGCACGCCAGCCCCGAGCAATCGCGTACTGTACTTAAAGTAGGTGTATCTATTTTAACTCATGAAGCTAAATGTCTAGTGGGATGATGGATGGATGGTTACAACTTGGCATGTAGACAATACCCAGTTACCATCATCTTGACTTGACTTATAAGACCGAGACATTGGCCAGCCTTACAACCCCTGTTTCTTGTCGTCAATCGAATCTATCCATTCATTTGCATCAACTGTTTCTGTTACTCTGCAACAACACATCATTCTATCATATCATAAATTATACAGCCACAAAATAGAGTCTAGACCACTACAGCCTCATCCTTCCTTTATCCCGTCTCTTCCCCTTCCCTAGGTTACCCTCCAATTCCTCTGTACCGGGTTGTCGAGCCGCCCCAGGCCTCCACACAACCCTTCGCAGCCTTCAAGGCCGCTAATGCACAGCGCATTCCCCGCCAAATCTATCCCCTGTACAGTGCCAGTCCCGGCCAAGACAGCTATCCAAGTCCACCAACTGCAGTTGCAGGCGCAACAGTCACGGCTAGTGACTCGTAGAAGAGCCAATATGATGGAGGCCATATCCCAGCGCAACTTCAATTCCTCCTCCATCGCCAACTTTTCCACTCCAACAGCGTTGCCGTCGCAGTCGCAGCCAGGTAGTCTGTACTGGCCATTCGACGCGCGATCCTACTCCGCCCTCGCCTGGGCGCCTGATAACTTCGCTTACAACTGCAACCCTTCTATCGCTGTTGTAAAACCTTCTGCTGCGACTTTGACAAAACCCACTGGGCGGCGCCCGCGCCAGCCTGCCGCGATATCTCGTTGCACGGCCAGGACAAAGGCCAGAACCGCGTCTCCTGCGAGCGTCAGCTACAAGAGCGTAGGATACAGAAGTGCTCCCTCTTCAGCACCTTCTTCTGCGAGATCTTCACCTTCTTGCACGAGGAGCTTCTCCCCACGACCAAAGTCCAAGATGCCCGGTCGACCTCCGAAACGGGCCAGCAGTGGCGAAGACGACCATCAAGCGCCAGGAAAAGTCAAGCAGCCCCGATTAGAACGTGGACCCGATGATTTTTCTAGTGTCGTCAAAAACCGATTACAGTCTTATACACGAACTGGTCAAGCTTGCGACAGGTGCAAGGTACGTCATGGACAGACTTTATGACAACACAACTAACGCGCAAACTATAGGTTCGCAAGATTCGATGTGATGCCCTCCCCGAAGGATGCTCCCACTGTGCCAACCAGAACCTCGAATGCTATGTCACGGATCGCGTGACTGGTCGCACAGAGCGAAGAGGATATATGCAGGAATTGGAGAGAGAAAAGAGCGACATGCTTTCCCACATCCGCGATCTTGAAAGGTTACTTGACAACAAAGGCGTCGAGGTCAAGCCTTGGGAGTGGTCACCCTACGCGCAATACCCCTCTGGCGTGAACTTTGACGATATGGGCAATCCAATCCCAGACCCAAGTACTGGCGAGACATGGTCCCAGGTTGGCAGCGCATGGGTTAAGAATTCTGGTTCCAACTCGTCAAGTCCAACCTTTCCTCGTGCGCTGGAATCTCGACCTCATGGCAATCACCTTGGTGTTGGATTCGACAGCGCTCCTTTGAGCTCAATCGGAGGTACCAAACTGTCAATTCTCGGCATGACAGTCGACCTCGCAAAGTTTGAAGACGACGAGCCACCAGTTGATGCAAAGCCCTCGGCGCCATTGTACAATAAGTCGTCGCAGTCCTTCCTCCAATCCGCCATGCGCATCAACCCTCCTATGCACGTCGACATGCCCTCTCGTGAAGATGCTTTTACATACGCCGAGTGGTACTTTATGACCTTTTCGGCCTTTCTCCCACTCCTCCACAAACCTTCATTCATGCGACTGGTAAGTTTACTCAAATTCTCACTGCACAAACACTAATCGCGTGATAGTTGACGCGCATGTACGACGAACCTAATTTTGAGCCTTCAGTGGCTGAGCTTGTTACCGTGCATATGCTTTTCGCCATCATCTGCTACCAGTATGGTACTCGGAATTGGCAGAACGTTGATCAGCGCACTCAAATGAACGAGCTGTCCAATAAGCATTACCATTTCGCTTTGAGCAAGTTCTTTGAATTGACATGCTCGCGGGATCTAGCCTCGGTCCAGGCGATGGCCATGATTGTCAAGCATACCAGAGCGTTTCCCAAGTCTGGTTGTGTTTCAATCATCGCCAACCTTGCGCTGCAACGTGCGCTCGAATTGGACTTGCACCGAGAGTCGAGAAAACCAGGTGAAGGCACCAATCTTCAACATGAACTCCGAAAGAGGATTTTCTGGGTCATTATGACTGTTTACATCGCTATCAATGGTCGTCGTGGCAGGCCCATGCCAATCACCATTGAGGAATTTGACGTCGGCTTCCCCGAGCCTATCGCAGACGAGCTTCTTTCGGACGAGGGCGTTGACACATCCCGCAACATTCCCTGCCCTTATTGGCCGGGCATTGTCAGTTTCAAGATCATTCCAATCTACTTGGAGATGTACTCGAATATTTACAGTGTACGACGAGATGCGCGCAACTACGTCAGTATTGTCAACACCCTTGAAGCCAAGATTGAGAAGTGGGAGGATGAGCTTCCTGGCTTTCTGAAGATGGACCACGCCGAACAGATAGAACAGACACGCATGGCAGCTGTTTACGCCAAAACGTGGGCACTCGAGTTTCGACTCTGTCTGCGACATCCGTCAGTGGCCATGACAAGCGACAAGGCCAAGATGGCAGAGAACATGTCGATCTGCGAGGACGTCTCGCGCAAGATGCTTCAATGTCAACTTGAGATCCAAAAGTGCAAGTGTCTCGATACTACGTGGTATCAGACTTCGATGTACACTGCTGGTATTTTCACCATGTTGGCTGCCATGTGGGAGAGACGATTCGAGACGACACCAGAGGCCATTGCTGCCTTGCGGGAGGAGATGAACGGCTGGGTCGGCATTCTCGAGGAAGCCGGCTCACTACTCGGTAAGTCCCAGCAAATCGCATACGAATCTGACAGAGCTAACCTTGTTACAGGATCGGGATCCAGTATTGGTGCTGAAATTGGAACCATCATTGATCGTACAATTGCGTGGATCGACCACGACATGCGCAGCAAGGATCCTAAGAGCACTCAGCTGTCCATCACGCCAGAGATCAAGCAGGAACAAGCTGCTCAGTCCTCTGCTTACCCAACTCCCCAGGTCCCATCCACAGCGTCCAGTGGAAACACAGGTGAAGTCTCTGCAAAGAGCTACTTCCCAGAGCCTGAGATTAGTGGACAGGCTCCTTATCCCACGCTTGCCTACAACGAACCCACACCAAACAACTTGCCTGCTTACGCCACTGGCACCATGTTCTACAACACATCTCCGCAAGCCGCAGTCTCGACATCGGCCCTTTCGTCGTCTGTGGCGCAGGTGAACCCAATGCTCGCCTTTTCTCAATCAGCCCAGGTACCCCAGCCTGACATGCTCTGGCAGGGTCGCGGCAACACTTGGCACGACTGGACTTCGGCTATCGCTGACACCCAGGATCGGTTCAGTGCATCCACTCTTTTGACGCTTGGAGGCAATACACGAGATGCCTCAACCGGCGCAGGCGTCCCGGGCGTCACAGCCAGCCCAGCAAACGACATAAACAATATACAGAACGGAGGCCAGTGGCCCCTGATAATATTTGACCAAATGGCGCCAAACGGATCTTGATTTGAGGTGAATAGGGATCTGGAGCATTTATTGGGGCGTTCTTATAGTGGCGTTTTCGGGAAGAATCGCCACGATTCAACAAAAAGGATGGGTGGTTCTATTATATGATATCTACGATTGGAGGGAGATATGGAAGTTTTGCATGGTTTGGAGTGTGTTTGAATGATGCTGTCATCAGCTTTTCTAGTATATAGGACCTTATTCTATAGACTGTACATTATGTATAAAGAACATTTATTTTACAGTATTTTACGTTTAAACTCAAAGTATTAGTAGCTTTTCGCACTCGCATCGTGACTGTCTGTCTCCGTGACGAACTTATCATTTACCCGAATCTTTACCGACCGAGCTACCCACTCTTTTCTTGTCGCGTTCAATTCGAAGCTCCACGTCCAAGATATTGCGAATCGACCTCTATCAGGAACTCTCTGCGCAGCCGAATTGCATCGCGCACAATCCTTGAAGTATCATATATCGACTCTACAATCGCCGACAAGATGGGAAAGAAACGGCGCGGTCATCCCGACATCGAGGAGGTGTTGCACCGTCCTTGGTGCTACTACTGTACGAAATCTTGCGCCGTGCACTCTTTCGTCTCAACGCTGACATTTTACATCGCAGGCGAACGTGATTTTGAAGATCTGAAGCTTCTCATCTCTCATCAAAAGGCTAAGCACTTTAAATGCGACCGCTGTGGTCGTCGTCTCAACACTGCAGGAGGTAAGTCTGACAATCCCAAATCTCAAAAACATAGACTGACGATTGTAGGTCTCTCCGTGCACATGAACCAAGTCCACAAGGAAAACCTCACGCAGGTCGAAAACGCGCTTCCCAACAGACAAGGTCTCGAGGTGGAGATCTTTGGCATGGAGGGTATTCCCCAGGACATGCTCGACCAGCACCGTAACCGTATCCTCCAGAACTTTCAGCAAGCGCAGAAGGATAGACAAATCGCGACGGGAAACCCTCTTCCTGGACAGGGTCATCAGCAGAAGAAGATCAAGACGGAGACGCCAGATGATTTGAAGCAGAGGTTGGCGGAGTTTAGACAGAAGAAGAAGGAGATTGCTGCCAATGGAGGCGTGGATCCAGCTGCTGCTGCTGCTGCTGCTGCTGCTCCTGTGGCCGCTGAGCCACAAGCTCCTCTCGTGAGTATTTTTGACAAAGTTATGATTCGTTTGCTAATCTATGTAGAACGCTCCTCCTGCTTATCCTTCACAAAACCCCTACGAACAACCAGTTTTCGCTCAAGCTCCCGCCGCCGCCGCACCACCTTACTCCTTCAGTGCTAACAATCTTCCCGCGCGCCCATCATCTGGTGCTGCGCTTCCCACAGCTACAGGTCTACCTCAACGTCCTACACAAGGCGGCGCATGGAATGGCGCGCCTGCAGCGGGTGACGATATCGATAACCTGATTCGTATGGCCGAGGCGGGTATCAAGCCAGCTGCGGCTCCTGAAGATGGCGACAAGAAGAAGAAGGAGAAGAAGGCGAGGATGTTTTATGATGATGCTGAGATCAGTCCTGAGGAGAGAATGGCTGCGCTGCCGAGGTATGCGTTTGTTCCAGAGGTTGGGGCTTAAGAGTGGTAGGGTGGTTTATTCTTGAAAGGGAGAAATTGCTTGCATGGTTGGCGTTGGGTTGTAAACTAAATGGTTAATTTGATGGTGCTTTTGCGATACGGATGAGGCTTGGCAATGATGGGGTTTTGATGTGATTGAAGTGATTGAGCCCGCGATCCAAAGATATGCTGGAGGATCACAAACATTAGTCTGAAGAATCGCCGTAGAGGAAGTCCGCGTTGAAGCATTTGCTTTATCAACCTGCCAGCTTAGCTACTGAGATCTTGAGATATTCTTATCGGACTTGGGTCAATTGCTCTGCCTACAGTCAATCGTACGCAATTTGCAAGCAATTGCTATATCGAGCACGACTAATCATCTCTTTTCTCGTAAAAGCTACTGTTATTGTTCAAAGACATGCATTGTCGCAAAAAACGATATATCATAATAATGAAGCGATCTTGGGAAGCATTAGTTCCAAGCTGAACGCCATCAATGTTACCCTATAGCTCCTGGACACATTTGCTCTATTCCAAGCTTCGACTTGTCTTGCAAGGGGACTCTCAGGCAATTCTTCCTTGCATGATTTAGTGTTCATCTTTTTTTGTTATGTTTATGTACTTTCATCGTCGCGGGTTTCTAGACAATGTTTGTTATCGTATGGATTTTGGACGATCGCCATTCTTTTGCTAGTTGTACCAGCCCCAGAATCAAAATATCGCCAGCCTTAAACGCAACAAGACAACAAATAGCTCAATACTTTGTCCGTGACCCATCGCTTTACTCAAGCCCCATACGTTTAATTGACTTGTCTGTCTTTGTTAGGCAGATCGATAGGGGTCAAGCACATGCATTGAAGCACTCACAGACTAACAGGGTCCCCCTAGGATAATGGCCATAGCGCGTTTCTACAGCAACATCACCCCCCGAAGCTGAAACTTCCACTAACATGAGAAAACAAACCAGACGTCACCCGCAACCGTGCTTCGCTTCAGCAGCTTTAAACTGCACTCACTCTTTTCAACAAACTGCCGACTATACTAACATACAACCAAACAGCAAAAGCCATATCTATTGTCTTGTCTAGACTCTTTTATTTCGTTTTCCTTCTTGTTCGAGTCAATTTTATTTTCTCAAACATTTGTCTCCATGATCATTAGCTCGACCAAAGAGCGCGCCTCTCATTTTATCATTGTCCCGCTTTTGTTTACTTTGTAACGCCTTCCTCACCGATACTGCTGCACGCCACAAGAGAGCTCGAGGTGGTGATCTAAAGTTCCCGATTGCAACAACACCGCATAAAGAGCAACGACGAAACCATGGCTATTACAGCCGCTCCAAGCGCCGCAGGGCAGTCTTCTATTACTGTTGCTGGTAGGATACGCCTTGCAGGTGAAACGCTGTGTCGCTAACTGTCTTCAGTTCGAGTTCGTCCATTCACCATTCGAGAAGCTTCGCAATTGTACGGTTGACGATTCGATAAGCGAAACTTGTCGCTAACTATAACGCAGACAAAAGAATAATGACGGAACGGTTTTTCTTGGAGATGGTTCTTTGGCTGCTGCGCCCACACCAAAGCTACACCAACGAGGTATTCGAAACGTGATCAAGGTTGTCGACGACCGTTGTCTGTACGTATTTCTGAATCGCAACCATTAGGGAGACACTGACAATAAATAGAGTCTTTGATCCTCCCGAAGATAACCCCGTTCAAAAGTTTGGTCGCTCAGTCGTCCCCTCATCGAAAAAGGTCAAGGACCAAGTCTTCGCCTTTGACCGCGTGTTTGACGACAACACCACCCAATCCGAAGTCTACGAAGGCACAACCCGAACTCTCCTCGATAGCGTACTGGACGGTTACAATGCAACAGTTTTCGCCTACGGTGCCACTGGCTGTGGAAAGACACATACCATTACTGGTACCGCACAACACCCTGGTATTATCTTTATGACAATGCAGGAGCTGTTTGAGAAGATCGATGAGCGCAGTCAGGACAAGGTTACAGAATTGAGTCTCAGCTATCTCGAGATTTATAACGAGACCATTCGTGATTTACTGGTTCCTGGTGGAGGAGGCAAGGCTGGATTGACGCTCAGAGAGGACAGCAACGCTGCTGTTTCAGTATCGGGATTGACGAGCCACCACCCCAAAGACGTGCAAGAAGTCATGGACATGATTGTCCAAGGAAACGAATATCGAACAGTATCGCCTACCGAGGCCAACCTTACTTCTTCACGATCGCATGCCGTTCTCCAGATCAACGTCGCCCAGAAGGACCGTTCAGCCGGCACCAACGAGCCCCATACTATGGCCACCCTTAGCATCATCGATCTTGCTGGTTCCGAACGAGCGTCCGTCACAAAGAATCGCGGCGAGCGCCTTGTAGAAGGTGCCAACATCAACAAGTCCCTTCTGGCCCTCGGAAGCTGCATCAACGCCCTTTGCGACCGTCGACAGAAGCAGCACGTTCCCTACCGAAACAGCAAACTTACCCGACTATTAAAATTCTCCCTCGGCGGCAACTGTAAGACCGTCATGATTGTCTGTGTCTCGCCATCGAGCGCGCATTTCGACGAGACGCAAAATACCCTTCGATACGCAAACCGAGCCAAGAACATCCAAACCAAGGTGACACGCAACGTTTTTAACGTCAACCGCCACGTCAAGGACTTTTTGGTCAAGATTGACGAGCAGATGGCCTTGATCAATGAGCTCAAGGCACAGCAGAAGAATGCTGAGGGCATGTTCTTTGCCAAGTTCCGAAAGCAAGCCGAGAAGCGAGATGCCCTTGCGCGAGAGGGAATTCAGCGACTTCGAACAGCATACGAGCACTCTGCTACTGAGCGTCATGAGCGTATCAACAATATGAAGCGACTCAAGGGTTTCGAGCGACGCATTGGTATGCTGTCAGGATGGATCGCTGCTTTTGATACCGTTTGCGACCAGCGAGGAGACGAAGACTCCATGCCTCAGAACCTTGTCACCATTCGAAAGACAGCTCAGGGCATCCTTGTAGAGCTGGAGAACAGCCGACACCATATCCATCAAAAGCTGGAAAAGTCAGGCTGGGAGCGAGCTATTGACACCGCTCTGTCGCACACCCTCCAGCAGCTCCAAGCAACCGACAGTGCCGACAGTGGGGAGACCGACAAGTTGACTCGTGAAGCCGAGCTGCTCAAGGCCAACTTTAGTCGTGAGGCGTATAGAGAGGTTCTTGAACAGGACAAGGCTGGTGATGCTGCCATGGTCCAAATGCTCCTTACCGCTCAATTCGACATCCTCGCATCCCTTCACGATACTCTCGAGATGGGTGAAGAGGAAGCCGTCGCCCACGCCAAGGAGTCAATCAACCGTCTCCTCCAAACTGGCTTTACCGCTGCTGGTCAAGTCGTCAAGCCTGACGGCTCTATGCCTGTAGTCGAAGTCTTTTCGCCTCGAAAAAGAGGCACCCCCAAGCGCAAGAAGGCTATTGCTATGCACATCAAGCCTGTGTCGGCTCCAGTCTTTATGCCTGAGAACGCCCCTCTTAGCCCAACAAAAGGTTCTCCTCGACGTCGTAAGGTGATGGGAGCTTCCAAGAAGAGCATCAGCTTCACGCCAGTCAAGATGATGAAGAAGAAGGGCGGAGTTCGATGGAGGGATGATGAGACTGAGGAGGGTACACTGGTGGACTTTTCGCAGACGCCCCAAAAGTTCAACTCATCACCAGCGATGCCTTCACCCGAGAAGGATATCGTTGCGCCTCCGATGCCTTCCTATCTCGAACCCGACGAGTCGAAGATGGAAGAGTCTAAACTTGAAGACTCGAGTCCCAGACTTGAGGTTCCAGAAGTCTCCAGCCTTGGAGGCGCGAAGCCAAGCAGGTTTCAAGCTGGGTTCCTCTCCAAGGGAGCTAGGCCTTCCCTCGCTGGAGGTTCTCCTCAAGCACCAAGCCTGAGTCTCAGATTGGGTTCAGTCTCTCCCGACGTTCAACGAACACCACCCTTGCGGTCATTAGACGTCACTAAGAGTGGCAACTTTTCGCCATCGCCATCAGGGTTAGGTATTCCACGACCGATTCGACACTTTAACAGAGTACATGACGAGAACAACCCTCCCGGTTCAGGATCGGATTCAGAGACGAGCACCATTGACGCGCGAAAGCTTCAGACCGCTCTTCGCACAGCCATGAAGGAAAAGGCTCGTAGGGCGAGCATTTTGGCTGGTACAGGCGCATCCAGCTCTAAGCGTGTCTCTTCTATGGGGATGCTGCCTGAACGAAGCGCGCCCCGATCTAGTCTGTCTGGACCTCTCGCCAGCACCACCAACGGCATCTCTCGACTCCGACGAGGTAGCGCCGAGAGGAGAAGAAGCCCACCAATGGCATGCTTCGCCAACGACTTTACCATTGACAGAGCCCTAACTCAAGGTCAAGCTAGACGCATGAACATGAGCACTACGCGAGCATCAGAAGTCAATGGTGGAAGTCCTCAGGGCAGCATGGCCGGCGGCCCTGCACGTCGGATCACTATCGGTACCAACTCAGGAGCTGCTCATCGCCGCCAAGTTAGTGCCGGAGGTACATGGCGATGAAGAGGGTTATGTGTATAATTAGCATGTGGATTAAATTGCCTTGATGTTATCAGGCCTTGGATGGGAGTGTGTGCTTGATTTGTTTATTAGCCTGGCGTTTTACGGCTTTGGCGTTTGGGCATTGCATGAATCTATGTAGATTGGAATGATGATATTCTTCTTTGTATCAACATTGAGCTTAACAGCAATACCCCCGAAGTGTGACAGTATGTGAACGATAGTATTTAAGGTCAGCATTGCCATCTGACTAAACCTTGTACCCAAGTATAAGCTCTGTAGAACATCCCGTCATAATTGCACCACTGCCCGCAGTCGAGACTGGCTGCTGATGACGGCTTCCCAACCTTTCCAAATTATACAAAATGCTCCTCTATTGGCAAAGAGGAGTTTCGCATGTTTGAGGAAGATTTAGTGAGAAACTTGAACTGAAGTGAAAGTTTCTTTGAGAAACAGCTGTCCAAAGAAAAACGGCACGCAACGGCGCCTCCAATCAACGTCAAAAAGTGGTATCACCAACAGTATCTCGACCAGTAGTTTCAACCGATCTTGCGGGTTTTCACCATTTTTAAAGTATAATACTGTCTTTTCCCCTCTTTCATAGAAGGTAGGGCTCAAAAGGAGCGACATGATTCTCACACAGCATAAAAGCATAAGAACCCGGCAGTCCTCTTCTTCTTCCTTTAGCAAACACCACTCTTGAATCGAACATCGATCACCAAGCCACCACTTGTGAGTAACTTGCTTAGATACGCAGTGAGGTGCAATTTGACTGACGACCTTCTAGAACTACCTATTCGCTTACGATTGAGTACTCTTTAGCTGCTAGAGATGCCTCGTCTTCTCGTCCCTTGGTTCGTTCTGGTCATGGCCATCGCCACCCTCATCAGCGTGGTCATGACATGCGATCCCAAACCACCACCTTGGCCCAAAAAAGATCCCAACATCAAGCCTGGCACAGAAAAGAACCCAGTCTGCAACAATCACCAATGGGATCCCCCTCCCAAGGGCGCAATCTGCGGCGAGAACGGATGGCTCAATGACTTCAAGGACAACGAGAGGTTTGGGTTCATTATAGACCATCAGGAATTTTGGTATGGACCGAATGAATGTTGGGTCGACTGCTTCAAAAAGCGACCGAAATACGGCGACTGCAAAATATTCGCCGTCTGGCCGGGTAAAGAATGCGCCAAGTGGGAGAAAATCCCAACTACTCGGGATAACCGGACGACCCCTTGGAAGTGGTATGAGCCTCGCTGTTTCTGCAATCTTACCAAGGAGTGGTAGAGAGATATGCTTTGGCCGGGTGGATGTCGGATTTTATGATGATAGCTGCTTCGGTGGAAGGATGCCATAGGCTTGATGTTTGGACGAGGGTATGTCGGCGTTCAAGGAATTATTTCACTTCTTTGTATAGATTGAATCAACGATGACCATTTCAGTTCAATAATATCTAGCAACGATGATATCTTTTTGTTGTGCAATTCCCAAGTCAAAGTGGAAGTGATTCTTTCTGCCTTGGTTAACAACAATATGGAACGTCAATCGTTGGAGATAACCTCGAGTTTGCCGATGATTACGCGGGTGTCACTACTAACACGCAATTGGCTTTCGGCGACAAGGTCCCGCTTTTGTATGAGGTTAACTTTATCTTTATCTTTAATGAATTGCTTGCTGCTTGGGATTTATGTGGTCGATCTGACTCGGCAAGCAGGTCGCATAAAAACCAACACTGGTCTGGTGCTCGACAGAAATATTAGATCAGCTCTAGTGAGAATGTAGCCCAAGAAAACACTAATGCTGTCGTCTAGCCTTCTTACTATCCCTATTTTTGCGACCTGGCTGATTTGCCTACCGCTTGAGAATCGCCCCGCGTCCAGGCTAGTCCAGACTATTGAATACACTTATCTGGAAAGACCCCCAAAAGTTGCCCGGGCTATCAAGCTACTGATAGTTTCTTTTTAAGATAGTTTCTTTCTAGGCGGTTCTTGTACAAGTTAACTTTGTCGACCAATTGAGAGAAGGGGTAGAAGTAAGCTACAACTATAATAAAATGAGATTCAGGGGAAACTAACAGTGATGGACCAAACAAGGTCATGAGTTGCGGAAGATACAGGGGGAAATAATTCTCATTAAAGAAGCATCTGCCTTGTGAAATTCGTGGGAGTTCATCACTCACTTTGCATTTCCCAGCTGTACTGATTAGTAGAGATGTCTCGTCATCTCGTTCGTTCGTTCATCTTGGCTTCGGTCCTTGGCCCCTTCGTTAATGCTGGACCATGTAAGCCATTGAGTAGCTCGACCGTCTTGGTCTCGACTACCACCGAGTCTATTGAAAGTCGTGCTGCAACTTCAACAGGTGTCGTTTCTACGAGTGAGACGTATACATTTACATCGAGGTCTGAGGATGTAAGCACTACTACTGCTGAGTCGCCTAGTAGTACCGTTAGTGAGAGCGTCTTGTTCACTACTACGGCTGAGACATCTGCTATTTCGAGCGATGATACCACCGCCAGCCAAGGCGAGACAACTACTACGGCAGTATTTGAGGCTAGTACCACTGCTGTCAGCGATTTGGCTAGCGACACTACCACCGAGACGGCTGGTGATACCGCCACTGAGATATCTGCTACTATCTCAAGCGACGAGACAAGTGTGGTCAGCCAGACAGCTACGACTACGACTTTTGAAGATATCACCACAACTATCCTCGAGTCCTCAACTACCGAGGAAATCTTGCCTACTACTACAACTGACATCACCACACTCACCAGCGAGGCGCCTACCACCACAACAAACGAAGACGTCACCCTCACCTCAACTGAGCCTTCTGAAACCACGACTGAGGAAGTGGAAGGATGTAAAGACGATAAAATTACCCCCCCTCCCAAGAACTTGGTCTGCGGCGTGATGGGAGGTCGTACGACGAACGACGGGTACATAGGATTAGGACGTACTCCCGATTCAGAGCTTGACTGTGCAGAAGAGTGTAGAGATACCCCGAACTGCAATTTTTTCGCCGTTAAAGCGGGCCAGTCAGGTTTCTGTGAGCTCTGGTCTAAGGTCAATCCTACGACAAACTTCCCGTCTCCATATAAGTGGTATGAGCCTGGGTGTTTTTGCGGTTCTGAATCCGAACCTGAGGCTACAACAACAACTCAGGCACCTGAAGTCTTGCCCACCACAACCGAAATTACCACACTCACCAGCGAGACCGAGTTGCCTACCACTACGATAACCGAAGACATTACTCTTACCTCAACTGAACCCGTCGAGACCACGACTGAGGCAGCCACAATCTGCATAGACAATAAAAAGAGCCCCCCTCCTAAAGATTTGGTCTGCAGCAAAATGGGATATAGCTCGAATGCAGGCAACGCCGAGGTTGTGGGCAGGGGCCGTTTCGGGTCGGAGCTCGAGTGTGCAGAAGACTGCCGAAACACCCCAAATTGTAAATGGCTGGCTGTCGACACGGGCCCAGGCGGTTTCTGTCAGCTCTGGACCGGGGTCTTTTCACCGACAAACCATGAGACCTCTTGGAGGTGGTATGAGCCTGGGTGTTTCTGTGATTCGTCTGAGCCTGAGCCTGAACCTGAGGCTACGCAAGAACCTGAACCGTAAAGGGCCTGTGTTGAGGGGAGGTTTGTGCCATTGGCGGTGTTGTGATAGGGAGCGGCCGGATGTAGAGGTTGTTTGGAGGAGGAGTCAGAAGGACTATTGGAGGGAGGAAACATGATGGCGACAACTTCACTTCTAAATGAAACAAGGGATTCAGACAGGCGGTATTTTGAACGAGTATATAGTCTGATGATAATACATGATCTATTTTATTATTCTTGCTCAATTCCTTACAGTGATGCTGGGTGATCTACTTCCCTTTGTGAGAGACACGCGTATAGAGTAGCGAGCAATGTCTTGGCTTACTAATTATGTCCGAAATGCGATTAAGCATAACCTTTCCATTATTTCTGACCAATACTATCTCTTTTTCAATTGTTGGAGATGCAGTTTGTACAGTAAGAAACGCCGATGATTACATGAGTGGCAACACTAACACGTGATTGGCTTTCGGCGATAAGACCCCGCTTTTGTCGTGATGCTTCATTGGTGTCGGTGTTAGAGGGGTTCTGGTGTTTTCGGAGATAACATACTTTGCCTAGTTTTTGATCGACGATGCATGACTTGAAAGCTATATAAGAGCCTCAGAGGTTCACTGAGAAGTCTGCATCATCAACATCTCACTTCATCTCAGAAACAGTCACTCAAGAAAGCCAAACGACTACAACTGCATTGTTCATACAATACCAATCGTATCAATTCACAAACACCATTGAAATGTCTCCACCAGTTTGGTTCATCACCGCAGCTTCATCAGGCTTCGGTCATGGCATCGCTCTTCATGCCCTCAACCTTGGTCACACAGTCATTGCCACAGCACGCAGCACATCTCGTGTCCAAGACCTCGCCGAGGCAGGAGCTCACACACTCGCCTTTGACGTAACATCCCCCATCTCAGACCTTGAAGCCATCGCCAAAGATGTCTATGCCAAACATGGCCGTGTTGACTATCTCATCAACGCCGCCGGGTACATCCTAGACGGTGCGGCCGAAGAGGTTTCTCAGGAGGAGCTGTACAACTCTTTCAATACCAACGTCTTTGGCATCTTCAACACAATCAAGGCTTTCCTACCAGGTATGCGGGAGCAGAGCATTGGTGAGAATGGGCGCCGTGGAACGGTTGTAACCTTTGGAAGTATTGGCTCTTGGAGTGGTGGCGCGACATACTCTGTCTACTCCATGGCCAAAGCCTGCGTATCCTCTCTCGCAGAGTCTCTTCGTGAGGAACTAGAGCCTTTCAACATCCTCGCTTCAGTCGTTGAACCAGGATACTTCCGCACCAGCTTCCTCAACCCTGGTGTCAAGGTAGTCACCAAGAACCGCATGGATGTTTACAACGATGAGAACACATCCACTGGCAAGACACGCAAGGCTTTGGAGAAGACGGATAACAACCAGCCTGGCGATGTCAAGAAGGGAACAAAAATCATTGTGGAGATTTTGACGGGGACAGGTGTTGGAAAGGGAAGAGAAGTGCCTGTGCGAATCATTCTGGGCAGTGATGCGGATGTGTTTATTCGAGGGAAAATTGGCGAGGCGCTGAAGATTTTGGATGACTGGAAGAGTGTGACTGTGAGCACCGATATCACAGAATGAGGACTGTAATAATTATGTCTTACAATCGTGAGTGCCGTACTGGTGTCAAATTGAGAATAGCCCATGCATCCCCCAGAATAGGTTTTATGTGCGATTTTCGACGTGGTTTACTTAGATATTTTTACACACATCCAGTGACGTCTTTATCATGGCGCCTATGTTACAGCAAGTGTAGAGACTTGTCCAAGAGATATAATAGCTTAGTCACTATGGCATCGTATATCTGCCTGTAGACTGTCATTTTCTGTACTTAAGCTTGTCCTGAGGTTTCTGCCACATATGGCATGGCTGGTGCTTGTAGAATGAAACTGCCCAATCGCATGAATCTGAACGTGACTTATTTTAACACCGCCTGGTGACAACACAGAGAGCTGAAGCAGGGATTAGAATGCCTCTGACCTCACAGGCGCTTCAGCCACTTCTTTGTTGTGAGTATAGCGATTTAGGCAGTATTATTACTTAAAGAGGTTGCAGTATCCGTAAGCCGCCACTTGTTGTGTACTTATGTGCAACTCACCTCGCTCGTCTCACTTTCAGATGGGCTTTGAATACAGTTGAAAATACTTTCTGAATAGCAGTAACTGGCACCGTCAATCTTTAAGCTATCGTAAAGATCCCAATATGGAGGTGAGTTATGAATCAAATCAATTGACTCCAACTAACATGACTAGAAAGTTGGGGAAACAGCAACTGGTACCCGACGACACGCATTGCAGCTGTTCAGAGAGAATGCCGGTATGACCCACGTCAACGCACTGCTGCAAGACCATGAATTCCCGGACACAAGAGTCAAAATTGCAGGGCTGATCAGAAGAGAGAGACATTCTGATGTTTACTCTGTATACATCGACGAGGATGGCTCGTCTCTGGATCAAAGGGCAGAGGCTCGAGCATTCATCCTAAACGGAGTGCCAGCAGAGCTGAGGAGACATCGAACACGGTGCATGCGCCGCTTGCGCCATCGAGCCTTGCTGGAGGCACCCTTTCGTGGCGCCATGGTAACGGTTTATGAAACCATACAATCTGAAAAAGAAGACCAAGTTATGGAAATGACGGAGCACAACGAACAAGCAAAGCGTGTTCGACAGCGGGAAAAACGCCGAGTGAACAGAAAGCAAAAAGCGGAAAGCAAAACTCTAGAAGATGCCCCCGAAAGTGCCCAGCTTCTAGACGAAAATAAACCAGTGTATGCACCAGAGCTATCAGATCGGGAGACACACTTGTCTGCTGCTGTCATGTTACGTCCGTGTTACGACGATCAGGGCAAAAATCGCCTCGGCGACATTGGACCTAAGTTGCGCCTCTTGCATGAAATAAGGAGTCGAAGTCCCAAACTTGAAGAATTTTGGAAATTATTGGCGATTACGCGTGGCAAAACCCGGTGGCTACAACCCACTGTGGAACCTATTACTGGCGTTGAGATAATGTGCGATTTAATGGATAATCATATCGCAATGCAGAGGTTTGTGGAACAAATACACAAACACCTTTCGGAAATGTCTTATCACCAGCTATCGTCGGGAATATGCATCATTCTATCAAACGTTTCCAACCAAGAACAGCATGCGACTAGCAGAAACGGCCGACTCGAAACTCTCCGATACATACAATCAGGCTTGATCGTTTTGCTGAGGAAGATGCAAGCAGTGTACAAACTCATGAAGGACAAGTTTTGGAAATAGGTTTTTAGAAAAGCTTTGAAAAACATGACTGAGTCCGAGCGGAAGCTAGTGACGATACGAAGGCACGACTCAGACCTCGAGCTGCTTGAATCTGGTACTGTTCACGTTCGTCGTCAGGACAAAGAATTGATTTAGACAATATATTGCAACTTGGAAGACACACTTTTATAAGTTCGTTAAAAATCTTGAAATGTTTTCTGAAATTTTCTCATAGCATGCAATATAACAACGAATGATAGGAAATTTTGTCTCGCAATTGATAGACAAATAGGGGCTTCAGGAAGCTCACTCTCATGGATATACATCCGTGTAGAAACATTGAGGAAGCGACCGATATCCAGATCGGCTAGATTGCATGACTGCACACTAAGCCCCCCTTCGAACTGGAAATATGCCATACGTAGATAGCACTATTAATCGATGCCCAAATGGAAGTTGAGACTTATGATATAGAAAAGGGAGAAAAGGAAAAGGAAAAGGAAAAGAAAAAGACAAAGGAAAATCATCGAATAGAGTTACAAAGCTTCGCGTGTCATGCACAATTTGCAATTAGCCGCTTCAAACTCGTAAGGCTCTTACTCTATTTTGTCACTCCTACTTGGCGATTTCCTTGGTCTTCCCTTCTTCCCCTTGTTGCAATTGCTAATATGGTCTTTGTGTAGCTCGATATCGACGACTGCGTGCTGGCCACAAACGCATTGATAGAGACCGTGTCCGATGCAGTTGTTTGAGAGTAGGTGACGAATATGTTTGTCACGCCGGCCCGTATGCCCGCATCGACAACAATAATCAAGACGGAGATGGATGCTGTTGAGGTGCCGTTTCAAAGATCTCATGTCTTTGAATGTCCCGCATGTTGATCTACCACAATGAAATGGGGCTGACTGAACGTGGTCCACGATTATGTGATTGCTATTTTGTGTTAGAGTCAGGTGGCTTTGAAGATAGATAGTATGTTGCAACATACCAAAGATAATCCACGGTGCTGAACGGCTTCCCGCAAAAGTCGCAGCTGAGCTGAGGCGCACTTGATGCAGGGCTTGGTGTTGTGGATTGTGAGGTTGTTTGATTGCACACGCTGGATGCTGACGGACTGGCTGCCTCATAAGCACTAGTGGCCTGCGAAAAAGAGTCGGGTATCGAAAGGAAGAGTTCGGGTGGTTGCCATTCAACAAAGTGGTCTATTGAAATGGGAGGGGAAAGTTGGGATAAGTTAGAGCCTTCCTGTCTGATGTTGATTGAACAATAATGGGCTTCAATGGGTCGCGACGGCTCAAAAGACGGATCCTCACGAGAATAAACGTCGTGGTAATCACATCCCAGGTCATCGACAACGTCAAAGAGGTGCCCAATATCTTCACATTCGTCGCCAGACAAGGTCTTGGGACGATCGCCCCAATAACCAAAGTCGAGTTGCCATTGCAAGTCGGCAATGCCGCTTGTCGTTGGTTCTAAGTGATGATCATAGTGGTCACTGCTTATGCTTCGTACGCCGAGCCTGGACCCGGCGCGGGACCTCGCACAAGCTAAACTTCAAAGATAAAGTTGTTAGGGTGGTAAAAAAGAGACTGTGTTAGCCAAGGGTTGGGTCGACTCGACTCCACTACGAAGGAGTCGCGCCTGTTGGCTCCTCCAGGTTGTAGAAGAATGAAAGAAAGAGAGTGAGGAAGTGACTAGAGCCTCGTTTTAAGTACTTGTTCGAGTGGAAATGGAGCCCCCCTCCCAGGGTGTCAGCAATCACGCTGACAAAGGGCCATTATTGTGATTTGGTGTGGCTGAAACTCCCAAGATCCTGTGATCGGTATGTACGTACTGTAATACTGATTCGGATAGTTGGATAGGAAACGAGGGCCATTTTTCTCATTCGTCAGATTCGTTGGGAAGAAATATCGTTCTACGCATAATCAAATCGAGGACACGCCTTGTTATGTGGCAACCACCAATGAGAAAATTGGCCCCCACAGAGTCCTGGTCGAACGACGCATATCATAACAGAGCTCCTGCAGGCAAGACATTTGACTGTAGATTGGTCCACTCAAGAAAATGGCCCTGATATCGTGATCATCGCACAGTATTAAGCAAGGTATTATCAAGATCGTTTGGAAACAGAGCTTGAAGAACTTATCCAATGAAACAAATGGCCCTCTGCAAACGCATGAAACTATACAGAATGTTCATTATGTCTGGTGTTAGTGAAGTTGCTTCAACGAAAACACGTTGACTGCGATGTGAAGAAATATATATTTACATGTTGATCTCCTCGATGAGAAGTTGGTTGTAATGCTAGAATATCGAGTCAGAAAACTCATCACATTTTATCACTATTGACCACCCACAAATCCATTCCATCACTATGAACTCTCTTCATGGTTCTGCTTCACGTCGAGACAAGACTTCCTCAGATTTAACCAAGGATGACAAGCCTGTTGTCGACAAGGACCGATGTGAGCTAATAACGAGTTGCGTTGTCTTCATAAACTAATCCACACATACCCAGCGTCGCCATTGCTCGACTGGTTGAACCAGAACGAAGGAGATGACCCATGGCATGGGTTTACTGCCGTCTCTACCGAAGGCCCACGGGGACGATCGCAAGACGGCCCGGCCAAGGACAAAACAAATGCATGGAGTACCCAAGCTGAAGTCGGATCTGATAGGGGAGAGTGACTCAACCGCATTATTTGGACGAGTTGGATGTAAAGGGATTAAAACACTAGTAGCCGTTGAGACTTAGATTTTGATATGATGGAATTTGGAAGAAGTGCTAGATAGAAGCACGAATAATTTCTAGAAACTATTTCTTACTGTTTCAAACCAAGCTGGTGAATACCTGTCAGCGTAATACGCATGATCATAGTACCGGATTTGCAATAAATACCACTAAAATCACAGACGAAACTTAAAGCACACTAAAATACATTTCTGTTTCTAGAGCTGAAGTCCTGCCGGTCCAAGCTGAGTTGGTGCTGAGCTTGGGCTGAGGTGACCCGTAAGGGACCACATCTGGGACCACATCCCCCTATCCATAGCTCAGGACCCATTCTTTCTGGGTCGTTCAGTGCTTGGCCAAGAGTCGGTAATATTGCCAGATATCCGTTGCAGATTTACTACCTATATGGAAGTAGAACAAGGCACAGTGCTCGTACTGTACTCAAATAAGTCCGATGGGAGCCACACGGCCAATCGAAGTTCACAGTCCACCGGTGGCCAAAAGATCCCCTTGTTCCTTTCAGCAGGATCTAAAGCAATATTACCTCCAGGTTCAACATTTTGGCTGTTCTTCCAGGAGGACACCTTGCTTACGACAGGGTGTATCGTTCCGCCTTCACAGGGACCACGGGCAATCGCCCGCGGCTTGTGTAATGTTTGCCAAGACATTCCGTTCGACAAGCTCAACTGTGAAGAAGGTCCAGGGCATGCTCACCAAGAGAGCATTCAGCATCTACTCTCCTCGAGCGAGAGATGTGAATTATGCGAGCTTATTCTCGATACCATTATCGAAATCGAAAAGGAACACAAAAGGTTCGACTACCCCATCCGGTCGGAGTTGATTGAAAATTCGAGTAAATTGAAGGAAGCGCCGGTCAATGTACTAGAATCGATCGACGATTCTGGTGAAGGTCAATTCTTCACAAGACAACAACTTTTCAAGGAGAATAACGTCCTCGTTGGCACGGTAGTATGGAGGAGCCCTTTAGCTCATAGATTCGTTGAGACAAAAGAGGGGCCTGAGAATGATCCTGATGCTAGTTTCTCTCATTTGGTACCTAGCAAGTATGATTCAAAACCTTGGATATATGGGAACTATTGGACCTTGAATGGGATAGAGAATTGCCAACCTCAATTAATTGGCCTGGGAGTTCGGTTGAGCCGAGGCCCCGAGCTGGAGGTGATGAATGGCAGTCAAAAAATAGTACACTATCTTTTTCGCGGCAGTCAGATAAGGATTCTCGCTCCGGCAGGTGTGTATCAAAGATCTCAGACTCTTGCGCATGCCAACTAACTTGCCGATCATACAGATACTCCTCTCTACAGGACTATCCCAGGCAGGCTACTACATCAGCGCTACGATCAGGAGGTTCCGGCCATAAAACTGATCAGAGAGTTTCTTGTTGGTTGCTCCCAGACACACAATGATAGTTGTGTATTACCCGAGACGGACCTTCCCACGCGGGTTCTCGATCTAAGCGAGCTGAGAACGCACAAACACGTCAAGCTACTAGTAACTGGGAACATACGAGGACAATATATTGCTCTAAGCCACTGCTGGGGTTCATCGCAGCCACTTCGAACCACGTTAGAAACTTTCCTGCAACATCAACAAGGTATTCCCGTAAGGCTTTTACCATTGACATTTCAACATGCAGCTATTATCTGCCATCAACTTGGTATTCAATACCTTTGGATTGACTCACTCTGCATAATTCAAAATGACTCAGCAGACTGGGAAATCGAAGCAGATAAGATGAGCGAAGTATATACAAATGCATGGTTGACAGTTGCTGCATCTTCCTCAAAAGGATCCAATTTTGGTTGCTTCACCTTGGAACAGCCTCCGGCGGCGTACATTTCATATGAAAGCCAATCAACGGGAATGCACGAAGTGCGCTTGCCGAGCGTAAAACTCCCATTTCCAATCGAGGGCTCATGGCAAACCTCCGTCTACGCTTGCAAAGAATGGATGCCTCCTTCGTTCCAAAGGTATCCATCCCTTTATCAAATTGGAAGTTTCGGGGCCTATATTGATCCTGTTGGAGATGAGCCTCTGAATCAACGTGGCTGGACACTTCAAGAACGTTTCTTGTCGCCTCGCATTGTGCACTTCACATCTAGTCAAGTCTTTGTTCAATGTGGCCGTGAGACAGTGGCAGAAGACGGAGCTCGATTTGAGAATCTAATGTCTAAATGGGCCGTCCTCAAGCACCTTGAAAGAGATCCTGCAGTTAATGCGAAACTTACACCATCGGAGAACAGATACGAAGTGTCTCGACGTACTGGAGGATGGAACTTTCTAGTTGAATCATATAGCAGGCGTCAATTGTCTTTTGAGACAGATAAATTGCCAGCAATTGCTGGTATGGCTCGTTGGCTCCAGCAACAGACAGGTGAAACTTACCTCGCAGGGCTCTGGAAAGAACATATCTGTCAAGACCTTCTTTGGAGAAAATATCCATATGAAGAGATGCAACCTGTGTGGGCAGATCAGTCGAGAAGACATCTTTATGGACCTGAAAAGCCATTGCTGCCGTTCAAAAAGCCAAAAGCATACCGTGCTCCATCATGGTCTTGGGCATCACTTGATGGATCAGTCAAGTTTGAGGCATTATCGAACTCAATTTGTAGCTACTATTGCGATTCATTCCTCGAGTATCATAACAAGAGTCATTTCGGCAAAATACAGTCAGGTTGGCTAAGAATCAAGGTAGGCTTATCCACAAAAACATAGCTTTATAATGCATCATCACTAACTGCTCAGAAGGCGCCTCTTGTTGAAGTCCGACAGTCTAAGTCTCTGTCTCAACCTTTTCCCAAGACTGCGATTGACATCGTGCTGAATGGTCGGACTTACCGAGGACATGCTTACTTCGATTTTAAGCCCGAGCTTCCCTGTTTGGCAGCGATGATTTGCAAGTCTAATTGCTTACTTCTAGAAAAGGTAACATCTGAACCTAACAACTTTAGGAGGATTGGTATTGCTCAATTAGATAGAGTAGCAGGACTTGGAGTTAGTGTATATGAGGATGACAAGGTCCTGGCTTCTGATTTAGAAAGCGTATCTAGTTTTACAATTATCTAAGTAAATACAGTTTTAGATATCCTTTCTATTGAGACAAAGGTGACAGCATATTAAAACTATAGACTAGATTTCTACTTATTATTTACAAATTAAAGTAGTACAAAACCTTATAGTTAGTTCCTTTACATATAATAGCTAGATACTAAAGATATAAGTATTGGAGGAATTTTATGCAATCAGAGTGCTTAACATAAAAAGGGTTATAGGAAAGATAATATCCAAGATATAAATATATGACCCAAATTAACACAACTTCAATAGATGTTCTTCTAGCACTAGCTTCCTCGATATCGAATCGAGATAATGAATTTTCCTTTGAAGTATTACCTCTGCAAAGCTTGAGAAGCTTGACATGGTATCTATTAAGTCGAGCCTGCCAATGCTCACCCTAAAATATCTACGCACATCTAAACAATAATCTCATCAGATAACGCCGGCTTCCTCTTGGCTTTCAGCTATCCCAGAATTTCCCCCTTAAAGACTCGAAAGACTCCCTCACCGAGATTGTTATGGGTATCATCAGATTGCTTAATCAATCTGTATGCATTAGGTCCCCAATTTCTGTAACAAACGCGCCTGCTGAACTAAGCCAGCTCTTCAACGAGAAGATCAAGCCAAACATATGAAGAGAGAAAAGTCCCTCGAAGCGTATTGTTACTCCTAAGCCTATGGCTTCGTCATTCTGTCACGGCTGAAAGCCTCTATGATAGCCTTGTTCTCGAAGAGATATTTGGGTCTTTATGTGCCAAATGCCCTTAGTCTGTAAAACCTAGTCAATAATAAGATCATAGCTTCAACCTTCACTACGGCTAGGTTATGAGCTTGCGCGATGTAGTGGTACCGATAAGATGCCCCACTAAGAATCAGTAAAAGAAAAACATAGCACAAAGGGATCTCTGCTTAGGGTTTCTATTGCGGCTTATCGCGTAACCATATCTTGAGCGGAGTGATTCCTTAGGCGGAGCTCATGCTCGACATAATCCAATAGCGATACACTCAGTTCTCGAGATCGAGGTGCTTTGCATCGGAACCCACTACTTTCAGTCGTACAATGGTTCAATCACAGCTTCCCAGAAATGAAAGGATTCAATCGCAGACAAGTTCTGGGACTTTCATTAAACGATTAAAACTTTAGATCCTAACCCTAAACATAATCTGAGGCCAGCCCTGGTTAGGTTGCCATAACGTTAGTAGACGGGGCGACTCGGAGGTTGAAGGCCCAGAAATGGGAATAGGAGCGACACTGGCCTACCGCTTAGCTAAGGGGGGATTATATCTGATGCGAGCTGAGGGGGGGCTGAGGGGCTGATGAATAGCTTAGCTGAAGTTAAGCCAGCGAGTGAAGAGGCCATAAAAGCGGCAAGCTGCGGCAGGCTACTTGTCACTTGAGTTTTGTCTCATAATACCGCAATAATCAGCAGTTTATTTCCTGTTTCGGACAACATCGGACCCCGATATTAGACCGTCGGAAGTTCCGGTCAGTAAGCATGGAAGAGAAGGATTAATAAAGAGGAATTACATATAATTTTAACAAATTCAAATAAAGATAAAAGAGGTTTCTCTCGCAGTTTATTTAATTTAATTCTATTCACCTCTCAATATCATAAACACTATAGCAACTTGTTACAAAAAAACAGCACCATGTCATCATTACTCTTATCGACGGGCCTCAAGGCCTTTTCAATCTTTTCTATGGCTACAGGTACAGCCGATGTCATTGCCGGGCACAAGCCTCTAATTCCCGCCTCCGAACGAGCTCTGCTGCCAAAGTCAACACTCTCTGTATTGGACAACCAACTACGATTTCTGGGAGCGACATGGGGAGGTTACGGGGCGATTCTTTGGTGGGTTAGCAATGATCTCCAAGAGAGACAGGCTCCTCTGGCAGTGCTTGGAGCTGTTATGTTTATTGCTGGTATTGGTCGGACTGTCTCCGGCTTGAGTCTTGGCTGGGGTGCATCGTGGCTCAAGGTTGCTGCGGGTATTGAGCTTGTTGTACCACCTTTGATCTATATGCTCGGTTTTTAAACATGTTTTTCTTTTCTTGGAACGGGAACATCGACAATGAAACATCGCCGCTTTATAAAGGGAGCTTGAGATTCCCTTGGGTTTGACTCAGGTGTCGCTTAACCTCAGCTCAGACGACCCGCCTGAGCCACCAGGATCCCTTTCCTGCGTAAGTTTGGGAAGCTCGGAATCGTCACAACGAGTAACAACACTAGAGTTATATTTTATAATTGAGACTGGAATTGTATTTCAAGATCCACTTTGCATTGAGATTCCAACAAAGAACGTCGAAATCATCAGGTTTTGAAACTTGGACGCCAAACAGACAAGCTCTGGACTCTCTACGCACCCAAGACCCAATTAGTGGCTCACTAGCATTTGTCACTTTCGACTCTGATGCAGCGTGAATGCAAACCTAGAGCTCTCCGTCATGTCCTATGTCTACAGGCATATGTGTCTAGGGGGTTCAAACAACATCATCAACATAGACTTGTTGATATAGTTAGCCTCGACGTTCATTCTAATTGTGACTTACTGTATATCCAGGCGGTTAGTCGTATGTTTTGTGATTGGGACAGCTTGAGCTTGCACTTACCCAGTATATATTATGCTCGTTCGTTCGGACCTAGCCGTTTTGTACCAACTATTGCCGATGAATTTGCCCTGCCACAATCCTAAGTAAAGAGACCGTGCTCTTTGGCTCATTTTATCTCAATAGGAACGGTTATCTGCTGGATGGTTAATATAGAGTCAGTGTTGGGTTTTGGCAGTCTAATATACAGATATCGTACCTTTCCATTGCCGAGAATAGTCACTCTGGCGAGCCTCTTGCGACGCCATCGCATGTAGCGGCAACACCTATAGTAACAGCAACTCCAATAAGAGCTGTGCCACCCCAGGCAACAGTTGCACCAGCAATGACAGTTGTGCACGTAGCTAGAATCATGCATCTATCGATCGCCCCCCTTAGATTAGCCATTGGCATTGTTGATAACTCCGATGACATGACTGACGACAGGAGTGTTCTTGCCTAAAGATGTCCATGCCTCTCCTTGTTTGCCAAGGAGGTATGACTTTCGTTCATCATCGTTGAAATTGGCGAGAATTTGAATGTTTGAAGCGATGGCACTTTTTTCCGAATAATCTACCCAGCTTTGATCTGCACTTTTGATGAGTTCTTCCGCTGCTTCGGTATTGCCGACTGCGGCGCACGCTCCTGCTGCTACTGTACGAACGCAGCTATCGACAATTGTTACAGCCTCGCCGACGACAGGTATGGATTGAGTAGCTCCCATTGTTTTGTTGGAAATGAGTCAAAGTTGTACAAGAGTTGGTACTCTAAGAGTGAATAGACTTTTAGACAGAACAGGGATGGATATTACACTGTGATTGTCGGCACTTTATATACTTCGTTTCCCCGCCGATCAAAAACGAAGAGTATGTTGATTCGCCGCCCAACCTACAAGCTGTTGACTAAGAAATCTAGAACTGTTGGATGTCTCACGGCCCACGCATAAACCCTCTTGATTGATGTCTTCATAGGTTGTTAGATGCGCCACCGTGACTCAGCGTCAAGTCTATCGATTGCTCTATTGTATAGAAAAATTCCAGTCCCAGCCATAGGAGGCCATAAGTTCGCGTCTATAATGTCGATTAGTATTAGTGTAGCGATTCTAAACGAGTTTGATGAGTTTTGTGACAGGCGGGGGGAACGCTGCAATCAGATATATAAAGATATCACCGTTTTTATTCATTCACACCTGGACTGACATTTCAGTATAAGAGGTCAGCAAAGTCAATGGTATTTGATGGAAAAAGATATAAAATAGATGTTGTACTATATGAATCTTGACCCCGAGCTTATTGTATCCGATATATCTTTTCATCTCAGTATCAGTCGCAAGTCCGGAAAGCATACAAGCAGGGCTTCAGACGCGACATGGCTAAATGTAGTTCCAAGTGACAGGCTCAATCCCATTCTCAATCCTAGAAATAGCCTTGAAAGCACCAACGGACAAGTCCAGAAAGTTTTCATCAATGCCACCATCTGTTGAACCGACAACAGTTACTTCGATCCATCTCTGCGCAGCATTATCGACTCGGATCTTCTTGCCACAGAGACTCATGTCGAATCTGCACTTGTCAAGGGTCACGACGAAATCGCTATCGCGGGAGACTTGTCCACATTTGCCGGCATATTCGCCCTGGTAGATGTACGATGCGAATCCCTTGTATCCTTGCGGCTGCTGGGTAACCGGGGTGTTTGTGTCTGGTTTTGTTATTGGCTGAGCTCCTTTGCCTGGATTCTTTGCTTGTGTGTCTTGGATGGGTGGTCCTTTGGGTACCGGCTTCATGATGGGGTAGACTTTGGGTACTTGTCGAGCGTCGAGGTTGGAGGACGGTGTCGCAACGACGTCAGGAACACTGACAGCCAAAGCGGCAAGAACGGTACAGATTTTAGAGAAGTACATTTTGTGAAGAGTTCAGTTGCGCTGCAAGTTTGGAGCGGTCAAGAAAAGGGAAGTCGAAACAATATATACAAGTTCCAAGCCATTTCATTGACGCTATCGTAAGAAGCTAATGGGACTATTGAAAACGAACGCTTAAGCATGCGATGTGCCTCAGCGTACCATGTTAATCATTGGCTAAAATACGCCAACTCATCTCGATTGCTAGGCTTCCCCTTGAACTATCTCAGCCACCATATTTTACATCTAGGGCTGAAATTCCGACTTCTGTTACAGGAGCAACAGCCACTTGATCTAAGCATATCCTATTATTAGACCATGATTCAGCTTCTACCAGAGCTGGGTCTAACCAGAAATCTGACTACTAGAGTGTTTCTAGACAAGAACATATTCCACGCTTCTCCACAGCAACGCTGCTTAACTGGGGGGTCTAGGATCAGATGAACGAGCACATCATCGGCACGACTGTTTACTACTTCAATTCACAGAAAGTAACAAGCAGTTTATAAAGACTGAGGTTTATCTAAATTTAATCGAGGCATCGCGGTATCGAGAAAAAATTGATATTAAAGAAATATCCATACACGCTTTCAAGTGATAGTATAGCTCTTAGTAAGTATAGTGAAACCTCGGGTTGTGCTCTCCCAACTCCTCAGCCTCTTCCTCAGTCAACCCCTGAACTCTCCAATCCTCCTTACCCTCATCCTTTCTCTTGTTCTGTCTTCGGAACCAAGCCCAAAAGGCAAGATAGATGAGTGAAGACATGGCCACCATAGCCATAGACACAGCATGACCCTTGACGAATCGAGGTCCCTCGTGTGTTTTGTACAGCTAAATCGATGTCAGTGAAAGCCTCTTAGACTGTAAACTATTAACTTACAAATGGAGCTGGAATACCTGCAGAGTTACCAATGGTAAGCTGCAAGCCTGTCGCAACAGTTCGCTTTCCGTAGCGAGGATTGTTACTAGGAAGCCAAGCAAGAGGCAATCCAACAATGACATACAATCCCATAGCAGCAAGGAAACATCCAAAATATCGAACTCCAGATGGAGCTGTGCTGACGAGGATGGCATACCCGACAGTACATACAAGACCAAGCGCAACAGTAAAAACAGCTCTTCGCTGCGTTCTGTCGGAAAACCAAGCAACAACGATGTACGTGACAGCACCCATAGCATAACAAGGAATAGTAAGAGCTTGAACCTGCGCGTTGTTCCAATCGCCCAGTCCGCGGATGATGGTAGGTAGGAAAGTGCTGTAGCCGTAAAGAATGGTATCACCACCAAATTGACCAATGCAAAAGAGCCAGATCTTCCAGTCTTTGAGACCAGCGTAGACATCTTCTTTGTGCATCTGGCTAGAGGATTTGGTGTGTCCAACTTGTCGTCGCATGCGGGCATCGATGAGTTCGCGTTCAGCGATGGTGAGGTAGTGAGCTGAGTCAGGGTCATCTGCGAGCCAGAACCAGACAGCGATTCCGAGGATGAATGTGGGAATGCCTTCGATGATGATGATCCAGCGCCAGCCGCGAAGACCTGCGACACCGTCCATGTGGCCGATACCGTAGGCTAAAAGTCCACCTAGGGATCCTGCTATGGCTGCACTAACGAAGAGATAACCGATTCGAAGGGCGTACTCCTTTTTCGTGTAGAACACTGATCAAATTAGTTTTGGTAGGTTTGGAGGAGAGATGCGAGGATTACTTGTGAGGTAGATGGCGAGACCAGGGAAAAGACCGCCCTCGAGAGCGCCCAAGAGGACACGGCATGCGATCAGACCCTTGAAATCCTTTACTATTCCGGTCAATGTGGCCACAATGCCCCATGAAACGGTGATGAAAGAGATCCATCTCGAAGGCGTGAATTTCTTGATGACAAGGTTCGAAGGCAACTCGCTTGCGATATATGTGACGAATCTGCCAACGTTAGACGACTCCCGCTCCAAACTCATGACACAACTTACAAGACGGAAACTGCAAGTTGGTACTAGGTATCCAAGTTAGTTGACGTCCCTTCAAACTCCAGTAAAAACATACCTGATCACCAACCAACCCAAGATCCTCCTCCATACCATAAAGTCTCGCATTTCCAATATTAACACGATCCAGAAAACTGAGTAGATACAAAAGCATAACAGGCGGAACAATCCACATGTCAAGTTTTCTCAAAAGAGCCTTTTCAGCTTCTGGGTCGATATAGACGTCATCCTGTCCTGTAGCGCGCTGCTCCTCGATCTCCTTATCAGGAAGGACATCAATAGGTTTGGAAGTCATTGTGGCGAATTATCTCACAAACCAAAAGAATGATGAGAAGGATGGATGAGAAGACGAAAAAAAGAAGAGGGTCTCTTCATTTAAGACCTCATGCAGATGCGCTTATCTCCGCACGCGGTCAAGTTTTGTTACTACCCCGGGAATTGTTGTATCTCGTGCTGGTGACCCCAGAATCTGGAGATAATGCTAACAGGGTTTACGTAGTGATCGGCGAGGTGACTTACCTAGTACAGTTTGGACCGGGATCGGCTTGTGAGGGATTTACCGTTGAGTTTGCCGGTTGTGCATGAATCGCGTACTCGGCAACTCAAAACTTGCCGGGTGGGTTCTATCTAGGTTGATAACGTCTTGGCTGATGGAATGTAATTCGGACAAGCAATCTCCATGTTCGGGTAACATCTTGAGGAACAACTCGGTTATGGTTGAAAATTGCCGCATAGATTTCGGACAAGAGATGACAACATCCATCTGGGATAAGTCCAACCATGAGGTCAATTTTGTTACAATGCATGGATTCCATACATTGACCATTCCAAGACCTGACCACCTGAAAATATGTAGTATGGCTGTAGATGCAAGATTTGCATTCATTGATTCATGCCGATGCTCTATACTTTGGGCTTCTGATATCCGTTTCCGACCTTCTACCCATAAACGTCAGTTTTCGACACCTCTTAACTAATACATCGCTCGAATCAATACTGCGAATCCAATCATACTTTACTGTCTGGCATGTCATTAACCACAGCCTTGCGCAGTCATTACTCCTTGGAGTTAACCCCTTGCCCTCGTCTCCGCATCAGCTTGCACTTGCATCTCAATGTTCCAAAACCTAGCAGTGCTGAAGTCGACTGACTTGAGAGTTACATCAACATGTAATAAATTGCAACACCTGTATGGAGACGACTCCAGCTCCACTTGGCAAGTTGAAGAGTCATAGAAAGCCTATGAGATTCATAAGAACGACAGAATAAGCTGGGAAGCCTCGCGAGCTTGCCCAGCAGAAGATTTTTCTCTGGAATTATAAGAATGTGATTGTTATACCACACTAGGCCTGGAACTCCTGTTATGTTTAGGAGAGAGTTTTCAAAATCTTGACTTATAATTTGGAAAGAATGCAAGCTGGACAGGCACCAATTAACATGATACGAAAAGAGTTAGGTTACTAAGGATTTAAATAACCAGGAATCTATCAAATTGGCAAATGTCTGGATAACTCTATAGCAATTCGAAGAAAACACTTTAAATTAAATAAACTATACCGCTATTGTGCTTGCTAGTAGTTATTATAGGGGCCTCTACTAATATTCACATCTATTATTTGATATACAGGATATAGCGTTGTAGTTTATATTGCACAGCCAGATGGGTTTGGGATAATTAAGAAACCGAATAACGTATTTGATAAGCGAGCGACGCAGATAAGCGAGCGACGCACTTTTCCCTCTTACATCTAACTTTTTATCTGATCAATTAGTTTTTAACAACCAGTAATGTCA